CTGTGCTCGGGGGTTAGGGACACTCCAGTGCTATCCACCTCCGAATCTTGGTCAAAAACTACCCCTGTAATGTAATAAGTCCGTTGACTACCGCTCTGGTTCGTGAGCCACTCCTTTCGTGACTCGATTATGTTTATATTACCCGAAGCCTCGTCTTTCTCCAGTTTGAGAAAACTCCACCTGTCATCTATGGGGCCCTCGGCATGCTGTCTCCTCCAGCTGTCCTCCGTCTTCATCGTTTGCTTATTCTTAAGATCCGGATCATGGAGAGGAAAGCGAAAGCAATGATAATAGGAATTCCAATCCGTTTCTCTAATCTCGAAATCAGTTTGATTAGAAAGTCCGTAAAAATAATCGTCTATAATTTCGAAGCAGACCGTAGAACCAATATCGTAGCCAACCACGTCCGCCAAGTGCATTTTCTGAGAAAACCAAGAGCGCTTTTCGATATCGTAGCCCATGAGGACCCATTTTCTACGTCCATCTGCCCCTTCTTCCGAATGTGTCCCAAAATAAAGATAATCTTTGTTGTTTCGTACGAATATTTTAGCCGTCGAGTCTAGCTGAAGTGTGGCCACAATTAGCTGTTCATCGGCTTTGAAGATCAAAAGCCAGTTCTCCGTGTGCGGCAGCGCGAATGAAAATAAGCACGAAGTGATGCCATTCGCATGATATAAGACGCGGAACTTGTATTTACGACTTTTCGCAGACCTAGGCACAGATTCATGAACCAGGGTCGGAATATCTATGACGAGCTCGTGACTTGCTGAGCCGTGAAGGTCGAGGATTCGTAACCAGCGTTTAGGCCGGGCCTCGACGATATAACAAAGGGTGCCATGAATATATTCATAAGAGTCGGCAAATGCGATGATACCTACCAGGTATGGGGATGCTCGTGAAAGTGCCTGGCGTCTTTTGGCAACTCGCCTTAGAGCACGCGAGAATTGGCCACTTCGCTGTGCCTCTTGGGATTCGGCTGTGTGGGAGGCTTGGGCCTTTGCGTAATGGTCAGCAATTCATGCGTGGCTCGGCCTGCCACGAACTGGCCATGCTGGACGTGACTACTCACAGTAATAATAGCTTTACAAAATCTCTCCTCTCTTACCAAGTATTGGAAGTAACGACATGTTAAGGACAGATCGAATATCTCATCTATATCCAGATAGTTCACAATGTAAGACATTATTTCATAGGGTAATCGCTGTAAGTTTGATACTGTCCGCGTCGTCGTCGTTAATAAGCTCCTTGGTGTCTGCATCTGTTTTGAACAACCCGAGAAATCGATTTTACACAGAGAACGGCTAGCTAAACTGGGTTTAAACGGGATCGACGAGAGCTGGTTGCACATGCTGTGTTTTTAGAAGGAGGGAAGTTAAGGACAGCTCTGGCACTTAATAGTATGACCCCGGGGAGTTCCATACTTTAATGTGTTTCCAGTTTGGAGAGCCTCAACTCTTTGGCACGGCCTAGGTATTTGCCTGCTCGAAATACGAATTGACATGGTTCAATACATGTAGTGTATAACCAAGCCTTGTTTGGTACCTACCTTGTAGTTCGTTCATACTACGGTGTACATATTTACCTATTTAGGTAGTTTAGTACCTAATGTACTACAAAGAAGGACCTACATGTAGCGAATAGGCAAGCGGGTTGCCTCAGCCATGAGAGCACGTTTATTAGGTAGGTAGGTAGGTACCTAGGTAGTATTAGGTAGGATGAGGCTCTTAATCGCTTTATATAATAGTACAGGTGTGTATTGTAGGTACGTACATGGATATAGTTCATACCTAGGTAGGTACCTAGCGCTATACGAGCAGGGGGCTTGTAGGTACGTACATGTAAGTGTCCAGGTTAGGTACATTATACATACCTACCTATGTATGTAGGTAGGTACGTAGGTACTGTCAGGAGTAGCAGGCTGTATGTACATAGGTACCTCGCCATGTGTAGCCTGGCCCCGGTACCTACATAGGTAGGCAGCTAGGGGCCGTATTCTTCTATGTAAATTTAATTCTACATAGTAAGAACAAAGTCATCCAAAAAGACCCGCGCAGAGCCTCAAATTCCTAACCGTTCCAAGTTTCTCCACGAAATATTTCGGGGACCTGAACCCAACCCATGGATTTCCAATCTCCCTATTTTCCTACCCCTCTTGCGGCTCTTTTTTTCGCTACACCATACACCATTTCTTTTCCCAACTGTTTAGGTGCATCATTGGCCTGTTGTGTTGGGTTTCTCGTGCGTTCATCTACTCTCGTGGCCACTTTCAACCGAGACCAAACGTGCAATATTTTAATAGAGTATATGATCCCCACTTTTTGGACCCCATGAGCCAAGACATAGCCTGCTTCTTCTTATATATCACACTAGGTACTTCAGACTTAGGACATGCGTTCTTTGAACAGGATGCTCGACTGGCCTAAAGCCGGATCGGTACAAGCGTTCGAGCTTCCCTTGCTTCATAATCTTATTTACCGGTAAGCCTTATAGTATTTTGGGTTAGGTCAGGGAACAACACGTCAGCTACTAACTGACTTCTAACAAGTTCGATATTACACAGACTCCCTTATAATTCTAATCATGTAAGAATATGTTATCATAGTCTCGTGACACTTCGTACATGCCACCTCGACGTCTGTAAGAGTAGCTCTGCATGCTAGTAAGCCGGGTGTGGTTCACGGCATGAAAAATCAGCGTAGTATATCTGGTCCGGAAAATGCTTGGAGGTGCCGAAAAAGATCCGCTGAGGCTCTACTTCCGAGTCGGGAGAGGAGAAAATAATCCCCTCCGGCCGGCATCGATCCCCCTTCTTTCTACTTAATGATACCATATGTTAACACCGTCATCCTCGGCTTAAGGCCATCCACCTTTACGATATCGTTAGACGATGGTAGATCGTCACGCCCGGCTAGAACAATACATACATGGTTTGCAGACGACTACAAGAGCCTTACTCCAACTATGTGTTCTCATTCAAGCCACGCAAGCCGACCATGAGTAACCGAATCTGTGTAATGAGGTGATTGGTAAAAGGTTGGCGGTTCCTTTTACATGTTAAAACACTACAAGGCCCCTTTACCGGAACGTCTACTCGTTGGGGGCGGCTGCAGTTGATATGGACGACGAACTGCATTTCACATAAGCGGCCCATTGCAGAGGGTTCGGATAGCCGAGAAACCGACGTCGTGATACGGAGTGTTGAACAGAAGGGATTATTGCCGCTATCATCGAGTCTAGACTAACTAGTCTACGTAGTATACCGATCGCCGCTTTATTATCTGCTTTGCTTTAGGTATTCTATAACGACAAGTCGGCCAGAGCCTTGCCTTGACGTGGCTGTAGAATGTATATTATTTCGACCTGATGACCATCTAATTTTGCGGACTATGCCGTCCAGATTGGATGATTATCGCTGAGTGTTACCAAAATCGCCTATTCAGCATAGTGAGAAATTGGATTCTCTCGTCATCCCGTGCTGCTGATGTCTTGGACAAGATTTGGCGTGCGTGGTACAAGGCAGAAAAAACATCCACCGCGGCCTAATAAAATTGAGTATGCGGCCCAGTCACAACGAAGTCACGTTCCCATTAGATACGATGCGCGTCCGAGCCGAATTGGTTCGTCAAGTAGAAGCAATTCTCAGTATGGATACATGGAGTACTCAGCTTTGAATGTTTAGGTCCGTATCTCGCTTTGGCGAAGATCTCACCATATTCGTCGATGGAGAAGTGAGGATCTCAGCTGAAAAAACGGGAGACGCTACGTTATATGTGCATACTACCCGTAGGAAGGGTCCTGTGGATCACACCTTGGTATAGTATCCGATTCTATAATATATCTGGATCAACGGTCTTGGTACTGATTCTTAGGTTCCATTTGGGGGTTAAAAGAGAGCCATACCAGGCGATTGCCAGCTTTTTTTTCTGTTACTGCCTGTTTATACCTGACGAAAGTATGCTTCTAGAATGAATCTTCTGCAGGATTGAGTATCAATATTAAGACTTAATTTGTCGATATTTCTTGGGCGTGCCAAATAGCATACCCAACCCCCCGGGTCCTAGCCGTTGATTATACGAATAAACACGTCTAGTAATTGTCCTTGGTAATATATGTTATCCTCCTATTTGTTAGATTGCGGGATTACGCCGTGTTGGACTTAAGTGTTCGTCTATCTACCGGAGCCAAGACCATTCGCAGAAAAGATCTTATGCCAATTAGGAGATAAAGGAAGGCTAAGACGTATCACAGTGATAATACTTATACATGCATAGAAAATTTAACTATCGTATATATAAAAAGCCATATCTGGATGAAGGGAACCGCTGTTGGCAAGGTCATAACCGATGATTCGGCCATATAGGCTTATAAAAGCCCGCACACGGTGAGAAACCGGCCTTTCGAATAATCACCTAACGCGGAGTTGTAAGCTGTGTAATGTAGTACGGGCGGATGTGCTGCTGCATTGAATACTACGTTGACCCTGATAGCATTCTGTTGGTCGTCGTGTCCTACCCAACGAGCATGTAGTATGGTATCAGAGTGATTTCGGGCCATTGGCCTTAAAGAAAGCTCCGATGGAGGGGTTGTAGATTTCAAGCTGAGCCTTGGTGGCCGTAGAAGTAGCTGCGGAAATAGCTCCTACATTAGGTATAGTTATGCGTATTGACACTTGGGTTTATGAGTAGACTCCTGAGGATGTATTGGCTTTAACTCACGAGCATTTTCAGTATTCGCCAAGATGATTTAGAGCCTCATAGAGGGATAGGGGTGAAGAGAATGCCCTCGCAATTTCTGGTTATTAATCAAGAGCTACCTGGTATTTTTATAAAAGGGGTAATAGGTCGATTTGGTAAAATTGTTGGAAGCAGGCCCCCCCTTTTAAAAGAATTTAAAAGAATTTAAAAGAATCTAAAAGATATATTAATATTAATATACAAATAAATAAAAGCTTGATATGCGTTTAAGTCACAATATAGTTATTGTTGTTTTAACATAGGCCAAGACAATTGCGATGTATGCGTGGATTAAACTTATGCGTGAAGGGTTCTTGATCCATTATCGTATGATCTGCCGTTCGTTCGCACTGATCGACACCTGGCAAATGACCAACTTTGCATCTTTTTCTTAACTAACTAGGTTACCTAATTACCTAAGGTAACTAACCGAGATTCAGCTCTCAACGCTGCACATCACCAACTGCATTTGAGCATCTGATCCACCAGCAGTAATACATAAACGAATCCTAACGGGACGGCGGATATGGCATCCAGAGGGAATATTACGCCACGGGTATGTCACTATTGCATCCTTGTATCTATTGTAGGAGATGCGTTAACCTAACCCTGGATTTATCTAGACTATCATGGCACCTGCAGCCGCCTTCACCATGGCATGCGTCTTATTTGCGTACGGAATATGCCCAGTCACTTGATGCTGTTGGCGTGTTGGTGTGCGTGCTGACTAGATCTTTACTAGTTACACACGGTCTTCTATCAAAGAAGCCAGACGTAATGCTGTGCGTCTTTTTCTTCCCTCAGGCCGCTTTCAGGTCGGGTAGTTTGGAATGAATCAAGGTAGCTTACTCGATATAGCAACACGAACGGGATCAAAGACGCCAGCTAGGTGGGCCAAGCGGCGGCGGCGGCGGCGGCGGCAGCAACAGCAGCAGCAGCAGCAGCAGCAAGTGAGAATAACAGGAATGGCGACCCAGCCGCTGACTCAAGCAGGCTTCACCGCTCCCCCTACGCCACGTTATATTACATGGACGTTGGACGAGTTAATAATAATATGAACGATATGATTCTAATTAATGACACGATGCAATCTCTATTGGCTTGCATTAGGTAGGGCGTGAGTCGGTGGTTACTCGACTTACTCGACCAACCTCCCGAGGCACAGAGCCAACTTAGAGGGGGAGAGTGAATTATCTTGAGGCCATTAAGGGACAATGATATCATAAATGTCTCTTGTGAGAGGTCTGAAGCCCAAGGTATCATCAGCTGAAATAGGTACATATCAACATAAGATTCTACGATACTTACGTACATGATATGACTTTTCATAAGGGAATGACAGTTATATGCATACCTAATGTACGTTATTTCCTAATACAACCAATTAACCTAGCTAACAGTGATAACCTGAAAGGTATTAACCTAGTCAGTTATCACTCATCGTCCAAGTCTTGAATTAAGAAGAGAATGCAAGTTTATATGGTAGTTATGTGTAAAGAATTAAGAATACCTATCCGATTTAATATAGCGCAGATCACTGCATTGCGCCCTACCTTAAGTTTGTATTGTATTGTATTGTACTACCATGACATAATATAGTGAATGACCTAACGACCTAAACATGCTAGTATTAGGTAATATGGGGCACCCTACGTAATACATAATGTACCTACATAGGTTACCTCTTAGCGACCACGTTGTAATTGTACAATACCTAATCTATACCTAATCTATACCTAATCTATAGGTACCTAATCTATAATCTGTACGCGCCTTTGAACTTCATCGCTACATGATTCGTTCCCGTCTTCTTCGTTCCCGTCTTCAACATACAATACAGCCTTCAGCCATGATCTAACCTACTCTGCACACAACAATAGCTGACGCGACTACCGCCATGTCTAGCACCAATCTCCTATCCCTATTGGGATGGACATTCCTCCCTAATGTACGTTCTATTCCATCTGTGCTATAATCAATGAAGAAGCAATCCCGAAACTACCACTGACATCAGCCAACACCGCCCGCAGCTCGTCACCGGCTGGGTACAGTCCATCTACTACGGCCTCGCCATCCGCGCCGGCGACCGCAAACCCGCTCCGAACTCGCCCCGATACGCCGAACACCGCCGTCGCATCCACATCCTAGTCGTGTCCTTGTACCTGCTCTACACCATCTACGAAGCCGACTACGAGCTACGCCGTGCCTCCAACTACTACGCCGACTTGGGCGTTCAGCTCGCCGCCTCCGAGCGCGATATCAAGAGCCGCTTCCGCCGTCTCGCCGCATTGCACCACCCGGACAAGGCCATGAGCGGCGCTGGTGGGGGTGATGCCGCCGACAGTGCTGATTTCTTCATGCACCTGAAAACAGCTTCGGAAACCCTTGTCGACCCCGCGCGGCGCTTCGCCTATGAGCGCTTTGGCCCAGATATTATCGCCTGGAAACACTGCGTCACCATACGCGACTATGTCGTTCGCGGGGTCCAGGTTCTGGTCCCTTACTATGGCTTTGCCGCCGTTGCTATGTACGTGTTAGGACTGATAGGCTACCTGGAATGGGGACGATACTGGCGCTGGCTGACCCTCGTTGCCTTGTGCGTCTTCGAGCTACACACCATCACACGCCCCTCATTTCCATCCTTCCTCAGCGGCCTCATCAACCCGGTCCTGACTAGCTTCACCGACCATCCCCCTTACCTACCCTTCCAAGCTATCACTCTCGCGCGCAAGCTGAGTATTACGCTATACATTGCCTTCTCGCAAATAGGTCCGCTGCTACAGCCGCCGAATCAAAGAGGAATGAAGCCCGGCGAGGCGTCGGAGAAGGCATTACAGCAAAGCCTAGATAGACTCGAGCAGACGGCTCGGAGTATGGATGTCGACGCGGCACGACTGATGGAACTGGAGATGGCACCCTTCGCTGGCGATGCCGAGGTAATCGGTAGCATGCGGTCGAAGCTAAAGGAATGGCTCGTACAGAACACAATCCGCGCGGATCCCATGGTGAAGGATGCATTAGGGCGGTCGTTCCAAAAGCGACGGGTAGATGCGCCTGCGGGGGCCAAGGGAAACAGATAAACAGACAAGACTTGCGTTGCTAGCAACTGGTAGTCTTGAATATATTAAATTGATTTAACCCTGATCGCTTTTATTGATACTATGCTATTGATCCCAGCCTGAACGACGCAGTGATTAAATTTGCCCTTACACATGTCCAACCATCCGTTCTAGTATACATATCACTAACCTACTACAGAGTAATACTCCCAATACGAAATATGCCTTTAGAGTCTTTGCCTGCCTCTGGTCTCGATAGGAATCAATACCATCCCTACGAAAGCAGCCAAGATCAAGATTGCTGACATATAGATAGGGGTCTTAGTGCCATCTCCAGGCATGTTGGCAGCAAGAATTGGTGCAATGAGCCCCGTGACGCGATTCAAGAAGCTGGCTACACCTGTCCCGGCTCCTCTAACGGGCGCGGGGAAAATCTCGGGGGTGAAAGCGTAAAGCACACCGTACATGATATTCTGGCAGAAGGCTTCGATGCAGGTGAAGAAGAGCTGCGAGTTAGGTGTCGTACCGAAGGCGACGAAGAAAAATAAGAAGATGGCAGACACTAGCGTAGAGATGGCGAGCGTCCCCCTTCGCCCTAGGAATGGCGACTTGTGGTCAACGGTATACGCGGCAAGCAGGCTACCCGGCACCCCAACAACCGATATTATAGCATAGTTGCGATATGTTTCTGCCGGGGTGGCATTATTTATTGCCATAGCTTCGTCGCCAATCGGTATGTCTGAGCCGCCATGTGAGAGATATTGTGGGAGAAACGCGTTGAACAGCGGGTAACCAAGGCCGATGGTACTCCAGCAGAACCAAATCAGGAGAGTTGCCGTCCCAAGCTTGCGAGTCTGGAAAAGTGGCCGTATGTGGTCGACCGAAAAGGACATGAGATTTTGTTTGATAATATTCTTAGCTGAGACCCTAGTTGCTATTGGTTGAACCCCTTCCATATCGGCAACAGCGTCGAGGATCTCCTCGGTGAGCCAAGTTTTCTTGTTGTTCCGGTAAGCAATACCATGTACAACAGCAACAGCCTCGGCTTGCCGCCCTTGAGATAGAAGGTACTTGGGCGACTCAAACAGATGGAACATGCCAAATCGAATAAGGAACATGATGAATGTGATAATGCCAATCGTCATAACGAAATGGCGCCACCCTTCTGCGGCGGGCCAGTTTGTGATGAAGTACCAGGCGACGATGGACGAAACAAGCTGTCCTACAGGCCACCATACGGATAGGAGAGTTAATAAGGCGCTTGAGGAGTCTGGAAGAATCTCTAGAAAAAGTGCTCCATCGACCGGCAAGTTTCCCCCAACTCCAGTGCCCAGACATGCAAATAGAATACAAACAGATACCCAACTCGAAGCGTACGCCGTCCAAATGCCAAAGATGCTTGTGATTAGTAAAGTGAAATTGAAGGCAATACGCCTACCCATTATGTCGGACCCGAGCCCCCAGAAGAAACTCCCCAGGCAAAGACCTACGAAGAGAGAACTGGTGGTATACCTGACCTGTTTTTCCGAGACGCCAAACTCTTCAGATAGGGAGGGAAGAGTCAATGAGACACCCTTGTATAAATGTAAGATAGCGTATCAGGAGGATATATTAGATAGAGGTAGACTACTAGGTTACTTACTTGCATCCATAAACTGTGGATTTAGTCAGTAAAAACACCAAAGGTTTTGATATATAGGTATATATAAAGAGCACTCACTTATCTGCAAACCACCCAAACCCGCATAAAACAAAAAGCTGCCAGTTGTACCGGCCCATACCGATATCTTGAATGGCTTTATTAATAAGTTTGGATTTCACTATACCGGTTCATTAGCATATTTCTCCACTTACACCGGCCCGTCAAGAGAAACAGGAGCTCACATTCATACTCGGACCATTGACGTCGTCTCTGGCCCTCGCGCACCTCTTTTCTCAAGCCATCGATAGTATACTCGGCAGCGCTCATCTGCAGCATGCCCGTATTCTCGTTGTCGTCATCTTTCGGCAGCCCTGCCTCGAGCTCGTCGGCAACGGGACCATCGGAACTAGTCCTAACCTCCTCGAACTCGCTTCTCCCGCATCTGGCGGAGTGGCTATGCAAGTGCGCCTCCTCGAGCGGGACTAAGACGCCGACGTAGTCATGAACAGACTCCTGGCGCCTGGAGCGTAAGGACGGAAATCTCATGGTGGGAATAGAGGAACGGAGACATGGAAGTTGGGCACTGCAACCCCATTCATTCGATTCGTAAGGCCGACAAGAACCTCGGGTAAGAGTAGAAGTTGGCAGATGGAGTATTTCTGCAAAATAAACATTCGAAGGCCCCGAAAGCGGTTCGAGGCCAATGTCTTACTGATCCACGTGATGGCCGATATGACACGCAGACACGCAGACACGCAGACACGCAGACACGATGCCGACTTCTCCAAAAAAAGGGGAATCCCTGCAACTAGGATTCCTCTGTCTTCCCCTTGGTCACCGACTCCTCTTTTTTTGAGCTAAGAATAAGTATTGCAAGCAATTTCCGTAGGGTATGATAATTGCTGTAACTATTTGGATGTTGAAAAGTATAAGGTTATATGAATCTTATGAATCTAAAAAAAGGTTTAGATACTCAAAATGTCACAAGATTTCACTAACAGCCCAGATGATCCTCATTCCCCGCGCCACAAGCCACAAGAGCACTAAAGCTCATTATTACGAGTCACCTGCCAAGTGCTCGAGCCCCTATCCCCCTCGCCTAACTAATGTATCAGTTAGGTGCTTTACTACATTCGCGCTGCACTGTAGGCACTGTAGGCACTGTATAGTTGGTACCCTACAGCAATACATCATTCACATGAAAACATCATGACTTTAATATTTCTCGTATATCCTATCTTATTTTTTTTTTCAACTTTATTTGACTTTTATCAAAACCACTGCCTTTACAACGTGTAGTATCTACCTAGGTACCTATGTATATATATAATACAAAAGCTAAATCCTGCCATCACTCACACAAGAGACATAAGGATGTGTCTAGTAGAACAAGTAACCCGAAAACACACACAAAACAAACTGGGTATTGCATCAGGAAAGCTTACAAAATAATACATAGTTCGACGAGAGATGTCGCAGGGCATCTGCATCCACCTACAGGAGGAACGTCACGCTCCTCTTTTCCAACCCCGGGGGCCTCCTGGGCTGCGATACGGCGCTGGGTGTAGCTCCGGGGGTAAGATCGAAGTATCCCGACTTGGAGCTTCGCCGAACCCCCACGGCATGCTCCGTCACCGTTCCTAGGCCACCCGGCGGCGTGCGGGAACCGTCGAAATACCCTGCCGGTGAAGCCCGCCCCGACAAGTTCTCGCCCGGCTCGAGGGTGTAGTAGTTCGAGCCGGTGCTGATCTCGCTGCTCAGGCCGGACCGCCTCGCGCCGAGCTGATAGCTCGCGTGCGTCGTCTTCGGCTGCGTCATGGTGAAGCCCGTGTCCCTGATCATGCGTTGCGAAGAGGAGCGGGGGATCCCCGGCCTGTTTGCGCCCCGGCTACTGTGCAGCGAGTTGAACCGCCGGATGTGTGCGTGATCTAGCCGCTCGTAGTGCCAAGCCGCGTTGGGATCGCTTACGAGTGGACCCCTGGACGGTGAAGGGTCCGATTTAGAATGAGGCCGGTTCTGCTTGCGCCCACGACCTCCGCTGTCGTAGGGAGATCCATCAGCGGCTTGCCTTGTTAGGCCCATACGCCTCTCCCACCAGCCCTTTTCCTTAGTACCGCATTTAGCTACGTCGCAGAGCGCTTCTTCTACGACTTGCTCCTGTTTCTCCGAAAGCTGTAGGGAGCTTTTGTGCGTGGCGAAATCGACCAGAGCCGCGGCATCCTGCGCGTCGCGCTCTTTCTTCACGGGGTTAGATCGCAACCCGCTTGAATCCAATTTGAATACGATGAGGTCGGTGAGGGAGATATACGGGACTTCGTCGCGTGATATGTCTTCTACTTTTACAGCCGACTCTGGAAGGTAAGGTGACTGCTGCGATTAGCTAACTGAACATTCTACTCGAGATCCGGAACTTACAAGCCATTCCGGGCTTATATCAACTCGGATTTCCTGGCCACGAGGTGCTTTATAGAAGAGTGCCTGTGAACGTTGGAAGAAGGGCGACTCTGGCTGCTCTACCAACCGCTTTTTCAGCGAACTTGGAGAGGTCGATATATTCGTAATAAAATTGATGTTCTTTAGAAGTGCTATTAGCTCGTGGGTCTTAGATATTTAGCATTAGGTTGTCTTACATCTGTCGAGCGGTATTCAGGGAGATAATGCATTAATGCTAACCCCCCGATGACCGAGAGTCTCGCATGTCTGAGATCTTGTATCTGTTTCACGTTTTGGATAACGTCGCACGCAGCGCTCTCAAGTTCCTGTAGTTGAGCCATATTGCTGGCTGGTTAGGTAACTATCTCTAAAGATCTGATGAGAGGGTAAGAACTCTGGGATTCTGGTTAAGGGATCATGAAAATGTTTGATATGTCGTCAATGAAATATAAACTTCAAGGTTAGGATTGAATATAGTGGGTAAGAGAAAGGATAAGGTCTGGTCGGATGAAGTGTGGATGATGTCCTCTGTCACAAAGGGGCGAGACTATCGGTTACTTTATACTATTCTGGTTATACTGGAGACCATCATGCAACTCAAGTAATCAGAATAGAAATTGCCTGCCGCGTCAATGTCGATCTCATGTGTGACCTTTAGAGAATAAAATCAAAGCCTTACGACTCGCGGAGTGTATAAGAACCCCAGGATTTTACGACTTGGTGGGTTGGACGTGCCGGACTAAGCATTTAGAGCAGAGCGGAAGTGTGTAAACTATAATCATGAAACCATAGTGCATCCCGCGGGACCAGTGCAGCGGAGAGACATTGGGATGATTTGCCGGTAGTTGTTAGCCTTATGCCTGCAGTCTTCCTTCTAAGCTGTCAGATCTTTCTACTATCTTATGCCGGCTGCCCTCATGTGGAGTTTCAATGACTCGAGCAGTTAAAGACTTCCATTAAGAAAGTGCCGCTAGGAATTATAGACAAGTCTAGCCGAAGCAGGTCCACGTTCAATGACAAGTGTCAGAAAGTCAACTTCGTCTGGGGTTGTGGGGTGACCTGAGTATAGAAACATAGAGTCCGCTCAAGTCTGGAAATCAATTCGAGTGTAATTTTGACCTTATTATATCAAACAGCTGAGAAGATCCCGAACCTTGGAAAAGTCATTCGCTTGATAATCATTCTAGTAACGAGCCCCGTTGATTCGGATCTCAAGTATACAAAGGCAGCGTGGGCAAATACGCCACTACTAAAACAAATATACTAGGGAAACACCAGCCGAGCTTCATAAGGGAAGTCATTTATCATACTAACTGAGTCATCTACTGTATACCAAGTCTCAACCGTCGTCATAATGAGGTTAACTTTCTCGGTCCTATTGGCTTCAATCGTCTTCTACAAGTTTACTATGTGGCCGCGTTACCAGGGATGACCTGACTCCGGATAGTTGGTCAGTTCTCGCCAGCCAATCTCAGTATCATACCTGAGCAATTATTTTGTACCGTTAATCCTATCTTAGCCTCACGACTTAGAACTCCCCTGGTATTTGCATGGTGCCTGTCTATGAGTGCAGTATCATGTTAGCCGCCGTTCTTCTAGCGGCATTGCAAACCTGCTGAAAACTCCAAACTCATTCGAGTGTCCCTAGACCTAGACCGAATTTCCTCAAGGTCTTCCAATTCCTAACTCCAACGTTTCAAATCATCCCTACCCCGTTCTAGACCTCGGCGAGACCTCAATTATACAAGTGGTCCCCTTTAATGCAAAACGCAACACTAAGACTATTCATTATCACAGTAAAGGTGGGCCCTCCTTGAGAATCTCCCCAATAGACACAATGGTATCTGCTGTGCCATCTGAGGTATTATGCAGCCGTACTAACCTCGGACCGAATATCTCGACTTCCCCAGACGAAAGGGTGCTCGAACCGTATGATATCCTGTAAGGAGGCGCGCGAATTGAATATTCCTGAGAGCTACTCGACGGAAGGCTACCATTCCACCTGATCTTAGACCATCGAGGCCACTTCCAAAACTTGAAACGGTCGGCTCGTGTCTTCCTTAGGCGTGTGCAGCGGTCGTGGTGAGCACGAAGGAGAAGGTTCTATACGAGTACTCCTTCGTCATCACCCTCCTTTTCGCCCTCTTCCTCCTCCTCCCAGTCTACCTCGTCTGCCATTGCCTCAGCCTTCCGCTGAACCTCAGCTAGACCGCTGAGCTCGGCTATATATTCCTTGTCCTCAAGTGCACGCTTGACGAAATTCCACCCTTCTGTCCTGTAAGCGGAAAGAATTGGCTTGCTACATGCACTGCAGCATGGGTACGAATGGCCTTTGATTTTGAGAGTTTGGAAGTTGTGTAGAAATCCACGGATTTGGTGTGGCACTATGCCGAGCGCATGTTCGTCACCGGGATTACTGTCATATATGCCCGATGAAGAACTTGCTGCGGGGGCTGGGGCGTGGTGACCCAGGGGGTGTTGCAGGAGGCTTGTCAGAAGCTCAACAACGAGAGCTGACGCGATGCCAGCGATGCCGGGTCGTGTAACCGTGCACTGCTGGTCAAGAGTCAAGTCTTTTTGTGACTATTCAAAGTTAGCTGGGAAAGGTGACCCCAAATAGGTAACTCACGTCTCCAGGTGTTACAACATCGTTGCAGAAGTAACAGCCTAATGTTTCCTCACTATCGTCCTTGGGTTCAGCACCATGTCTCATGACTACGTAGGAATCAAAGCCAAGAGCCGCGTTCATGACAATCTTTCCGGCGGCCTTGCCCATTACGGTGGGGAGCCATCTCGACTCTCTACTATCCAGTAAAAGGAATATCGCGTCATGTTCATCTATGAGGGATTTCAGCTGCTCAAAGTCTCCCTGGGTCTTCCCTACTATAGGATGGCCAAGCATGGGAACCGAAAGAACATGACCCTCGCTGTCAACGCCGGGATAAATCTCCTTCAACACCTCTGCTGCTCGGGTCGCCTTCGGAGCTCCTCCCTTCAAGCAGTCATTATAGGTGAATAACGGCTGCCTCACAGGGTTGGAGAAGGATACCGCACCGTAGTCAACAAATGTGATCTTGCGCACACCCCATGCCATAAGATTTCTTGATACGTGGCTACCAAGCGTACCAGCACCGAGAAGAAGGCATTTGGTATTTTTGATGATATCGAGATTGAGATCTGGCGAAACTCGCCATTTCATCAGTTTGAGGTTGAGGTCAACTGATTGGTCTGCTAATCGAGTCGGGTCCATGGATTCTGCCAGGCTTACGGATCGCGCCATTAATTTCCCAGCTGCGTTGCGTTCCCAACCAGTGGCTTTCGGCATTTCAGTCGTTTCTATGCTTTCCACGGGATCCATAGCAAGAGGAAGAACCATGCTGCGGGCCTCGTGTCTTCGTGCTTGTATGTCTCGGTAGCAGAGAATTTGAACGTTGGTTAGATGGAATCGTTGTCTCACAAGGACCAATAGATTTCGGAGAGGCCATGCAGGATGCTCGTCGTAGGTAGAAGGGTCAACAAATGCCACATACTTGTCATCTTCGGGCACGCCCCGGAAGAATCCCGTCTCAAATTCGCGAAGCGATCCAACTTCCCATCCGTATCCGATATCCTCCGCTGGAACCTCAAGCGAAGATTGCATAGTCTTCCTACTTCCCCGAATCTTTTTAGCAAGGAAGAAGCCATGCTCTCTGGGGTCAACAGTATATCGCCAAGTCCCCACGCGGTCGACTAAGGCGGTAGTCTCATCTGGGGTGAAGCGAAGAATATCCCCGGTACGCTTCCACTGGGGATCCGAATGCAGGGTTGGAAACCCAAACCAGTAGGTCATCCTGTACTTCTTGAGATCCGCATAAGATAGTATAATGTAATGAGAGAGGAGCGAAGGGACAGAATAGATGGTTCCATCTTTGATTGCGTCCCATATCTAAGAATGCTTGCATTAGTACCGGCTTAGTGATGACCAAGCGACGGATCAGAAAGAATTTACCTGGCGTGCGGCCTTGTGAATCATCTCAGTCTTATCTACTTGCTTAAAAGCATCTAAGGTGTTTGTATTTCGGATTATACCTTCAGCTCTCACAGCATTTAACGGTACACTACGGACGTGGTTAGCTATAAAGGTTGGCTTATAATGGTGAGAGAGGTAGGATACAAAGAAAACACAAACATACGTATTGCTAGTAAGAGCGCTGGCCAACACCTGCATCCTTACACTGTCGTCCGGAGCAGTGCCAGGACGAGGCTCGTAGAGTCCTAAAACTGGTCGTGCCGAGTCACTAAGCTTATCATGGTCTAACTTGGAGGCAAACAAGGCCGAGTAAAAAGGTAGCTCAATCTCCGACGAGAAGGGCGCAAATTTGAGTGCTGCCATGACGTCGATAGATATTAGCCGATGCGGCGTCGTGGTAGTGGTAGTGGTAGTGGTAATAGTAGTGAATACCCAGGTAGGTATGTAGGGTGATGAACGTAAGGGCGCTAGGAAATGCGCCTAAGCCGCGTTGCGGGAATTATGCCCGTGCGATGGATTACTACAAATCAATAATATATCAGATATCATAAGATAAACGGTGTAGTAGAGATTCTCTGAATGTTGAGGGGAGGCGTATGAGGTAGGAGGGGCAGTTCAAATCAAGTCGGCTCTAAGTTGGTGAGAGCGGGGCGCTGTGTTCTTTTCAAGGGACGGGAATGACATATGATGGAGATCGAACCTGCTATCTTAGGCATGTACATACATACCTACATAGGTAAGCAGCAACTAACAATTAACAGCAATTAACAACAAGGAAAAAGCGATTATGATCGGATGTTGGATGTAAAGACTATAAATACTAGGCATCCTGTCTAAGAATAATATACTTTTTAACTTATTAATTACTGTGCAAATAGGATCACATGGCTGCATCATGAGTAGTGAGATGCTGCTGATGTAAAATGTAGGGCTGCAACACGGACCTTCTTCGCTGATGCTGACGTGACCTTCCAGCCTGCCAGGCGGCCAGGGGCACCTGAACAATCGGATAGCTGCTGCAGGTGCTATAGATGTCCTTCTAGGCTCCTCTTGGCAATGGGCTATGTACCTAATATGTAGTTTTCTGCTTCATAAGTACGCATCTGTACAATACATGAGGTACATCTAAGTGGCTGGCTAAATTCCGGTATGTAGTGGCTTCCCTTCCTCCTTTCCCCCACGCGACAAGACGCGTTTTCAGTGGATGGCAAGGGCCCCATTTCACTACATAGCTTTAGGTGCAGTACTTTAGGTATGTACCTATATTGGGAAGAAATTGCCTAACCATGCAGCGTCTTCTATAGACTTCAATGTTGCACTACATTGCATTCGGAAACTCATCGTTTCTTTTCGTAAAAGATGCTGATAGGAATTTGCGGCGGTAAGATATTTATTTAATTCTCTCACCTGCCTGCCCCCTTGAAGAATTCTCGCTTATACTAATATACTAAACCACAGCAAAATGTGCCGGTAAGAGCACCGTAGCTCAATACCTGATAGAGCATCACGGCTTCAAGAAGCTACACTTAACATTATCAGCACCTAAGAGTGACACTCACCCGGACGCATCCGATTCCGATGCAGGTTTGATCATCTCCGATCCCCCTAAGAAAGGTCTCCCTCTACCTCGGAAGCAGATATCCCCATCTTATACCTTCTCTACTACCACGTCCCTTCTGGACTTCGTAACAAAGCACTGGCGCTCGCGCTGGGTCACAACAGACGTCCATGACGAGGGCGTCCTCGAGACCCTGGGTCGACGACCATTCTTCATTCTAATCAGCATCGACGCGCCTCTGACCGTGCGGTGGCAGCGTTACCAGCGACGAAATAGTGAGCAACAAGAGACGGAGAATCAAGACCCCATCAGTCTGGAAGAGTTTGTATCCCAATCTGATCAGCATCTCTATGATGTCTCATACGGTGTTCTCCCGCTCATGTCGCGGGCCGCGATCCGGTTGCTGAACACCTCTTCGGACCTTGCACACCTGTACGCCACGCTGGGTAAGCTAGACTTAACGAATCCCGACCGCCTGCGCCCTAGCTGGGACAGCTACTTTATGGCTCTGGCATCCCTCGCGGCGCAGAGGTGTAATTGCATGAAACGCGCTGTAGGGTGCGTATTAGTAGATTCCAAACATCACGTCATCAGCACGGGCTACAACGGGACCCCGCGGCACTTGTTGAATTGCGGCGAAGGCGGCTGCCCGCGGTGTAACTCGGGAGAGAGCAGCGGAGCAGCATTATCTACCTGTCTTTGCCTTCATGCGGAGGAAAATGCCTTATTAGAAGCCGGCCGTGAGAGGATTCGTGACGGAAGCATTCTGTACTGTAATACATGTCCATGCTTGACGTGTAGTATCAAAATTGTACAGGTTGGTATCACCGAGGTAGTATATAGTCAAGGATACAGCATGGATACAGAAACGGCCGAAATCTTTCGGAACGCTGGGGTGAAATTAAGACAGTTTTCTCCGGTAAGTACTTATTTTCTTCAATCATTCCTCGAGCTGAGGTTATCAACATGGATATAAGAATTAGCACTAATATGTACGCAGCCGGCCAACGGACTAATACATCTAGAGAAGATGGAGCTCTACTGATGTATAAAGTATAATAGATAGATCTTGTGCTCTTTCACGCCTTCCGGGTTGCGAGGCTTGCGGGAAATCTGAATACATGGACCAAGATAGGAGTAGCAAAGAAAGGACTTGTAGACAAGGAATCACTTATATAACCGTAACAAAACGAAAGGCCTCAGATATTCGTAAACTGATTGTCATTAGAGAAATTAAGAGTATTTGGACTCTATCGAGACTAACACCTCTTGATAAGAGTCCATTAAGTGGTATGTTGAGCATGTAACGCAAGACATGGCTAACTTTCTTGGACCACCAACTTCAGGTCCCAAGTCCCTCGAATACGATACGCCATATTCGTGAGGGACGGACGGGTTGTCGAATCGAAATATGTAACACGTTACTGATGTCTCGTTTCGTCGTTCGTACCAACCCCCTCTCCCTTTCCTCCTAAACCCTCCAGACCTTCCCACATGTTCTCGTTTCACAACCCCTATGCGGGGATGGCGGCCTTCGTGGCTCTTCGCTTGGCAACAGCCTTGGATATCCAGAGACCGATCAAGCCAACAGCGACGACGAAAACGATGCAAAAGACGACAATAACGCCAGCTTCTTGTTGCTATTTGAAATGTTAGCGTGTCCCTATATTGTATTGTATATAACATTTCCCTAGAGCATTCTTGTTTGAATACAATCAACAGGTAAGGTGAAAGTGATAATAATGGGTTTACATACAGCCCAGTTCTCACGGCGGACGATGTGGCTGAGGGTGTCGCGAGCGACAACGGCGTTGTTGATGGCAGGCATGTTGATAAACTACAAATTGAGTCAGTACTATGCTATTCCAAGTCCAGCGTCTATCAATTGAACAACTTGATCAAAGTAGATCCGTCCTAACACATGAAATTCGCGCGTTGCGGTAGGATGCAATTAAAAAGGCGCATGTAACAATTCATTGGAATCGAATAGATCTGACTCGGGATCGCAGAGCTCTCTCGGGCGAAATTCGGTAACGCGAATGAAATGGTAGTATGCTTTGTATGTTTTGATGTCGTTGCTGGCAAGCTCTTCAAACCTCCAATTGATATTCATAGAAATGCGGCTTACCTCTTAGGTGGTCGGAAGAGTAATGCTGTGGTTGCTATGCGGAATGCGGAATGCAGATGAGTAACTTGGTGGTGGATGAGCTTAACTGTTGCTTGACAGGTCAGAGAAGCTAAATCTGCGAACAACACAGGCCCTTGGATAGGATCGAGTGAGAAGATTTCCACAAGGACAAGTGAGTTGAAGGAGTAAAAGAGCAGAACAAGAAGTTAGAAAAAGGTGGGAGAGATCCGGGTCAAAAAGGAAAATAATAAGATGAGCTCTCGGCGTTAGACCTGGAGACGAGGGCAACAAAAAAAAAAAAAGCTTGTCCGGGGCGGCAGCTCGGTAAGCCTGCAGCAGCCAGGGCGGCTTGAAGCTCTGCGCGATTTTGTAGGTGGAGGTCTACAGGCACCGGGGTCACCGGATCCACTGAGTGGATAGCTGTATTTATTGTAATGCCGCAAATTGGCAGAATTAGGTATGGCTAACGAACATCTGATCGGCGCAATGGGGAATGCGAAAGGCGGCGAGGGTCTGAGCTCACGAGTAAACCCGACTTTGGCCACGCAACAACGATTGTGCATTGTGCACGTCGTATACTCATAATAATGTATCAATTGGAAAAAGAATATTTACTTACAGTTAAGTATCCGCAATCCACTATCCAGAAGACTCTCTACGAATTGCTACGAAGGTCCTCGGCGTTGCGAGAAACCGATAGCTGTGGATTCTGGAGAAGGCGGTATCGTAGGATTTATGAATTGGAATTACGGATGGAGAGGTCGAAGAGAGAGATGTGGAGTTCACTAACCTAGGTACTTGGCTAACCTAGGCCGTTGTTTATGGTCCAAGTGCGGTGATGTCAGGTCCGGCCATTGCCTGCTACAGCACTAGTCCGCGTCCGGCTCGTGATGGCTTAAACCCTTTTCGTGGCAGTCATGCGATAGTGATAGGTACCTTGTGGCTATCGCAAGAAACTATGCCGACAGCAAGTACTGTTTACCACGTAGAGACTTCCATCCAATTGTCTTAAAAAGCCTCTTCTACTATTTCTCCTTTCGTAACCTTACAGGGCTCCCAGAAATATTAGCTAACACTACAGTAAGAAAACAAGTATGTAAGGTAGCAGTAATGCGTGAATTTATTAGACCACTTAAATGTTACTTTTTCCAAGAGTACCAGTTCAGTCTTACGACTTATACGACACCCCAGTTACATTAAGACGCTATGGTACTGTTTACATGTACACAGATCCTAGCGAGGCTAAGCTTTAAATCGTCGATGGAGCCAGACTTACATACGATGTAGATGTGCCCTATTGACGATCTACATACATAGTGGCAGAACAGACAATCAAATAAACGCATCGTCGAAGTTGACGGCTCGCAGCAAATCTGTTTAATTTGTAGTATCAGTAAAACATATAGACGTTAGTCGCAAGTATATACATGTAAGTAGCTGAGTACATGATAATAGCACAGTACTAATCGTAAGCTAGCCCTTTGGGAAATTTCAATCGCGCATCGTTGAACCCAGCGCCGTTGTGGAGCATTCCTTTCTTGGGAATATTTATGTTTACCTTGCAAGGATATGGAAATCATCTCAAGACACCTGACAACGAACCGTATCCGTTTTCTGAAGCTCTGCCAAATGTCTCTTTACCAATTATCAATATGTACCTACCAATTACACCTACATATGTAATGTAGGTATCTAACTTGGTATTCAAGAGGCTCTGGAGATCAGCAATACCCGTACCTGGAAATCAAAGTTTCTAGGCAAAACGTTATTTCAGTCCGAGCCAGGTATCTCCCGGATACATTAGGTTAGTATACTACTTAGCAGTGGGCTAAATCTTTCGTTCCTGGTCTATAAAACTTTGAGGCGAAGACATCGCTATCCGGCAATAACAGGTATTGAGGCAGAATGCCGTAAAAAAAAATAATAATAAAAAAACATGCCCCATACTACATATGATGGCTAGTATGGGGTATTTTTGACGCTATTCTGTGAGGGCTACATGCTAGTTCTTCATCCCGGATTACCATTACAGCTGAAGAACATAAGTCTTGAACTTCAATCGCTTTGTCTTCAAGCTGACTCTACTAAGTAAAAGACTTGCGTACCCTTGGGATCTAAGCAAGACCCAAGTGTGCCAATTGAATCCTTCGAATGCTCGCATAGGTGCCAAGTAGAGGGGTGTTATCATGAAATCGGAGTTCTGTCTTTTCTTGACGTTGGCGATAATATTATAATTTATCATGTTACATGAAGCCAGCTCGACTAACAATATTTCGACGATATCAAGATGCCCATAATCAATGCGGATTGGCCAACCAGCCTCGAGCCACTTTTAGGTATTGCTTTAATAGCTTGCTATATCGTAGGCCTCGGGATATATCGCCTATGTTTGAGCCCTCTTGCTAAGATCCCTGGCCCAAAACTTGCCGGTAAGAAATATTCGAAACCCGAAGCAATTATGCATAGTATGAATTACAACTACTAAGTGAGGTTGTCTAGCGTTAACTACTTGGTACAATGCCTATCATGACATGCTTCGAGGGGGTCAGTACGTCTGGGTTGTAGAGGAGATGCATCGAAAATACGGCCCAATCGTCCGGATCGGACCAGATGTAGTCCATATAAATGACCCTATGTTTATTGAAAAGCTATACTCGCAATCTCCGAAGCAGAGACGTGAAAGATATTGGACGATTCTTCAAACACTTCAAGCCACGGGATCGATTCTAGCTACCCAAGATCACGAACTCCATCGCAAGCGTCAGGTAGTTCTCAATCCTTTTTTTTTTTCTTTCGCAACAGAATGTGCGGCGCTTAGAACCCGCCATCAATGATATTCTCGCAAACTTGTTCTATCGAATGGATGGATGGGCTGAAGTTGGCCAACCTGTGCGGATGAACGTTGCGTTCCGAGCAGCAACGAAATATATTATTCAGACCTATGCGCTTGGTGAAGGGGATATGTGTCTCGACAAGGAGAATTGTAATACCGCGTTTTTTATATTAGTGAGTATATTTCAACCAATTCGAATTCTTTTTTTCGTTGCTTTATACCAAGTCCGGCTTTTCACAAGTCGGTTTAGAAGCCGCGGATATATAAAGCAAGCTTCACTACCTCGATTCCAACTCAAGAGTTAATAGCGATTTCTAACGTCATATACTATAGTGAAACCCAGTCGACTGGCTCATCTCAGAACCCACATGTTTTAGCTAGCCAATCTTCTTAATAACTTACCTCCAAAATTAATGACTATTCTTATACCCCAGGTCGGCGTATTTATGAGTTTTGTCGAGGTAGGCAAAATGAACCTAGAACTTTTGGCGTCTTGTATAGCTAACAACATATAATAGGGGTTGGCTGTTCAAGTCGAAGAGGTCACTTGCTTAGTGATTGTGAGCTGTTCGGTCGGCTGAGAGCCGAACTGGAAACTGTCATGCCCGATCGTAATAAGCTTCCAGTGGCATCGAAGTTGGACAATCTCCCGCTCCTAAATGCAATCATAGAAGAAGCCATCAGGCTTTACCCTGACGCTACCCATCGGCAAGATCGAACATGTCCTGACGAGGATCTCGTCTACGAGGCGCCAAACGGCCAAACATATGTCATCCCAGCTGGCTCAGCCGTCGGCATGGCAGTTCCGATGCTGAATCGCAACCCTGTCTTGTATGATCAACCAGACGAATTTCGACCTGAACGTTATCTAGAGAACCCAAAGCTTTCAAAAATATCACATGTCGTTTTCTAGGGGAACGAGGCAATGCATATGAATCAATCTTGCGTACCAGGAACTTCGGACTTTTACTGCTGGTATCACCAGGTGTTACGATATCTACGATCCGACTAGAAAGACTCAGAGTGGTCCAACATTAGAGTTGTATCAGACCACGAGGGAAGATGTTGCAATGCATTCGGATTTCATAACGACTGCGCCATATAAAGGCAGTCTAGGTCTAAGGGTCATGATTCGGAGTTGAGTCTGAATGAAGCTGGCTACACGGCTATTAAAAACATTAAGTTAGGTATGTACCTATGTATATTAACACTCAGATAGCAAACAAACAGCAAACAAACCTATAGAGAGCTCTGAAGTAGGGATTCGGTCTAGAGGGATAAATATTATTGAACTTGACTGTAGGTAGCGGATTCGTGGATATGATATGCACCCCTTTTGTAAAGGCCAAGTAAATTAGTTCTAGTGATGACGCTCAAAATTACTTCAAGCCCATAGTAGATTGATGACTCGTATGTCTGTATGTGCAAACCAAACACCACCACAACATATGCGATGACGACTTTGCTAATCTCGCGGTGTATAAGTAATTCCCCTAGCACTAAATATCTGTCATACAACTCCCCGCCATCTCATAATTTCGCCGTCTCGGTCAAGTCCCCGACCTTCAGCTTACCGCCGTACTTTTCTAGAACATTCTTGCCATGGTACTTCCAGAATTGCTTCGTCGCGTTTTTGCCGGCCATGCGCTTGAGGATCTTTGCTCCTCCTGGGTGCTCGTCGAGGAAATCTACGATGGGAAGAGATTATTGTTAGTCTAATCGGTTGACAATAGCGAAAGGGAGAGTTTGACGGAAACAGTCTTACTTGTGATATCATAGACGCCACTATCTACGATTATGTACATGCCGTTCTTCTCGTCCTTGTGTTCGGCAACATCTTTCGCTGTGAATGTCTTAGACATGGTGGAGATTACGGGATTCGGCGCTGGAATTTGGAGAACTCGGCTTAGCTTGGGAAGATGTCTCGCTGGGTATGATGTTTGTGATAGACGAAGAATGTGTCTAACCTAGGAATTAATTATTTATACGATAGACACTATGGAATAGGTAAATTCGTGATGTAGTGACTCAGGAGCTTAGTGATTGTCGAGGAACAAGAAATCCAGCTTATCGCAAACTTCCCGTCGTGATTTAATCCATTCAAAAGAACCTCGGCATAACATCATCCAAGGTACAGAACTCAACAGGGGTTCAATTACCTTCAACGCTATTGGTGCGTCGGATACATTAACCTTACCGCCCCAGAGGTAAGATAGAGCACTAACATGCTTCTGGAATAGCGGATATTGTGGATCGAATCATGTACCTTAGGCACGGTACTTAGGTAGGTATTCCGTGTACCTACTACATGTACTTCGTCCTGACAGGTGACAAGTATTATTTTATCTTCACTACATGTAAACCTATAGATTGATCTCGGGTTGCTTACTATGAGGTCTTTCAATGATAGAGTTGATTTATAGCTAAGATGCACCAATATGCTTAAGGCTACTACTATGCGATTAGATCTGAGGAACATGAGTGTAGGTGATACTCAGATATCTCAAAGCTCCAACCTCCCGCCTTTAATTCAACACAGTATTTCTCCTATTCTATGAGTATGCCCCGTTCCATGGCCCTCCTAAACAAGTCTGCGAACGTCGAAGTACCCCTGCAATCGCTCGTTTGCATCTTGTCTAAAGCAGTAGGCATCCATTCCCCTATTTTTTGTATTCGGTTGTTGTTCTGTATATTGTTAGCTAGACTGGTCACTCGGGATTCATGATGCTCTATAAAGCATAGTGTACGTACGGAAGGATGAGTACTCAGCCATTCAGGCGGTTCTCCCTGTTGCGCTCTTTCCATCCTCTTCCAGAAACCAATGGCTTCCTGCGGATTGTAGCAAGCTTCCGCCATCATCATTAGGCCGATGTAGTCTGCCTCGCTCTCCTGCATGCGACCCATGGGCCTCGAGAATAAAAGATCTAGAACTGCGCTACCAATGAACTGTGTACCTAAAATCGCTATCCCACCCGTGAGAAATATGAGAGAATAGAGAAGGATGTTTATCCCAATCTGCCCTGACATGCGCTCGGCCACGTGCCCGGCCAGATTGTGAGCAATCTCGTGGCCTAGCACCGTCGCAAGGCCATCGTCGTTTCCAGCAATGGGTATCAAGCCGCTAAAGACAAAGACCTTTCCGCCGGGAAGGACGAATGCGTTCGCGGTGTCTAATCGCTGTTAGCGCATTGGTTTGTCTTGTCTCGCGTCATAAATCCGCCGAGATAGGTAAATCCCGAGGTTTTCACGTACGGGGATCGTCAATTACCCTAATCTCCCAATTGCTATCTTCCATGCCCGATACGGGTATTAACTTTCTCATGACACGCTTCACCATGATCGTTCGCGGATCCCAGTCGCTTAAGAAACGCCCGCCAGAACGCTCTACTTCCCATATAAGGCGCTTGACCTGCGCCTCGCTCGCCGCCTCTACCGACTTCTCACTAAAACAATTAAAGCGCCGGCGGCCTGACACTGGTACAGTCTGGATATTTATATAGTAGAATATCACCGCGCCGGCAACGGAGAGGGCGACAACGGTGTGCAGACTCGGGGAGCGGGCGAACCGTCTAAGACGATCGGAGGTTACGAGAGGTCTGGCCTGGGAGAGCCGGTAGTGAGGATCAAGATTATAGTTGCGCGTCTCGCGAGGAGGGCGTGGCCAGTTGTTCTTGCGGAAGTGAGTATGGGAGAATGGTCGGATTCGTTGGATAGGACGAAGAGAAGGGAAGGTCGGGGGAGACGGAGGAGACACTCGCATCGGCAGAGAGTGCCATAAAGGCCGTAGAAACCGACGCGATTGCATCGTGAGGTTTGCGCGCACGCGCACGCGAGAAGGCAGAAGACACAAGCCGGCGTAAAGGTTGAAAGTTGAAAGTTCAGCTGTGAGCTAAGAGAAGAGCTTAGGTTAAGTATTACGTCAATTATTTCTGTAAGTGCCAAGACCACTAGATCCGGGTTATAAATAGAATGGGTTATACACATACTATGTACATAGGTACATATGCGCCTAGCCAATGATCCCTCCCTCTTACCAATAGTGGACCTATGTCCAACTCTACATAATAATACTATCGACCTACAACATCACAACACATGAGGATACATGGCCAATCAACAGGTAAAAGTTCAAATAGCAAATCAGATAATAGTATGATATATAATAACCCAGTTAAAACATTATCCAGGATAACCAGGAAGCCTTTTATACCCCTCCAATTCATACATAACCCCAGAAAAAAAGAATCTACAATATTATCTCATAGGATCCCAGTCCTTAATATCTTCCGTAGAAATATATCTATAGCGCAAGGAAGAAGAATGCTGCTACACCCATAAGCGTAAAGCTCACGCTTGTCTTAACACTACCAGCAACAGGCACGACGCAGTTAGCTCCCTTGCAACCGGCAGCCCCAGTCGACGCCGCACCGCCGGGAGTCGTGAATGATGTCGTTATTGTTCCGTTGTAACCTAGGTTGATGCTGCTGGAGAGAACTACGGTTGGCGTCACGACGACGTAGGACCCGCCGTTGGTGATGGTGGTGCTTCCGCTGCTGCTGGCCGTTGTAGGGCTCGGGGTCGAAACTACGCCCGTTTCCGTTGCCGTGCTCTCAGCCGGCTTGCTGATTGTGCCAGGTGTCTCGGCAGGTTTGCTTGAGCTAGGGGTGGCGCTTGGGCTTTCCTTGCTCACAGGACACACAGTCGTCGTGAGGGTAACTTCGCTAGTGACGGCACCAACGGGGCAGTTGGTGACAGTGGCCGCGCAAGAGGTAACCGTGTATGTATTCGTCACCTCAACTACGCTGGTGGTGTACTCAGCGGGTGCACTTGAAGTTGGCGTTGGCTCAGTCTTGGAGCCTTCCGATTTGGTCACAGGGCAAACAGTGGTTCCGACTGAAATAATCTTGGTAGTGACGTAACTGCCCGCGGGGCAGTCGGTCACTGTTGAGGCACACGATGTGACGGTGTGGATATCAGTTGAATAAATGGTTGAGGTGGTCATCTCCTGCTCGGTAGTAGTGACCGACACGCTCACGGTGGGCGAGACAACAGACGAACTTGAGGTTTCCCCATTCTCATCGGTACAGGAATCGTCGTCCTCGGAAGCGGTTGATGTTGCCGTGTTTTGCGAGGCAGAGGAAGTCGTCGTTACAGACGCGCCAGGGCCGTCGGATTGGGTCGACACGGAGGCGGTAGTAGACTCGGTGGACACCGAGGTAGCGGAGCTAGGTGCGGCAGATGTGCTAGACGGGCTAGATGCCGTTGACGAGGTCGAAACTTGGGCTTGACCCTCCTTAAGCTCGTAGACCTTGATATCTTTCACCTTGAAGTTGGAGGATTCGAAGTCTCCGCCCTTCGCGGCGACATACTCATTGCAGGTGCCAAATCCAGTTGTAGCCTTGCAGCTAGTGTCCCACTGACCAGTCTGGCCAGCGACACCACAGAAGTTAACGTTCAAAACCATCTTCATATCCTTGAATGCCTTGTCGACGTTACACTTGCTGATCACATAAGATGGCTGGCCCCATGCAGAACCGGGAGCCGGCTGGCCGCTTGAAATGTCCTTGGGAGCGCCGTCGCGGGGCCAATCCCAAATCTTAAGGAAATCATCCGTCCATTCCAACGCGAAGATACCTCCGGAGGGGGACCCGAAGGTAGAAGAAATCTCGGAAGCGGAACAACCTTGGAAGTTCGCTTGTCCGTCAGCGAAGTCGTAGCAGTTGGGGGAGTCGATCTTCGCTGTCATGTCACTTGCAACAAGTGTGCAGTCCCCGACGACATCAGGCTTATCAACATGGGAGGTGTGGCGGTTGAAGTTAAGATCGTTCCAGTTCTCATAGAGATCGATTTCACCCTTAGTTGGCCACGGGTCACCAAAGAACCACTAATAATTCAGGTTAGCGGGCTCCATATGCAAGCATATACAACCAATGCCAAGGAAAGAGAAAGACTCAAGGCTCGTACGAAGGCTCAAAGGCATAGTGCGACGCTATAAGCATAAGGAGACTTACGAATGCGGGCCACGAACCACAAACGGGCTTAGGCAGGTGAGTAAATTCGGCAATGATTAAACCCTTGTTGTAAACGTTTTTACTTTCCAACCTAACACTCTTTCGCCCAGCACCTGTAGCTTGGTAACTGCCAGCAATATCTACACCAACGTATACCTCATCATCCTGGGTCTTAACCAAGCCAAGGTCCTGCGCGTTGGCCTGGGTTTGGTACTGGACGTAACCGCCGTTGGGGTCAGTCCCCTAAGGAGAAAGTTAGACGAGTCAAATGAGTAAAGTCGTTTACTTAGGCACTTACGCTGAAGAAATTGAACTTATCAAAGAAATTAGTCGAGTTGTAAACTTCGGAAACCTGATACGATTTGGTAGCGCCCGTATTGGCAGCTATGGCAACAGCAGCAGCGCCGACAGTTTTAAGGAGTGACGAAGCCATTGCTATGGCTATAGTATGCGTATATTAAAGAGTGACTAGAAATAACCGAAAAGAAGAATGACGTATCTTGCGTCAAGAGTCGAATGCTCCAGGGATTTATAACAACGAAACAGCGTAAGAGAAAGGAAATATGAAGACATCCCATGCCCAACACAGCGGTTCAGGCATATTTAAGAAAAATCAACGGGCAGGAGCCCCTGAATTGAGACAAGAGGTTCGTCGACGTCCAATGACTGTGGACTTAGACGCTGCAGATTAGCGGCGCTGCTACCGCGCCTGCGCATAGGTAAGTAAGCTTCCCAGTATCATGGTGGGCTCACGTTTCGATGAAAGGACGACGTTGCCCATTGGGTAGCATCCCGCTCTACTTCAAACAATGTTTATGTAGTACTGGAAACCAACTTCTACTCTTGGGAAGGGTCCGATTCTGAGGGGATTCTGGATTGTGATAGGCTTAGGTGGATAGCACCACAGCGCACGGAAGGAGAATTTTTAACAAATGACTGGCTCGAAGTCGACATTGGGCCGGTTAGACTTTCCTCGGTTCGCGGCTGTCAACGAGCAGACGCTGTCGCTAAGAACCCAGGTTCCTGGACTGACGAAATGTGGATAGGGGCTCGGCCGAACTAAGCGATGGTGTATTATCTTGACGGGTACTTACCGTAGCTAACATCTTAACCTAGGTAGATAGTATGGTAAGAAATACAGAAAATGCATATTTCTCGCTTGAGTACCTACACATTACCTACACGTTCATGAGAGTAGTAGAATCCTGGCCAGTGTCACTGATTCCTACGCATGAGGAACATACGTGAAGAAATACTTGGCTCATTGCAGGTATATGAGATAGGTAAGAAACCCACTGATCTGAAGTTCAAGCGATCCCCACGTTAATTGATTCGTGGCTGTGTAGGGATCAGAATGTGCCGCCGTGTGCGTGCCTCGCAAACGATTGCTTATGAAACGAGTGGGATTTTCAGGCGAACCACCCCCATCTCATTTCGGTTGGTCTGGTTGGTGAGAAGTCCAGCCCCGAATTTTATTGGTGCCTACGAGCCGTTACCGATAAATATCAGTAGTGGCTTGTAGCGTCATACATAGGTAGGTAGGTAGTATATTAAGTTACCCTTCAGCTGGATGCTATTCCAGTGTCTAGACTCAATTGGCTAGACTCAATTGGTTAACGTGTACGGATCCGTATTCTTGGCAGATACTGGCGATGCTTTGAACTCACGATTAGCCCCTTAGTCAAGATCTGTAGCGGGATCTATGTTAGTTCTGCTGTCGATCATATTCCCTGCATCCCGTTTTGGCTCGTTATGGTAATGATCTGCCAGCTCTTCCACTTCGAGTAGGATCAAAAGAAAAGGAGAATCCGTCGGATTATTTTACCTACTACGGAGTAGAGGCTGACATCGCATCGATAGGTGGTAGCCAGCACCCACCCACCATCCTAATGTCTCTTCAACCCTTCATTACAATCAAGGAAGACTTTGAATATATTCCCATACCTCGTATCCCTTCAACCGAGTCCAGAATCATATCCTAACATACCAAGTATCTTTTATATAACCCGCTTCTAAGCCCGAATGCCTCACGGTTCCCCCCCTTCTTTCTTCTTTTTTCTCTTTTTTTCTCTTCTAGGTATCCCCCACGCCGCAAATCTATAGTGCCATGCGATCCTTTTAATTACCATGTACTCTCATGATTCCTGTCAAACGAACTTATGTGATTCCCTAGGCGTCAGACTCGGTCCATTGAGATTGCGGAATCAACCTCTAACGGTAATCGCGCGTCCTGCTCATCTCGCCTTGATACTATAATGGTGCTGGCGGCGCACGGCCCTCCCCATACTCACCGCGATATCCTCGTGCAGTTTTTTACGAGAAAGCGGATATTCGATTGAACACCTCTTTTCTGTCGTTGTGGAATTGGTACCTACTGTTAGTTATCTCAGCTCCAGTTATTTCAGTGCCCTTCGACTATCCCCGGAGGCTATAAATTCGACTGTACACTTCCCATAAAGACTCCCTCTCGCCTCGCCAGCTTTAATATGCCGTCTCTTAGCGGCATCAGAGGATGTGCCTTGCCAAGAAGCTGTCCCTCTCGTATTAATAGAATCTTATATCTAATCGATGCAGAGTTCTTCCCTCTGCTTCCTCTTCTCTTCGATGGTTTTCCTCTGTCGTCGTTGCATCCATACGAATCCCAAGACAGCAAGTATGACGAAGACTGGTACGAGAAGTCCAGCAGCAATTGCGGTGTTGTTATTGACTCCGTTGTTGGAAGTTGGTTGGTTGGTGGGCCTTGACGGTAGTATCGTCGTTCCGTCGAAGGGCTATATCTTTTATCAATGTCTGCAATGGATAACATAATCAAAGGTCTCGAATCCTCACATTTATCGGGTCATCCACGGTTTCTTCCCCATCCGATTTGGCAACGGTGAAGTAGGACGAAGATGCAATAGCCAGTGCTGAAATCTTCGATCTTACTTGGTTCTGAGGCCACACCTCTATCTCGTATTTGGCTGTCTCAAGATACGGGAGTGGATATGGAATGCTTTCCCAGAGAAACGATGTGGCATTAAGTCCAACTATCATATCATGTAAGATACCTCTTCGTATACACACCCATTACATAAATTTCTTACTTGTGATGTTAACTTCTAACGAATTCGCTCCAAATTCGCCCGTCTGATTGATGAGTCTGGAGTAGAGTACAAGGGGGTAGTCGGTCGCATTGGCCTCCCATCGCAATAAAAGGTCAGATCCACGAGTAATATCCTTAAATTTATTTTGAAAGCCTGGTATTGCCATCGCTCAAAGCTAAATGGATTTCAAGACGGCCGGTGTCTCTTATTCTAGTTCCTAACTCTTCTTAAAAGGAATAACACGGATCATATGACGTGTGGTCAAGATAGAGAACCTAGGAGATTTCTCTTATGAAATAGTTCATCGAAGCTAGAGAAAAGCTGTCTAGGATTCTCGTCAAATTTTCACTGTAAAGTTTTATATTTGAACGTGGCAAGCTCGATATGCAAAGGCCAAGGCCCAGAATAGGCAAATGTGGTTATATTGTATAGCGCTTTTGCATAGGGGTACGTTCCAATTTACATTTTGCCGGTTCTCTTCCTTACTAGGGGGGGCTTTTTTCTCCCAACGGTCACCCCGTGAATATATCAGCAAATTTCCATCTCAGTCGCGACTTTGCCTATATATCGCCTGCTGATATCCTATTCTAAAGGGTAGTATCTAGAGCTATAAAACTACCTGATCTAGAGATCTGTCTGCTGAATGCGATTGCAATGCCAGATGGCACTCGAAACAAGAGAGCCTAGTGGTATCATTGATTTAATGTGTAAAATGATAATACTGGCAAGAACAACACGTTCGAAGATATACTTCGAAGATATACTTCCGTAGTTGATAATCCTTAGGACAGGATCTGTGGAATATATGTTGGGGGGTAGAAAAGATGTTGTTTTCGGAAAGATTCTAATGATCCACTTTTCAATGGTGGAAATCTTATATATGCCCTCATTGCCATTGCTCCTTCCCACAGATCCTACGATAACGAGACTAGGAAGGAAAGGACGGATGTTAGTTAATTGTTTCACAAAACGGCCCAATCGATTGAAACCTCTAAGACTACATAAGGTAGGCAACTACATACCTAGGTAAACTAAGGTAAACTCAATCTCATTTTCTTATTGTCCTTATTGCATGTATCCTTCCTCAACTACATCTCTACTTCACGTCCACTTTGCGTCAATATTCAAATTGCAGAAGAGGGATGCAATAGCCAGCTCTTTAGTTCTCAAAAATTCTGTTAATATTAGGTTTATAATATGGTATCGCTGTGTCCTTAAAATAGCGTTAAAAAAGGCCGTTCGCTGACACGGAGTTCAGTCCTGGAGCAAACCACGTAACAAACGCCGTCTGCTTGCCACGGTTAAGTGCAGCCGTGGAGACAAGGCACGTAAAACAACCGCCGTACTGTCACGTAACCAGCGTATAAATAGTGACTTCTCGATGATATGGCATAAAACCTTGTTTTATGCCCACTGGTTCAACCGTAAGCCCTTGCCCTTTCTTTATTCTCAACAGTGTGGCATCCATCAGCTAACTTAACTTCACTACAGCACGATGGAGTAAACCTTACCAGCCTTAGGTTAAAGCTTCAAACCATGTAGAACATGAGAAACCGAGTGGCTATATTCAGTGGTAGTGCCGGCTGAAGACACAGTCATAGGCGAGCTGCTTGCTGATGACTTATTAGCGACCGGTACACCTTCAAAGATTATCCAGCGCAGTAGTATTTATCCCACGTTATTATTTGAGTTCCTACTTGTAAGAAGGATGAATTAAATCTTGGCCAGCTGTTATCGAAGCAACGACTACAAAACAGTATGCCAAGGACAAGGAGTACCATAACCTTGTGTTGAACCGAAAAAAAAAACTTTATTTTAAAAGGTCTGTCCATACAACGAGGAGGCCTAGCACACCTTCCCTTTAGACCGTCTGGCAACAGTACCTATTCATTCGCTTGCTATTATATAAGGTCAGAATTGAACGTATAGAGTCTTACTCTTTGGGTATCTGTTTAACGATCGCCCCGGCCCGATTTCCCGGGGCGAAGCATATGGCAGGTTTTTCTTTTCTTCAAATTCCTATACCAGGATGCGGGTATGGGGTTAAGTACAAATGCGGAGGCATTAGAATTCGAACCCATCAAGTTCTTGCCGACAGTATGCGGTGATGGCGCCAGCTGGCACCACGTCATCAAATCAGTCGGGTACCGATGTTGTATCTGCGCCACTGAAATATCACGGCAGTGGTTGCTTGTGACGCTCTCTGGGATAAACATTCCGGAATCGGAAACATAGATCGATCATATCGGGGTGTGCCGTCACTGTCAATACCGGAACGCAAAAGACCATATGAGGCATCTAGTCCGTCTGAAATCCGGGTTACCCGCTGGTTTACATGGAGTAACCTGATGGACCACTGTAGAGGAATAAATCCAGGTCGTTTGAAGTCGCGTCTATCGTTGGATCGTATACTAGGGCAGTCTGTGTGTATCTTGCTGCTGCTTCTTGATCACGTTCGCGCTCGCGCTTGAGCCTGAGATATTCCGTTTGTAAGTTGGAGTAGGCGAGGCTGAGGACGTCGTTTTTCTTCTGAGCTTCGCCGAGCAAGATCTCGAGATCCTTGATACGCTGGTCCTTCCTCTCTCGATAGGCTCTTTGTGATGCGCGGTTCTGAGCTCTTCGACGCTGTAATGTATAACTCTTAGTGACTCGGTTCATAGTCACAGCACCCGGAGCGACCTTCTCAGCTTACAGATAGGACAGAGGGTGGTGCGTTCTTGTATCTGTTCTCGCGCTTCCTCTTTGCCGCAGGCTTAGAAGGAGGCTGTTGTGAGTCTGGCTGGGTTGTTTCTCCTGACCCGTCTGTATTCTCGGAACTGGGATACATCCCTTGGAAGGTAAAATTATACTAATGTTACGGTTAGCAACAACTTTGACAAGCTCGCATGTGAGCTGCATACCGGCGATTCTGTCGGGCTAGATGTTGTCGAAGAAGTGTTTGTAGAATCAAGGTACAGATCTGTATCGCCGTACATATACACCATGGATTTAGACGGAGATGCGAGACCAGTAGTATCGATTTCGTCCATTTCTATTGTGGGTAGAGTGTGTTCCTTTTTTATAGCTAATGTTCCCGTTGTCGTAGTCGGTTCCAAATGAAAGAAGAAGAAGTAGCGGGCTGGATCTGGAAGTTTCTAAAAGTTGATATCTTGGGGAGGGTGGAAATCGACTTACACGGGACAAGGAGATGGCGTCGAGGATATATCCTGCTTGTCTATTCATTGGAGCTGGGAGAGTTCGGCGTGCGTCATGCGTAAACGATCAGCTAGGTCAAGTCTTACCCTGTCTGACAATGTGCAGAGTCCCAGTAGGCGAGGCGCGGCGCCGTCAACTTAGATTCGCTGCAAACGACCACTTTGATTTGGCATGTATTCACAAGTACCTCACCACCCCTGAACGTGCAGGCGGAGCAGCCGTCTAACTGCATACGGAGGAGACTCTCCACGCTACTGTAAGTCAGTACATTAGAAACTGGGGGTTCACCCCCAAGGCAATAGGAGAGAATCCGAAAGCCGGCGTTCTGTAAGTGGGGTCTTCGGAGGAGGATAGGTCCTGTTCGGAGGTAGAATCCTCGGGAAGCAAGCTTACATAAGAGACTAGAGTTAGGTATGGCTATATTCGATATTATATTATATACTATATTATATGCAGATATTCGCGAGAAGTACATACATGTGACTCTCCTTTCTCTTCCCCCCTGTCGGAGTAGAACCCGAGGAAACTGCAGAATAAAGTCGCCTTCACCCTGGCCATCTAAATGTAACTTTTGACGTAGACAATAATAAATAATAATATCGTCTTTTGACGTAGGCAAGTATCCGATTTGTGACGCATGATCGCAAAATCCTGCCCGCGTTGTTGGGTTTGCGGAACATCCGCAATTGATTCTACTTTAAACATCGGATCTTGAGTTGCTGTCGAACACGCTGGATATGTCTTACCGCTCAACCCCGTCGCATACATCGCGAATGATTCATCTCATTGAGGAACCGGTGCGGACGAGTAAGTAGCCGTCTGCCGTTAGAATCTAACCCCAGATATATTTCAACTACCGATGGGTCGTTACTGATCTCTTACGGATCTCTGCTACATTGGTAAACCGCATCCACTCTGTTGGAACTGCAGAATGAGATGAGTCCTTATCCATCAGTGAGGCTATTGAAAGCTACGAATGTTGTCAGTGTCAGTGTCAGCGTCAGTGCTGTATGCCTCGCGGAGTGATTAGACCCAGCGTTTGGCCCAAGACCCTCCATCGTAAATCTGGGGGTTTATCCAGTATTTTTCCATATCGGAAGGAAACTATACTATCTTTAACTTGGTATATTACTAACCTAGGTTGGTATATTCTTCTCCGTCGTGTAAATAAGGTAGGTAGTTATCGTTGGTAGTGCCTGTGAATGCGTCATGATCAGCATTTTACTTTTCTTCCTGGGGAATATTCTTCGTAGAACTGGAATCTGGCAACGCAATAATAGGTGTCTCTCCATTGTAAGCACCTAAACTATATGCCAAGATATTAATCTCAATTCCCCGCCTAGGTATCCGCATTGTATTGCAGGTATGAGAGGCATGGGGCGATAAGAGGTCTGTCCCGAGTTCCAGAATATCATCATCCCAAGGGACAAGGGGACAAGGGTAGGCACATAACCCTGACTTACCTGCGTGCTGCTCGTCGATCTCTTGGCATACAAACATGCTTGTAGAGATCGACAGCTAACCCCCTATTCGACAGCGCTAGGCTAAGCTGGGTTGGGGTTGGGGGGTTGTTAATGCTTTGTGCAGTACGGAACAATTGACTAAGCCTTGAGTAAAAATAGAGATGACTTATAAAAATGGCCTAGACGTCCTCCGCTCCCCAAAGCTTCCCAAAGTTGGCTATTCCCGAATCTTACCTCAGATACTACCGGAACTGACATGGCATGTTCGCTCCAAGAAGCCGGGGAGTTCTGCTTTCGTCACTTGCCGAGGATGCCAAATATCCACTTCTAGCTTTTCCGGGGTAGTCAGATTCTAGATTAGTCGATTAGGGGCCGTGGAAATGTGAAAAAATAGAAAACATGCATTGTGCCTGGCACCATTATCATCCATGCGGCTAAGTTCTTAAAGACGATGCCTGGTAGACATAGTCGGAGATATCATTTTCTCAGCTACGGATAACCACCCAGTTGAGCTGTAGGCGGTAGCGGTGAACACCGAGAGGGAAATTATCTAGTTAACGTAGAAGAGACTATGTTACTAGACTTATGCGTGAATTTTACCAACTGATCTGATAATTGATATGTTAAATGACTCGCATCGAGAGGCCATGTATAGAGTAGAAATCCGGAGCTGTTCTTTAGCATACACTCTCGACCCTGCCAAGATGTTGATGTTTAAGATATGCAGATTTAGGTGGGGGGGGGGAATAAGAGATGGATGCCGCCAGTCTGGCTCCCCTTGATTGTCCACTTAGAATAAAGGTGAACGGCGAATTTGTCGAGTAATAACTTAAAGCATCATGTATGTCAGATTAAGGCTGTACATATAATGGAATAATTAGTTCTCTTCCAAATACTATGTAATCAAAAAAAAAAAAAATTTGGCCTGCTTGGTCTTGAAGATGCGCAGGTGGAAGCGAGTTGATTGTGTCCATGACTGACATAAAAGACTAACCTAGCGAGTCCAATCATACGGGTCGGTAGGTAACATTTGTCGTTTAGCTGTACGGTCTGGTCCAGGGTCCTAATAGATGAGCGGCTATGCACTCCGCCGTTCCCCGCGGCCATATTATCGCGAACTGATCCACGGTACCAACGTGTATAGTTGAACGATTCTGGAACGTAGAATCCATCTAGAAACATGTATCCGGTTCCGTCTACAAGGGTTAATCCCGCGAATCTGGATTCAGCTGAAAGGAAACCGGCAGATACATCCAACGTGCAAGTTGATGGAAGCAATACATTTAAGCTGTACTCCCACGACGAGACGACATGACATGACACTACTATCCAAAGCCAGTCGGGCTACTATACCGAAATCCGAAGTCGAGAGCGGCATATATGTGAACTTATGCCGCCCGAGTTCCGAGTCCTTCGTTAATCCCGCTTCCGTCCTGTGCCGTAGCTCTTGAAGACTCTCTTGAAGATTGAAAGTGATGTCATCTAGTGCGCATAAAGAATCTCCGAATATCGGGTTTGAATCTACGTCCGTGCCTTAGCGTCCGCCGTGACCACTGGTATATACGGGGATAGCCTATATGGTAGATCTTCTACAATAACGTGAATGAGTGAGTTGTATTCACTCACTACAACTTTCGTCACGATAATGCAACAAATCGTGCAAAAGAATTCGGTCCCGAGGTGATCTGGGAATCCTTTCACCATCAACCTCGTTTCAACCAGACTATAACAAACAATGTTTCATTGCATCATACTTACCCAGTAAAAAATCCTGTGCCTAATTTGGCTACATCATCTGCTGCAACTCATCCCTTTAGGTAGTTTTGTTGGTCTCGCTGCCTGAAGATCCTTGCCTCGAGAAATTGAAAATTCCGTTAAGTAGGGAGGTATTAGGCTACCTACGTAGATCTGTTCGGTGTTACCGTAGATAAACGCTGAAGGCCCTCTTGGGCTTGCGCGACACCTGGGTCAAACGCAATTCTCTTGCTCAAACTTAGACTCTCCTTAAACTTACGCCTAGCTTCTTCGGTATCTCCAGTCATAGCCGCGATATCTCCAAGGTTACAAAGTGCTACGGCGCAAGCTTCGTCGCACTCATCAGTTCTATCTTCGCCCTGTACTTTCTGCGCTGTTTCTTGAGCTTGCAGAGCCCAAGCGCGGGCACTGGCTAAGAGTGTAGCCCGTGTGGGACGGGCAGTCACGTTGGATCTGCTACCCCGAGAGGTCTGGTTGGTATTTGTTGGTGTATCAATGGGTTGCTGTGCTAAAGAGATAGCTAGGTTGTTCACTTTTGCGAGATGTTTGGTTAGCCAGAAACCAATACTTGCTGATAGGAGTGAAGAGAAGTGAAAGGGGGGCAAGGTAGCATATGCCATGTTTGCACTTACTTAGAACGGCAGTGTGGCAGCTATTTCGGGGCGAGAGTGACACTGCCTGCAGGAAGAGCGGTGCTGAGAGGTAGTGTTGGGACTTGGACTCGTAATGATTTCCTAACGCTAATTTTGGTCAGTGGTGCCTTACACATCGTACAGAGATGGATCGAAAACGCGATGAAGACTATCCGTACCTTCGAGCGCACCGCCGATTTGCTCCGGGGTCATCCAATCACCTTCGCCCTCCTTCACACCTTCAACCTGACGACGCTGCAATTCCTTTAAGACGGTCTCAACAGCCCAGACTAAGTGTTGGCCTGCGGAGTCACCTTGGAGGACATGTTCGTCGGAATAAAGTTCTCCAAGCTTAACGCTGATTCCAACTAATTTCCCCAGGATCCTTGTCCGCTTGCCCCATAGATTCTCCGGCTTCGTATCTGTTTCGGTCTCGGTGTCCTCTTGTGCTATAGGGGGTTGCGGACTCGGAGAACCGGCCAGCTTCCCTGATTTATCAACCGATCCATCTCGGATGCTTTTCTCCATTACTTCAATCCATTTTTTACAGTCTCTAATGAGGGACTCCAACACGTCGATAGAATTCTTATAACTACCAATCTTTTCAAACCAGGCAGCAAGTTGTATTTTAACTCCCATGACTTCGTCGGAGAACGGATCGAGGCCAGCTTGTGAACATTGTTCCAAGGCGAGTTTATAGTACTTGAGGGCCAGTTGCGGGTCCGGCGCATAGTTGCTATAATATAATGCGCGGCGAAGAGACTTTGCGATCTGCGGTGGGAATCGAGTGAACTGCTTGGACTGGAAGTAATTGAAATAGGCGTAAACCACGTAGACTGATATGCCGGCTACACCACATAACCTTGGCACAGGCCCGTCGCATTAGCAGATGATATCCAAATCGGCGTTGTATCAGAGAGGCCCTTACAAAAGAATGGCGATAACAAGCTCTTCTGGGCTTTGACGAAATAAGGAACGAAGGTTCTGGCCCCTAAATGCGCTGAATAAGGGACGGAAACTTAGGCTCTGTCTCAGAGCGCGAAGGAGAAGCTTCGATGGCGGTAGGGGCGGAATCTGGCGGCCCGGTTCATGCAAAGAGGATTGGTGTCGGCATTGCTGAAAACTGCGAATTAGAGCGGTCTCCGAGGGCAAGATTCCGGCCTTCTGTAATTGTACCAGGGGCAAGGTAGACCCTTTAACGTGCCTCTGGTGAGAAGATCGAACATGGAGGAAGCAGCTGCGAGAAGATGTTATCACAGGAGTGCGCGAAGCAGATAGCATAGTAGACGAGTGCAGTAGTCCAAGCCAAGTCTTAAGTCTCGCAAATATTAGGTACTAGATGAAGTTTCCATTTAAACGATAGTTTAATATTTTCAATATAATAATGACGTTTCTTTAGTACCTGGTATGTATGCTATTTTTTTTTAAGATTGGTTACGAAATACTGAAATACTGTGTAGTAGCAACGTAATTTTTTCGACTGGAGCCTCCTTCTACATACAACATCTGGCCGATGACGTAAATTTACCAGCTGGCTGCCAGCCAATAGTTAGGCTGCTTAGGGACCCAAGTTGTTTCCCAATTAAATATCCCCAATTGGTCACGACATGAGAAGTACAAAGTACATACGGATTACATGTACACAGTACAACTGCCTCGGCTGCAAGCGTTTATGTGCGCATTGGCCAACTTCAACATCGGCTCTTCGTCGCATCCGTCGCATTCGTCAGTCTCGCTCTTAGCAAAAAGCATGACGGTTGGCATCTAATCCATTACATTTACACCATCAACATTTCACCGACTTCTCGATACAAATTTCCCCTTATCGTAGCTTTGAGAGCCTTTTGGTCTATCAAGAACAATGGCGAGCAAATTTAAACCCAAGGTTCCTGTAACCCTAGACCCTCCTAAGGACGACCCTATCTCTGTCGAAGAGCTAGCGAAAGCAGACGGTGGGTTGACATCCATACAACATCTCTATTTATACGACTATACCAAGTCATTTTTATCCGCAACTCGGGGAGCTGTCCCACAATGGCTATCGATTTTCTAGTATAGAGAACACAGCGCTAACACTCCAGTTTAGGCACTGAGGGGCAGAAGGCTTATGTAGCAATCAAGGTATGCCTATTCATTCTTCATAAAGCATTATAGTCTCTTTGAACCAACCCGTTCTATACTATGGCATCTTCTTACATGAGACTATTAGGGCATAGTTTACGATGTTAGTGGAAATAAGGCATATCAAGAGGGGGGTTCTTACCACGGTATGTGACAGTATCTCGTTCGTAATTCCAGAGCCATGCCGCACAGCGTGACTCTATCGCTTAGTATTCCAATACTATTGTATCGAGTTGGCTTTTCTTGTTTGCTGCCTCTAGAGTGTCAACCGGTGCCTACGTCCCACGTTGAGCTGCAGCTTTATCAAGCGACTTGTATACGACTTGTATAGCACGATAAAGAGGTAGCATGTTTGCTAACTAGTTCAGTCTTCGCCGGAAAGGATGCCTCTCGTGCGTTGGCGAAGACGTCAACAAAACCCGAGGACGTGAGGCCGGAATGGCAGGACTTGGATGAAAAGGAAAAGCAAACCCTTAGTGATTGGAACACTTTCTTCTCAAACCGGTATAATGTCATTGGTGTTGTCCAAGGCGCAACGAACCTTGAGTAGGTTATCGGAATACATAAGATTTCCCGAGAGGGGGGGGGGGGGTTAGCATGCAGTTAGCAATAAAACGTCAACCAGATCTTTATTTGACTGACTCAACCTAACATGAGCGCATTTGTTTGCGTTTCATTGACTAATATGCCTGCGAGAACTTCCTCGAGGAATATGAGAGATCTAGTCTTTTTCACTTAACATACAACTGAGATATTAACTCAAACTATTATTCATAATGCCTAAGGTAGGTATGTTCTCGATTCTTAAGTGCAAAACTTGCGCCCTGTCGTACGAGAACGTTACTAACCTAGAGGAAATGTGGGGGGGGGGCAGACACGGCTCTCCGTGCAAATCCAACAGCCCTGTCTAGCGGTTCTCGAGCCCTATTTCAAAAGAAATAAAACAAGGGGAACCGGTAGGTGTAAGTTTCCAAACTTCCCGCGCCATAGTATTCTAAGGTACCTAAGTCTTTCTGAATTAATTGTTCAACTGATACATTTGTATAGACGAAAATAATTTACTCCTAAGTAGGGGTTAATCCTATGGCATTACACTATGTATTTGATTCACGCATTCTCCTAAACAAGGTAATGGTTTCTATGCAGGTTGCTTCCGGTCCTCCATGAGGAGAAATTCGACACACGATTCGATAGTTACGCAGTCCATTAGGTAGTTGTGCTAAAAAGAGAAGAAAGTTCACAGTTGATACAAATTGAGACTACCAGTTGAATCCAGGTTGCTTCGCTACCGTTCGCGTGGTTTAAGGACACAACAGATTATAGTTCGCTAGGTAGTAGCTGTAGACAATTCGATTGGATAACGTAGTTACGTCCTACTTGGAATATGACGCCCGGTATTCGAAGGTTACGAAATCTTGGGATACTAATGCATTGTAATATCTAGAGTAGCTTCTAAAGATTTGAATGGGCAATGAATTCGCAAGAACGCTCCCAATTATACAGAAACGTCTCACAGACAGTTGTCTTTGCATGTCTGTCCCTCCTTTCGAAACACTTCGCCAAAGTTCGTAACGGGTGGTAAGCAACATACAAAACTTCCTGACTCGTGTCATCCTCTACTCAAGTAATGGAAACAACACTCTCCAGGGCTGCATGTGAGCAGCTATCCCGCGTTCTGGACCGTGGTAGTCATTTCTCGTTATTCCCGTAGCGTTGTACGAAGACTCTCCGACATCTAACTAGATGCGTAGTATGTCGTGCGTAACTCGGGCCATCTTCCTCACGTTTGCGTCTATTTCACCGTGCTCGTTGTGAGGGGGCCCATATCCTTCCATCCACGAAGCGCAGGCCGCTTCTGATGCATTCTTCGCAAAGCTGTCCCTCCTGAAGCCATGAATCTCGAAGCTTCTTTACTCCAAGACATATATGATTCGGGTCGTTACGCGCAAAATGGCAGTAAGACTTCAACCGGCAGACAGAGTGGTTGCATTCGAATAAGAATTCATCGTAGTCGCACATGTCTGCAGTTTAGAAATAGACTCTAAAGGAGGTAGCCAACATGGTATTATTAGCTTAAGTATATTAAAGCAAATACTCTTGGATGGCATATGCTCACCTGCGTTGAATTTGGCTATGGATAGATAGGAGCGAAGCTGAATAGAGTTGGGCTACCTAGCAGTTTTACAAATGAAGCGTCTCATTCATACCTTGGATCATGAAGTAGCATAGACTATCGTAGTAGTTTCAAGCGAACGAAAACAAGCGAGTCGATCTTATAGTCTCGCCTTACGAGACGCCGGTCATCTTTTATAGGGGCTATGTTTGCTCCCTTCCAAAAGATACCCAACCATTTTAGTAACCTAAGGATGAGGGGCAAACACATCATGCTAGCTTCTGAGAAGTTCTCTTCTAATTGCGACGACGAGATCTGAGCTGCCCGAATTTCAAGCAGCTTGCCTCCACAGGAGGAAACTCGCATTAGCCATATAGGTTGTCCACATGGGCCTTATTGTTATTTCTTATCGAGTACCGCCAACTCTGATCTATCATTTTTCTCTTCGTTGTACGATCGACATGTCAAAGCAAGATTATGTGGTAGGCATTGCTTGCGTCAAGAAGGTAGGTCGGCTCTTATGTTCTAACCGGAGCCGCATAATCTCCCTACCCTGCATAATAAGAATTCGCCGGCAGTAGTTGATGTTAGGCCTCCACTCTGTCCAGCCGACAAAGCTGAAAATTAAAGTCGACGGAAATCCCTATCGGAAACTTTGAGGGTATGGAACGAACCCCCCTTGAGAGTCGATAGGGGCATCTCTAACCGACCATCTCAGGATCTGAGCTTCGAGATGTCTGCTACCGTCAGTTATGACAATATCACAACCCTACAACCTGGCAAACGGCTAGTGGCTGCATTGTAACCGGGTGGATTGCTCGGGATACTTGATGTTACACTACGAATCAAGCCTCGAGGCTTCTTTCAGATGGCACCTTTCATGGGTACATGGCGCTAATATTGGCCCCTACGGCGCGGCCCGACGTTAGACTGTAGCAAACAAACCACCATCTCTTGGCATCTAATCTACGTTTTGTGAGGAATGAGCATCATAAACTCCATTTACGTACGTTCAAGTACGGCAGCGGATCGCTACCGAGATTACGATCTCGGAAACCAACGACATCTAGCGCCAATTAGTTCTCCCCGGGGAACCACGGAATCAGAACTACCTAACCTAGTATATATGATCGAAGATGGATCGGATAATTGGCAGCCTTGTGATACGAGACTAGGTAGTTTCTGACTCCTAGCCGTTGCTGCAATGATCCGGTATAGGTTTTTTATACGTACGTGCCTATGCTTTGACAAGACCAAACGCTTTATATTTCTACTATGAAGGATAGGTACCTCGTTATTATTCGTGGTGAATGTCGATGAACAAAACATGAATAACTGACCCATAACTTAGGTACCTACCTAATTCAAGTCCTTACCTAAGGTGAGGGTATAATTCTATGACGATGAGCTGCTTGCTAATTGGCGTAGCTCTTAAACTCTTAATATTGTATGTTGTTGTAAGCCCAGTTTCGTTTGCGGTATTTGCATACCTTACTCATTACGTCGATATAATGTCCTGCTAGTCTAGGACTAAGTAGACATGCATTAGCCACAGTGTTCGGGTTCGGAGGCGGCTGATCCATAGGTACCTGCCACACCACGCATTTTCACCTATCAGGTATCAATACCCGTGTGTACACCGAAAATTACGTATTGTACATGTAGCTCTGGATTTAGAGGTCTTTAGGCAAGGACAAAGCCGTGGCTGTACATTGCTAGGTAAATACTTGCGCAACAGGCATAATTAAGTGGGCGGATTAGTACTATACTATTATTACAAAGCGTGTAATACGCTGGTGTATCTAGTGTATCTAGTGTCCATAGGTAGGTATCTAGTGCTGTCTACAACGCAATAATATGCAATTGCCCGCCTCACTTTTTGTTACTTGTTACTTTTTAGGTCGGTACCTGATGGTTGCCCTGCACCTCATATTATTTCCCACCACCTTCTCCTTCTCCTTCTATCAATCCCCATCTCCTCCATCAGTCATGATTCTTCCGTTAGTCATGCATTCATCTCCCGTTTATTAAGTTAAAGTGTCGGGCGCATCCATCGACAAAGGGTTTACGCGCCTTTGCAACGCCTTTTTCTTTCCCACCTGGGACGTTTGGTCCTATTCTCTTCGATATCCGAATTGAATTTTAATCGCATCCCCACGCGATCAAAGCCTCGGGGCGTTTGGCTTGCTAGGCTACGGTTCAGTTCGACGGCTTTAGCTTTGCTAAACTACCAGAGGCCCTAGGAATATAACCCCAGGATCCTGCCCAGCCGAGTTCAAAATTATTATATTCCCCTGTTAGCTAGCCATTGATAGTACTCGGATTTTCACAGCACCATTCTATGGTATCTGCGCGCGCACCGTTGAGGAGCGTAAAACTCCTGCCCAGCCGCATGCTCACCTTTTTGGAGATAGGCCATACTCATTGTGAAAACACAGATGATATATCTCCTGTCACCAATACTAACCAGCTCATCAACCTCTCTTACGTCCTTGGAGCTTATCCTTTAGGCCGCAGACTCTTTGACTCCGGATCGGCATATGCGCCACTATTTTGAGGGACTTGACGCTCGTGTGCTAATCCGAGTTTCACGGTCTCATTTTCTTAGTGCCTTTTATTTGTATATTCTTCCGCATAAGGCCTCTACCGATCTGAGAAGTGCTCATATTATATATCTCCAAGATGGCGGACCCGCTAGCCTTGACTTCTCCTGGATCTTCGGACACCCCAATGGAAGGACATGCCCAACCTGCTACGATGGCGGCACTTAATTTTGGCCATCATCAGGATCTTACTTCCCTGGGACATATGGATAGGAATTTATTATTTCCCACTGGTCGGCATCAAGCCGATTCTTATGGACCCGGGCGAATTGGTAATCGCCTAGCCTTATGGTACCATAGGAATGATGGCCCTTGGACGCCTCCTGGTTTGACATCTCCTCAGGGTGACATCAGGAATTCATCTGTCTTAGGCAACCTGCGAAACAGTCATCTTATGTTCTATAGCCAATACCGGGAGAGTCCATCTGAATGCGATACAGTCCCGCCAGGAGGAATACCTTCTGATTCTGGATATGGCGGGAGCTATGTGGCTAAGCATAGTGTTGCCAATGGCTCTGTCTGTGATGAGCCCATTGATCGGAACCCAGAAGGTGAACTGAGCTTTTCATCTTATAACCAGGATATGATGTCTAAACTCAACCCAGAGATTCCTTGGTCCCAGTCTCAGCTACCGTCGACCTCTCCTCAACCGGCCATTGCCCGCCAGATCAACCCTGAGGGGAGTAAGATCTGTGAAACGTGCAAAAAAGAATTAAAGACGAAGTCTGAATTCAAGTAAGGCTTGGCACTTAGACTTGATTATTGCCCCTGGAGAACTTTCACTGAAATGACATCACTAGGAAACACAAGCAAAGGCATGATAAGCCTTTCAAATGTACTGTGAAGGGCTGTACTCGTAGTGAAGGCTTCAGTACGCCCAACGATCTTGATAGACACAAAAGGAGCCTACACCCGGATGAGCACGCTGATGGTGACCGTTATCGATGCCAAGTTGGCCCTTGCTTTAATAAGAATAAGATCTGGCCTCGAGCTGACAATTTTCGAGCACACATGAAACGTGTTCATCAAAAGGACTCGATAAAAGACGAAGACTTAGATCAGTATAAGTACAGGTATAGAAACACTAATTCCAAAACATTAGGGAGGGTCTCTAATTGTTTTGTTAGGCCAGAAGCACCATCTAAGGACGACTCAGACGTAGCTCGTAATAGCACTGTTTCCGAGTTCGATAGGTTAAATATATTTCCTGATGGGGGTGGTAATCATGCCTCTGATAACTGGAAATTACCCCGGAGCCCAATTATCGACTTATCTGCCGACACGAACCCAGTGGAAGGGCCAAGTCAAATTCAAATAGAAGAACCCACCCTGGTAATTGAACCTAGTGAGAGCCATTTGGATGCATCTAATAGCACTACCGCACAAGAAGTGCACTTGGAGAGTGAGGATACTCCATTTAGCCACCAAACGGAAGCACACAAGCCGCCTTCTCCCCGGTCTAGTCCTTCTCTCGGTGATTCCGAGCCCACAAACACAGGGCAGTTGAAAGAAGACGGACCCGGCTTTCATGCTGAATTTCTAGGTCCTGAATTGGCTAATGACACGGGTTCTGCAAGCCACAGTCAGACAGATAGGCTCGACGAGTCTCGGGATCGTCCTAGTGGGCTATCTCTTAGAAACCTTGAGTCTAACATACAACCAGAAAGACTAATAAAGGATAGCGAGAGAGTTCATCTGTCTCCCGAACCTGAGGATCATGAACTGCTAACCCCAGATCTTAACAACCCTGAATTTGTATCGAAGCTTCTTGAGCAGCTCCAAAATAAGGGCATGCTTAAAAAGCTTGGATACAAGAAGGAAGATCCCCAAGAAGCAGATATGACCAAGCTAGAGTCGACCAATGATATTATCTCCCAGCAGGCCCATGCTTGCTCCCAATGCTCGAAACTATTTGGTCGGCGATGTGAACTGAAGTAAGAGATACCCTTGTTTTTCTGTCATTGAAAATTTGCCTTGTCTCCCTCTCCTTTAGACTTTGTATTGATGCTAACCATATTACAGAAAGCACGAAAAGCGGCATTTAAAGCCATATGGCTGTACGTTCCCGGGCTGCAGTAAGAAGTTTGGCAGCAAGAACGACTGGAAGCGTCATGAGAGCAGTCAGCATCTTATGTTGGAGCACTGGATATGTGATGAAAAACAGGCAGACAAGTCTTCCGAATCCTGTGGAAGGAATTTCCCACGACGAGAGTTGTTCAAACAACATCTTAGTGCGCAGCATCGCATCATAGAACAGGAGCTCTTGGACCACAAGCTCGATACATGCCGCGTAGGACGAAATCACGAGACCCGTTTTTGGTGTGGGTTTTGCCGGGAGATAATTGAAATCACGAAAGAGGGTATAGAAGCTTGGGCTGAACGGTTTAATCACATCGACGATCATTTTCAGGGTCGCAACAACCGGGCGAAGAGAGATATTGGCGACTGGAAAGGCGATTATCCTCCTCGCTCTGGGTCTACCAAGCCGCGAGCCAACGATTCAGTAGATACCGGTATCACATCTTCGGGGCCAGTTTCTTCACCCAACAGTCCCGGTATACATAATAGCAACGGAGTTGAGAAACCACACGCTCGAGTTGCAAATCAAAAGAGAAAAAGAGGACTTGAGTTGGAAATGGTGGCTTCCAAGCGTGCCGAGATATTGGAGGAAATAACCACAGTCATTTGTGTAGGTGATGTCCCCTCTTCCCTATAACTAGTGGTCTAATGCACTTGTAGTGTGAATGCGGCGATGCCATGCCTGTAACAAGCAGGCAGTGTACTAACTATAATTGTCAACACAAGTTATGCGAGAATTGTGACTCATGATGCAGACCTCATACGGGTTGTAATATCGTCATCTAGCTATAAGCTGTCCTGGGTAAATGGACGGTTTCTGTTATTTCGCTTGGATGGGAAAGGAGTTCAAGTTGACGGTATAATACCCTTAGAATTGATTAATATTTTATTTATAATATAGTATACAGCATAGATGACTCAAGCAAAAAGCCACTTTCATGTGATATATAACGTACCTACCTACCTATACTTGTTACGCTGTTTTGATTATCTTGGCATGTATCTTCTATCACCAGGTCCATACACTCACTCACTTAGTTATATTTACCTAATACATATGCGGCACATAAAACTAGTTGTTCTATGCCACTAGGTTAACCTGATAATACCATAGATAACCCTCTTAAGTAGATCATTTGTTTACCCCATGGGGCCGACCCGCATACGGTACTTTGTACTTATAGCTTAGAAGTAACGAGAGAATAAATTCACCAAAGAAATCAAACACACAACTGTAGCCGTCATTGTTATGATGACTTTGTAAACACGGAGGCGGGGGCGTAAAAGATGATCCATCTAACCTAGGTTAATAGCTTCCATTCTTTTAATAAGAATTTAGCGTACATCCATCGCGCATATACGACCGTAGTTTGGGGGCAGAGCTATGAGGGATAAGAGACGAAAGGCATGAGCTAATCTTACTTCGTAGATTTATCATTGCTAACCTAGAGCTTTTGTCACGAGGTAGAGCAAGAAGCAAGGAAACAACTTTCTTGTTCCGCGAAGAACTCTAAGCTAGCTACGGGAGCCTACGGCTATACATATTGACAGTGTCTTTTGTTCTACATGTCTCGTCTAGGATCCTGGCTGCTTGAGTAGTTTGGATGGTGTGTTCTAGATAGGCGCGCGCGATGCTCTCGGCATTGATAGAGTCTGGAATTAGCTATCGAATTCGTAGACGCTTCCTTTTCTAGATTTAACATAGCATTCTGGTCCAGGAAGTGGCGAGTAAAGCAAAGTATTCGACGAGAGGAGAGGAATCGAAATAAAACTCCTATCTAGGGATGGTCTGATCTGCGCGATAGGTGTTCCCGTCATCAGCTAGCTGATCGTCGGTGCTAGTCTAATACGAAATAGGCATGCGAGTATTGTTGGTCTACTTCGGCAGATGATCGGGGTCTTCGTTGTCATTGACACGTATCGACTAGGCTTCTACGTGGATTGGGCTTCGTGGTTAGGGTGATAAAGGGGGTCGGATTTCTCGGATAGTTGTGGTGCTAGAGATAGGTAATATTGCTCCAAACAATAAACTAGAGGATAGGGGGAATCCCATAAGTTCGCTATTTAGAACACCTCATAGGAGGCCCGGAAGCGATACGGACCAGGTAGGTGGGATGCAGTGTGAATAGTTCTTTGCTACGGAATGAAGATTTACGAAGAGATATGCCTTCCTGAAGTTGGACAAGATAATTTAGGTAGGTGATTAGGCCCAACCTCTAGGTACATATTTCCTGTAAAGACATCAGAGGGGACCTTTGATGCCAGAGCTCACTTAATCATATTTCCAGAGACCTAGACTGGTCATCACCTAATTTAATATCCAGGGGGGGTGTAATCATTTAAGTCCAGCATCAGCAGAGCAACACCGGCGACCCGGATTAGAAACCAGCAAATGACAACGTAGTATGAACATCAAACTCATCCTTTTGAAACAAATCTAAGTAACCTACCTAAGGTACTCTACCACTACCCTGCCCTTGAGGTCAGTGATGAATAGAGATGCTTTGTCAGGCCCAGGATGTTATGGAATCTTGATATCGTAGTACTGGACGTAGTTTACCTCAAACAACTAGATTTTCTGATGTTACCCATCCTGGACAACGTCGAGTCTGTATTGTTACAATACTAAGAAAATTTTGCAGTGCTAAGGCTTTCAACTATTGTGGAGTAGGTACATTTGTTCAGGGGGCATCAAGAATTTTTCGTAGGACGATTCGATGATCATCCGGGGCGGGTTGGTACCGACGGGGATTTTTGCCGCTGGTATTACGATCTTTGCTATTCGCTGTACCTGATTTTGCAAAAAAGAATAGTCTTGCGAGTTGGGTTCAGCAAGCTAGGATCTTGCGTGAGTCAACGAGTGATGAAGTTACGAGTAATCCTTTTAGTCGGGCTGGCTCTTTGACAACAAAACAGCTAATGACCTATCAAAAACAAAAAGACATTTCTGCTTGCTAGAGAGGTATACCGGGCATACCGCGCGTGACTACCTATGTTTTCGTCTACAAGTAGATAAATATTAAGTACTTACACCTGGCTAATAAGATAAAGGGATGTTGTTCGCCTTGCAACTACTACGGGGATGGTATTGCCGAGGGCACATATATGTGCTACCCGAACCCGCTTAATTTTCACCTGTAATGAGGATCGGGATGCCGTAGTCCTGTAGGTATTGAAAGCTTGGGATTGTGGATCATACAAAGGTAGATAGGTAAGGTAGGTGGTGAAATGCCAGGGGTAATATGTACTTTTACGTCCCAACAGACACTGTTAGCCGCCGCGGTGGTTCGTATAATGAGTGTTCACATGCTTCTCATCTACTTTGTTAAATGTTAGGTAAGGGTTGGAATGCAATTTTGGCGGTATTGAATCTATTTTTGTTATATGCTTCATACCCGAGATTATGTTGGGAGGCAGATGACAAAAGATGAGATGAACCCTGCTTGTAATAAGACCTTTTCTTACGGAAGTGAAGCTTAACCGTTGGTTTTATTATCCTAATCAAGCAAGCTATCTGTTCTTCCCGCTTGGCGGTATTATCTAATAATTCCACGTGCATTACATCTCGATGTCGTGTGTTTTAATGCCTAGGAAAACCGGCGTACCTAGGTCAAGATCAGCCACCGGCTGGCTACATGACCGGGCTATTATGTAGGTAGATGTGTGTTACATATAATGCGCACGCGCTTAAGGTAGGAGGAATTGCTAACAATCTTGATCTACATAATGTCCGCAAGGAAACTAAACCTCAACTTCTGAGACATCTCGTCTACGCATCATGGAGGCTCAGCTCTTTAGGTTCCTGGCACCGGCCGGTTGGAGATGGGATGTCCTATAAACTAGAAATATAACTGGATGGGACAATATCAGGCCGTCCAGTCATCCAGCTTTCCGGCCATCCTTTCAAATTGCCTAGGTACATAATCCCGTTCGCCGGTTTGGGCTGGCAGTGCCCCCAAAAAAAGAAAGAAAGAAAAAAAAGCTAAATGTCTACATGAGTATGGATTCATCCATGTTTCGTGGGCGCTCGAATCCTTCCGAGTGACAAGTCCATGTCTGTCCGTCGCGCCGTGATCCGTAAATCCAAAGGCAGCCATCTATCTTAACCATAAAGCAGCCACACAGCATACATGAGTTCGGAACGTTGGCAGTCCTAGTTAGCCCTCGGGTCGCTGTTGGGGCCCTACACGTGTACATGGGTCATCAACCATGCCATCAACCATGCGGCTCTCTTCGGTAAGTGTGATAGACAGCCATTGAGTTGTTCGGTAGAAGAATCAATTGGGCGCCTAAGAATCAACAAGCCCATGTGTCCGAATGTAAAATGGGTTGCGTTATGACACCATCTACGATCTTACTTGCAGGCATCCCCGGCACTTGCAGGAAGGGAAAGAAAAAAAAAGGAAAAGAATTATTAAAGATGTTTTTGATTGAAGGAGAAAAAAAAGGGACCACGTCAATGTCAGCTACATGTAGGTGTCCGCCGCCGCCTTGTTGGAGTAGGTATCTTCACATATATATGCCTATATAATGTAACTATCTACCCAAGTTTACTAGCTTACTTCTATAACCAGGTAGGTATACCGAAATGTATGTATACATGTGTACCAGCAGGGTTATACCTGTGGGGGATACACAGTGTATCTTAGGTACCTTAGGTACTACAATGTAAGCCTGTCTGGCTTAGTCTGGCTGCCTTCTTTTTATGGAGCCCGATGCGGTTCCGCCCCCGATTTTAGACCCATTCGGTGACGCACCTACCACCTATTGTCCCCGACGGTTTTTAGGCCTGTTAGGCCTAAGGTTGTCTGCTTGTTCGATACCGGCCAATTTAAGGTTACCGACTTGTTCCCAATTCGCTATCATATCTCATATTCTTACTTTACATCCTAACAATTTTTATCCCCTTAAACGAATGTGGTATTTGTCAACGATGTTTAGACGCAAGACTATGTACCGTAATATACAAGCAGACAAGCATACAGACGGCTCCGACAGACAGTGACTTCGTATGGCATTGCTATCGTCGTCATGCTTATCTACTTGGATGTAAGTTGAGGTAGTGATCGCCAGCTGGCTGCGTATGTCTCACTCAACCAACACTCCTATTGGTAACCCTGTCTATGGTAGCCGCCGGCGCTTGCTTTCACAGCTTCAGCTTCTTCTTTGTTGGTACCAATATGGAAGGCCGCTACACAGGGCTTGACGGAAGAAGGAGGGGTGGGGGCTGAATACCTGTTTGAACTGGACAGTAGACGCCTGTTGAATTGCGTGCTCGAGTCTTGGGTAAGTACTGTACTTGGGCGTCTCGATGTTTGAAAATTACTTATGGCAAGGTTCATGATACTTGGGTCCCTGCTCAATCAAACCCCAGATTATTTTGTCCTAATTGTTACATCTGAATATGGCGGTCAAACCGACAGCCGGTAACCATGGTATTATACTACCCAAGTTTAAAAGACTCGGGACGCGATCTGCCAAGTGCCCCTCGGTACGACGCTATTTGTTCGTTTTCTTTTACTGGTCTGGATCCGAACCAACCCAAGGCGACCCCCCCTGCAGTCAGCTCCTGGATGGGGAAGACCGCAACACTACAACGGTAGTCGGGCGAACATACGTAGTGCCAATAAACCAATGCGAGGAATTGACAGCTGCGAAGAAAAAAAAGAAAAAAAAGCAAAAGTCTCTAATAAGCATGCTACTGGACATCCACGGAATGCCCAAGTAGGTACCCAGCCAGTATAGGTTATAGGGAATTAGTAGGAAATTCATTATGCAGACACGACCTAATGGTCTAGGTCAGGTATGTAAATTATCTACGGTTGATAGACGATTCTGCCTTGGTTGTCCGTTGCCTGTCATGCCTTGGCGGACGCCTTACCATATTTCCTCAAGCCTCTACGACTTTCTCCGCGTCCAACTCGAATCACGTTGCGGGAAAGTTTATACACATAACATACTCTAGTGACATACTTAGATATGCGGCTCAACGAAGATCTGGTAATCGATATCGACCACTTTCTATGCATCTGACTCGGACCACTTGGAATCGATATCACCAGCCCTCTGGAGGCATTGTCGAGGTAACGCAAGCCATACATAAGTTAAGCCATGGATTAAGCCATGGGTCTCATTAACCGATGGCTTTCTGCGAACTGTACAATGCAAATCCCACGGATCGTTCGCGGACCAGTTCGTTATATGTACACGAGTATCTGTACTCCCTACCTCTACTCCTGTCACAAACCCCGCGAGATTTTTTAACGGCTCCAGACTAACTTGGTCTGCGTAGGTACATAGACTGGCTGAGAATGACGAGCCAGGGTGTATGCATAGTGTATGTCTCGCTGATACATACGGTGCTACATATGTAGACGCTGCAGGGGTTACGCCAAGACACGATAAATTACCGCAATAACCCTCCAGCCACCCTCCCCTGTCAGATAGGTATCTTACAGTACATATCGTTGCGGCTCCGCGTGGGTCGGTTTACATTGTGAGGGCAGTAGGATTGCCCAAGAGACAAAGACATGTGCGACCCAGAACACCCGGCAACATATTAGTAGTAAGGTTGGATCAGTCTCCATGGCGTATCTCGTTTCTTCGGAAGCAAGTTGCTTCACACTCCCTGCTTCGCCTCATTGTTGCCTACCAAGTGCGTTCCGCAACATATGGAACATCAAGTTTTCTTCCATAAGTCTTGCTTCGTTCCCCGCAGTTTCTACTGCAAGTTTGCCTTGCGGCCGCCTCTATCTTCTAATATTAAACCACTTCCTCTTCGTGGTTACTATCCGTAGGATCATTCCATCTGAAGAGAAGGTCTAGGCCAAGACCCAACGCTGTTGAACCACGCCTCCAATTTGTTTCATTCTCCATCTCGAACACACTTCAAGGGAAGCTTGTGGCGTATATGCACAGTTGCGAGAAGATTGACACAAAAATGGACTATCAGGATTTTGCATACTCGGACACCGTGCCACTTCCAGTCTACCCGGAAAACTCATCTATCGATGGCATGATCGATCCAAATCTCAAACCCTCTGCTTCTCCGTGGACACCTCCACAGGTTCACCGTTACTTGACAGATCACAACAAATCCACGATCCTCAACTACGCGGGAGTTGATACGATCTTCCATGAGACCATAATCCGGAGAGACGACAGTACAGGGCCAATCTCATGCAGCCTACCTCAACGTCGAGACTCACCATCGTTCTCCTCTCACACATCGTCAACAGGCAGTAGTATCTTGAGCCCACCCGGAGAGGGTGACTACTACCAACCACATTCGCCACCAACGCCCACTGATACGTCGATAATGTCCCCGTTCTTCAATCAGTTTGAAAGCCCCAGTTCTCGAGCTCATCTATACCAGTACACAGGTCTTGCCGATGATTGTGTGAAGCCAATCGACATTAACCCCTACCAAGAATCCCCTGAGAACTATTTTGATGACAGCAACCCAAGGTCAGAGTTCCCTTTGAGAGGATATAGTATGTCAACCGACGACAGCAGCGCCTGTATGGACATGTGTAGCATACGGGAACAAATCGGATCCCGACGGCTTATGAGCCCTGAGGAATCTGCGCCGGATGTGAAAGAAGAAATTCGCATTCCTGAGCCCATCTCGACTTACGCTCCGTATGAGTCAGATGACGAGATGGTGTCCGGTGATGAAGCCGAGACTCTCATTTTGAAGCACGAAGATAGAGAAGACGGCGAGTACAAACCATATCAGAAGCCGAAGAAGACAAAGGCCAGCACAAGCCGGTCTATCAGGAACCGAAAGCGACAGGGCAGTCCAGGGCCTACACCAGAAGCGAAACGACCCAAGATTGACCTCGGTGACTCGAGCACGATTGGTAGACCCACCGTCAAACCTGTTATTCAAGGAGCAAAAGGCAGCTTCTCCTGTACCGAGTGCTCAAAGAAAGTCTTCTTCAAGGATGAGAGCGGCCTACAAAATCACATCAAGAAGCGACATACTCGACCGTTCGTTTGTGTCTTCGGCTTTGCGGGCTGCAATTCCACCTTTGCCAGTAAGAATGAGTGGAAACGACATTGTTCTTCGCAGCACCTTGTTTTGAACTACTGGATCTGTCAACAGGATCAATGTTCCAAGGTTTCGAGCAAAGCTACAGCACCCGTCCGCGGTCGCCTTAACCCCCCTTCCTCTCAGAGCCCCTATATACCAGCACTTCCTCGCGGGACCATCTTTAATCGCAAGGACCTTTACACCCAACATCTGCGACGCATGCATATTCCGGCGAATCTTAAGAAGAATGTCAAACAAAGGAAGCCCTCGCCTGAGTGGGAAGCACGCGAGCGCGCACATCAGGAAGGGGCAAAAAGAACACGATGCAACCTCCCAACTCATATGCAGTGCCCAGCCATCGGTTGCGATGCCCGCTTTGATGGTACGAATGCTTGGGATGATAGAATGGAGCACGTTGCCAAGCATCTCGAGAAGGCCGCCACCGGTTCAGAGCCGCCGATTGAATTCGGCGGAGAAAACGACAAGACTCTCGTCGACTGGGCTACCCGCGCCGAAATTGCAATCATCGAGAAAGGAGTAAAAGGAAAATGGGAACTACGTAATCCCTTAAAGCCCAGTGGCAGCCCGATAGTTGAGGCGACGGTAGACCAGGAAGGGGATGAGGACGCCGAGGGTGAGGAGGTTGACGAGTGACAGCTCTAACGGGACATATTTCATATTATTTCTTACCTACCCGTACTAGGGTTGTCAGGGTTAGTAAGGAATTATACGTCCTAATGCCTCGACGTCGAGTAAAGTACTCTGATGGCAAGGTGGCTCTGGGCGATCTAAGGATTTATAATGACTAAGGTAAATATCCAATCTACAGGAAAGGGCTTGGGATCTATGGAACCGTCGAGTTCAGGGACATGTACAACTATCTATGATGTTACGAGATAACTATACTGGCTATTGAAATTGAAGGCACTCACGAATAGTCGTGGAGGCCATATAAAGTTATGTACAAAATTGTATAGCCGCATAAAGTTTATGCTATAGATTACGAGTTTTTAGATGGTATAATGAGTACCTAAGGTACCTAGGTAGGCAGTTGAGACATCAGAAACATAACGTCCTGCGACTACTACCGGGGCGAGTCGGCCAGGGATCCGGGTCGGCATTAGGCAGTGGAATGTAAGACAGCATGCGGCTTACTTAGGCAGACGTACAGGCTTTATCTCGATCCTCAAGCTTGACCGGTTGAAGAAAATGCAACGATCTAAGCAGAAAGTAAGTAAGTGGGTAAGCAAGCATCGGGGTAGGTATGTTCGCAGGAACAGGCGATTAAAGCGCTCGGTGCCGAGATCTACGCCGCATTTAAGCCTTGATTACATACCTAGGTAGGTAGGTACCTATGTAGAGTGGCGTCCATGTCCTGGTTTTTTATCTTGGACGTATGGGATGAGCTTCCATCCCCACGGAGTAGGATGAGTAGGATAGCCGGCTTACGTACATATGCGTCCACGGCGATGACAAGCATTTTCCCGGTAGCATCTTACCTGCGTGTTGAAGGCGGAAAGGTCTTATCAATGGCAGATGGGGGCAGTTATATATATGCTTGCCTAAGGCAACCTTAACTAAGCCCTGGGGGTGCATGGGAAGATGCATACATGTAAGAGGTATGTAAGAGGTATGTAAGTACCTGTAAAAAGGTGGAAAAGTTGGAAGGACTGGTGGTTTAGGTGGTGCGCATGTTTTAGGTGGGTTCGCACGTAGCACAGCATACCTTAGCGCGCGGGGGGGTCTTTGAAAATGCTTACAACAATGATTTCAATGATAAAAATAATTATGTAAAAATATTAAAATATAAAATGATATTTAAATATAAAATTATATGTAGGAAGACCATGTAGGGGTAATGAATAGGTAAGGATTAGGTGTACACCAATAAGCATACGTTGAAAGGAAAGGAAAACGAAACACACGGTACTGAAATGAGGCTATCACGATCTGTTGTTGTCTATTGTTGAGTTGTGTGTGTGTGGGTTAGCCTAAAAGGTAAGCCCTTTTAGGCTTAGCCCCACGCACGTGGTTGCACGTGACTAGATTACATAATTGGCTATTCCCCATATTCCATCGAAATGATATTATATATATAACCATATATTTAAATATAAAAAATACAAACTTAAAAGCATATTATGCATACAACCCCATGTTAATTATAGAAAATATGTACAACTTGAATATATATTCAACTAATCAATATTTCCTTAACATGTTCATCGGAAAGGATTTCAGAGATATGACATAATAACTGTAAGCATTTTCAAGGACCCCCCCCGCGCGCTAAGGTAAGCAGTGGTAAGATGATAAGACGATAAGAGGTACCTGTAAGTGACTGACGTTGTAGGTAGGTTACCTTAGGTAGGTAGGTACCTAAGCGTGCTTATACTTGGTGTTGCGTTACGTTATAGGTAGGTAACATATGTCGGGTATAAGTATTGCGGTACAAGTATCGCGGTACAATACATTTAACATTTAATGGTAGGTAGATCTCATCTAAAACACCAATCACTACACGTATATAGATTCCCGCAAATAGCGCTGGAATCTCCACCACGGGCCTAAGACACATGTCTTCGCCATGGCGCTAGCAACGTGTACTAGATGTATAACAAAGAACAAAGAGAGGTAAATCTTTAAATACAGTATCTACTATACAGTACTATACAATATATTCACGTTGGATTGCGTTGTACAAGAACTTTCAGCCGCACTTCGGCATTCCTTTCCTCTGCAGCACACATGCCGTCTTCGGCCCTATTTCCGATTTCTATAATTATAATTAATATTTTTTTTTGTTGCTACAGACTGATGTCACAGAGCAAAGCTGATAAGCACCTCGACCGACTCATCACGGCTTGAACGGTCCCGCATAATCCGGAAAGTGCCCCGTCAACCCCGGAATGGCCAGCCCTAGCCAAGGTTTGGTCCATGATGACTCGGAACCTCTACGTGAAGACCATGTTGCTAGCTCGTTTGACCAAAGCGACGAAGAAGGCTTCGGCGGGTCGAGGGCTACGGAAGAGATTTCGCGACAGAGGATAAGCTCATGTACGATCGGATACGATGATCACATCGACAGCGGGTACACTCACCAGTCTGTACTTGACTATAAAGACAAGGGCAAAGCTCCTGTAAGGGTCCACAGGGATTTCGTTGACAGAAGATATCCGTACGCAGACTTTACAAATCCCGAAAGTCGAAATGAGAATCTGGAGTCCCCCGAATCTTCCGCTGCATCTAGCGTACTTGATGAATCCTTATCCGAGCATGGTATCAAACTAAAGACCCGGCTGCTGTCCCCCAAACCTAGCCTCGAGGCATTAAGCGTAGAGTCCGACTGTGAAAGCTTTAGGACAGCATCGCCCAAGCTATATTTAGACGAGGACCAAGAGCGGAAACAGGAGCAGGAGCAGGAGCAGGAGCAGGAGCAAGAAGCAGAATCGGATCACGAACCGGAGCCGCAGCCGCACTCTCAGCCACAGCCGTACCCGGCCGACCAAGATCCGGTTGCAAGTGGGCCGCACACTAACCAGGAAGCCGCGTCACCGACTTTCCGGCCGCTCAGGTTCGGAGATCCCGGGTGGGAGAAATCGGCGGATCGGCCGCCGGAGAAGCTACCTATTCGATTCAAAGATGCCGTGGGCCGTAAATTCATCTTCCCTTGGGAAAAGGCTAAAACTTGGGCGGTGAGCAATATTTCTATCCTTCTACTCTTTTTCTTCTTGACTTTAGTCTATTTATCAGTATACTGGGTCTTAACTCGAAGACGCTCATCCGATGCGGCATAAATATTATGTAAAGAGAGCAGCGATATAGCATCGTTTTGAGATTCCTTGGAGAGCATGCCTACCTTCCCTATGACTAACAGCATCTTAGGGCATGGAACGTCTAATCCGAAATTGCTTTGTCTATGTCGACGTGATCGGACCCCACGTAATCAAGGGGCACTACGATCTCTTTACCTTTCACCTCCCCTTCTCGACAGAAACCGGCTTTGAAATGGCACCCCAGGCTGTGTCAGAACCGGTAGGCGTGCAACATCCCGGGATGGAGCCTCATATGGCTGGTACATCACACCAGCCTCCGGTTCCGCATGCTCCAACCCCGCCGCCAGCTCCCACACTTACACCCATAGAACAATCGGCCGTCACTATCCTACCTGAGCTCTGGGAGGATCTGGTCGAGCCAGGCATGTTTATACTGATGCAAATGTGGCCTATGGCACCTCCGGCACCACCCCCTCCACCAATGCAACACCCTCCTGGTCCTCCCGGTATCTTAGGATATGTTGGCGGCAGAGGCCGAGGCAGGGGTAGCGGTGGAGGAAGGGGCATGGGCCCGCCTCTGGGACCACCTCCTGGGTGGATGGTGGTAGAAAGACCGCCGAAGCCGAGGGGCAAGACGCGGAAGCGGCGGGATGGCCCATAGATGTTATACGATATACGAGTTCTTTACGCTAGAAGTGTATGGTTGGTTACTGGGCTAAAGTGAGTTAGGACAATAATGCAGTTTTCTAATAGCTGCTACATATGGTGGTATGCTTTGAAACCATCTTAGGTGGGGAGTAAGTAAGTAAATAAGTAAGTGAGCGATCACTGTTTGTTTACTTGGGGATCAATATATCTACATCATGTACATAGTCGACGTACATATAAAAGTGGAATGGATGAATGAATGGAAGGATGAATTTGAAGGTGACGATGGTTTGATTCCGATGAGATTCACGAGGTCATGACGATACCTACCTACATAACGTGGATATGTACTATGGTATGTATAAAATACAAGGTACCTAACCTAGAACCTCGGTTGCGATATCTTGCGTGTTTTACAGAAGAGAGATACATACCTACATAGGTACACTACCCGGAAGCTCAAAAGTGGGCCCTAGCAGGGCTTAGCTCCCATGCAATGGTAACGTTATTGGTGTGTGGATACATCAAAAGACAAGGGTCTCGCCTGCGTTGATACGAGTTGAAGTTGATTAAAATAGCTAGGTAGGTTAGTTAATCGTAGAGCTCTGTTTCGTTGTTCGATTCCTCTTGCTTCATCTACAAATGCATACTTTATCTATATACGATATTTGTTTTTATACCATCTATAAAATATCAATTATCGTAAAAGTAATTGCTCGTTATTGATTTAGCGTTATTGATTTAGCGTATGTGCACCTCATCGTTACAGCACCCCTCACCCCATAAATCCATCATCCTGTCCTGTCTTACGTCACATCTTTCTACAAGCTCTCAGGAACAGCCCGACTTATCTATTAACTAGCCTATTACGCAGGCCAGCTACCAGCCCACATTGAATTACCGACCTAACTCTATCTATCTCTACCTTAGGTACTTTACTAGGCATAACTACTATAACTAAGCTACCTCTCTACTTAACATACATACTTAACATACATAGAGAGTTAGTTTTACACATTCCCATTTCCCACCTCCCATCTCATCTTCACTACCTACTACAGCCGTTAATACGATGGAGTCCTTTGCAAAACTCAAGCGTCGCGGCACCGACCTAATCGGTTCTATTCCCCATAACTTACCCTCAATGCCTCACCTACCTCATCTACAACGCCCGGGAGGAGGAGGAGGAGGAGGTGCAGATAAAAGTAAAGGTGCCCACACGATGAAGGGCACCTGGCAACACATCTCCATCCCGCCTCTCCCACGATCGTCACATTCAATTGACGTAGTGGCCGGCAATGCATACATCTTCGGCGGCGAGGCCGAGTCCTCCCGCAAACCCGTCGACAACGACATGCACATCATAGCGCTTCCCACGGGAAGTGCCTCTGCCGACTACTACAGCGTCAAGGCCAAACCTTCTCCCGAGCAACACGTTCCCGAGCCCACCCCCATCACGGAGGAGGACGAGACCGCCGCTGAGCTTAAGGACCCTCTGACCGAAGTCCCTCTGAGCTCTCCCACCCCGCCTGTAGCCGGGGAATCCTCGTCCGCCACATCCGACCAAGCCAATACCAACAGCCTCGGCAACGTCCCCGGCGCCCGCGTCGGCCACGCCAGCGCCGTCATCGGCTCCCGCATCTTCCTGTTCGGCGGCCGCAGCGCGGAGTCTGCCTCGGAGCCCCTCGACGAGCACGGCCGGGTCTGGGTCTTCGAGACCAAGACCCATACCTGGGCGTATCTAGACCCCTACCACAACAGCCCTGTGCCACCCCCGCGGAGCTTCTTCGCCGCAGTCGCTACCGACAAGCCGCGAGACTTCGCCATCAAGCCCCTCCGCCGGACCGAGAGCTGGAAGGCGTGGGCCGAGGGCGACTCGGCCGATGTGGGGATCCCGCAGCGCCCGATTGCGGGCAATGTCGCCGCGCACGCGGTAGACGAAGAGGACGCGGGCTTCGGCACGTTCATCATTCACGGCGGCTGCACGGCAGATGGCGGCAGGACGGGAGATGTATGGGCTTTCGACGTGCGCAGCCGCACGTGGAAAGAACTCCCATCTGCACCGGGCCCCGCGCGGGGCGGTGCTGCCCTGGCCCTCGCCAAGAGCCGCCTCTACCGCTTCGGTGGATACGACGGCGAGAAGGAGCTCGGCGGACAGCTGGATGTTCTCGATCTAGCGCTCGACGAGTTCGACGACCGCGTTAGCAGAGGCGAGATCGGCGTTTTCGCGCGCGGCGAGTGGCAGACTCTTGCCCCGCCCGTCACTAACGCCCCCCCTCCAAGTGAGAGCGAAACGGCCAAGTTGGTACCTACAGAAGAGTGGCCCGGGGACCGCAGCGTCAGCAGCCTGGAACTCGTGCTCGGCGGCGGCGGACGCGAGTACCTCGTCCTCATGCTTGGCGAGCGGAGTCCCAGCGCCGAAGGCCACGCAGGCGCCGGTCAGTTCTGGAACGACGTCTGGGCCTTCCAGGTGCCACCTATCGGCATGACAGCCGCCAGCGTCACAGATGCTTTCCTGCATGCTGTAGGGCGCAGAACGGGAGAAGGTAAATGGACAAGGGTCGTCCCGGGACCGTATGACGAAGACAATAGCTTGGACGTCCAAGGCCCTAGTCCGAGGGGATGGCTGGCTAGTACGCCGGTGGGCGACCTAGAAGAGAATGGCGTATTGATATTTGGCGGGCTGAGCGAGAATAACCAGAGACTTGGAGACGGTTGGATTTTCAGGTTGGGTTAAGCTAGGATGTTGAAATGTTAGCAAGCAAGCAAATTTTTTTATTTTAAGCTTCTGGGTTTCGATATCAAATCTAGTTTCCTTGGTAACGGTTACGACTGGTTGGGTTAAATGATTAAATGGAACCGAAAAGGCAGATTTATCAAATAAGCAAATAAAAATGCCAGTTAACTCAAGCAAGACCAGAAAATTGATCGGGATATCTATTACAGAGAATGCGTGGGAAGCGGCGCAAGGGACGGTCTTCTTTTTATGAACCGATACAAATAGAGCTTATGTACAAAGTGTCTACGTTTACGCCCGTGCACCAAGAGGTCTCTCCGCTGTCTCTATTTACAGGTCGCTTCTCGTAGTCTCGATACCCCACGGCTTGCTCGTCAAGTTCGTCTGGCCAGCACTGTTCTCGCAAGTGTCACGGCCACTCTGCGGGCCGGGTTTTGGTACCTTGGCGCCTGGTGATGTAGCGCTCTCCTTAAGGCCGGCCAGTAACTTCTTGGTAGACTCGGGTGTTAGGTCTTCGTAGTAGTCGTCATTAATCTGGATCATGGGCGCGTTGACGCAAGCACCGAGGCATTCTACTTCGATAAATGTGAAGAGTCCGTCGGGTGTCGTCTCGCCCTGCTTGATGCCTAATTCCTCCTTGATCGCCTTCACGATCGCGTCGCTGCCGCATCCGCCAAGCTGGCATGGTGTCTACTCCAGATCATATCTCGTTAGCAAGCGGTACATTTCTGAGGGAGATATTCAAATATAGACTAATGACTTATCCACCAGACAACTCATCTATAGATGGTGGTTTGACTCCCCGTCCAGGTTTACATCATAATATCATAATATAGCACGTCCGATAGACACGAGATGGTGCGAACGAATTCTCAAACGATAGGTGTGTATAGGAAATGCAGGGTGAAATCGACGCAAGCGGCAAGAAATTCGACGCAAACTCACCGTAGTGCACGCCTGGACGTGGAACTTGCCAACCGGCGTCCGGTTGTACATGGTGTAGAAAGAGGCGACTTCGTATACACGCGTGGGGGGCATCTCGAGGAGCCGCGCTACCTCGTTCATGACCGATATGGATGTGAAGCCGTGTTGGCGTTGGCCCAAGTCGAGCAGCGGCATCACGGCAGCCTTCTTGTACTGGGGCGGGTAGCGCTTTAGGATCTGGGCGATAACCTCTTCATTCTGAGCTGAGAACTTGAAGGGTATCTCGGGGTTGTTGTCGGGGGTATTCCGGTGCTGTTATCGCAAGGCAAGTTGAGCGTCAGTACATACTGGACATTCGTGACTTATAGATAAGCCGACGAGGGCTTTAAAGGCTACCCTGAGTTGCTCGGGTAGGCATCGAGGCCGAATACAGCGAAGGGGCAGAAGCCAATTTGACAGACGGACTTCCGCAGCATCCGTCTATTTCGCAACTGGATAATAGAGCCTCTTGGGCTTGATCGAGAAAGATGGGGACAAGACATACCACTGCGAGGGTCTCACTTCTTCTAGAGCTACCGGCTGTAAAGGCTCGGAACTGTGATCGAGGAACCCGGTATGCTGGGCGGGCTGCCCTTCGGAGGAAGACCGGGGCGAGTTTAGACGCCATGGTGAATGTATAGTGCGTTCAATTGAAGAGGGATGGCAGAGCTCAGCGGGTTAAAGGTCCCTCGGATCATGGATCATTATGAGGTTTGAATTGGCGATAAACTCTGGGATCCAATCAGATTAACTGTGTTGGTCAAAGATGACCCACATGGTTAAATCTCGGTCTCTTCATTCCCGTCTACCACTTACTAGGGTTACACTTTACCTCACTCCATTACATAAGATAGTACCTTAGTACCTGGTAGATAAAATGCCTCTACATTTGACGCGTAGCAACAAGTCGATTGTTTTGTCGATCGAATGGGTTAGGCAGGCTTTAACGCGAGTCTTGATGTTGACCACATACGAGACCAGAAAGTACCTAGGGTATCGCCTCAGCGGGAAATTTCGTATATCCAATTTACTTTTATTGTTCTCGTCATTCTACGTCATTATTGACACGGATGTTACTATCATATCAAAACCGTGATGTTACGACTGGAGGCAAGATAATCCCTAGGTTGGACAAAAAGGCAGACGGGCAAAAACAAATACTATCTCCGTTACTCGGCCGCGCCATCCTCTTCCTTCTCCTTAGTGGCGTCGCCATTAGGGGATTTGGCCTCCTCTGCGGCCTTCTCCGCAGGCTCCTCGTCAGCAGATTCCTTCACATCCGCTTCCTCGTTCTCAGCGACCAGCTTCTTAACGGCTTCGACCGTTGCGGCAGGTCCGCCAGGTTCGGCGATGAGAACCTTACCGCTTTTGTCAACGACGAAGACGCCGCGGGTAACGCCCTTAGGCGCCTTCTTGAAACCGAGGGCCTCAATCAACGCGAAGCTAGTGTCGCATAGAAGGGGGTAAGGTAAGTTCTGCTTGGTCTTGAATGTGGTGTTGGCTTTAGGCGAGTCAGCCGAAAGACCGTAGATGGCGAGACCACCTTTGGTCAAAGGCTCGTAGGAGTCTCGAAAGAGACATGCTTGGTTGGTACCTGTATATCAAGTCAGATACAGCTAGCGCTAATTTATAGTGACTACATGGGATGAAGCTTACAGCCCGGCGTGGAGGCCTTTGGGTACGTGAAAATCACAACTCCGGATTTACTCTCATCTAGAAGGGCCTTTAAGGTGGTCTTTTTACCGTCGTTGGTTTCGAACTCGCCACCAAACCCGTCGAGGGTGAGTGTGTCACCGACTACAGGTTTAGCAGGCTTGGAAGAGCCATTGGCATCGGCAGACTTGGTCGACTTGGTAGGTTTAGCCTTGACGGCCTCTTTAACCTTGGTGGCTGCTTTTGAAACTTTGGATTGCTTCTTGACTGGCGGCTCTGGGGCCGGCGCAGGAGCTTTGCGCTTGCGAAGCTCGACGGGCATGATGTTCGGCCTAGTGAGCTAAATAATCAAATAAATGCAACACTAGATGAAGAAATGGTATCTAGCAGCAATCGCTAGTTGAGGGCGACCGGGAAAAAAGGATTTGAAGAAGATTTGGGTGAAGTTTGATGAAGAACGGATGGAAAACAAGAAGGAGAGGTAGTCAGGTTGAGGTCGTCGAGGTCGCAGGTAAACAGGAGGTTGCGACGAGATCTGACCAATGAAAGGGAACCATTGCGACAGCTTCCCTAAGAAGAGCAGGGGTGTAAGATAGTTGTGTCACAGGGATATCAGGATGCCGACAATTTAAAAACCATTGCTAATAGCGAGGCTAACGTGATCAAGCCAATTCCTGTAGAGTTCCAGCGCAGGTCGGGGGGTGTTGTGTGTACATTGCGTGGTGTGTGGCAGAGATCGCGGACGGGAAAAAAACTGAAGGGGGCGAGGGGAAGACGAGGTACCTCCCCTAACAAAAAAGCTCGCATATGGAGTCGTTACTCGCGACAAGGTGGTGGTAGATCGGTATGTGGTCTGGGCTACCCAGGTAAGGTACTACTGTCTACTGTGTATGTATTAAGAGAGAAAAAAAAAGCTGTTACCCCCTCTGCCCCTCAAGCATCTATTAGACCCTAACCTAAACATGAAGAAATACGGTACTTGATATTTAGCGGGCTTATTAATTTAATGCAGGGTAGAACCGTACATATGTAGGTACATAGGTAGTAGATGATATGGGAAAATGGGTGCGTACCTACCTAACATACATACCTACATACATGTAGCGGAAGGAAATAGTAACTTTACATAGCGTATGTAGAGCTAACCTTTTAGGTTCAGTACCATACTTTGTAATATACCGTCTAAAGGCTAGAAAGGGGAAACTTGGCAGTGGTTGTTGCCAGTTGACCGTCCCGTCCTATGCAATCGCCCAAGACCTACCTTCCAAGCCATCGCACCATTTCCCATTTCCCATTTCCGCACGGACATAACACGAATCAACATTTCTCCTTATGCAGTATTTATCTACATCATGCGCCCAGTTCCCCATTCTCTATTATTCGTGACCAGTAAGGACTTTCAGCGACGCAGATAATCCGATGTCAATCTATAGCCTACGAGAAAAAAAAGAAAAATGCGGCTTGGTACTCATTGGTTGCAATGGATGGATAGGAGCTGCAACAAGGCTCGCCAAGCCACCAATAGCCATCTTTCTTGCAGAGTACGCGACGTACAGTATCTATCATATATCATGATGTGACTACGCCGTACACATCTCAATACCGAGGCTATTAGACAGCATATTCTGCCCGTGCTTCTCGTCGCGCATGAAAAGGAAAGGGAAATGAGTATATTCGCATATGCTCTTAATCAGCTAAGTCATTATTAACATTCTCCTTTTGTATATCCTGGGGTTTTCAAGGTAAAAGAGAAGCGCAATTTATACGAACAGTCAATCATTTTAGCACGGCATTAGCTACCATTCTTGCAACTCTACCTGGCAAAAATAGTATACCTATGCAATGATCGATATGGTCCCAGATACCCGACTGGATATCCTAACGCCGGCTAAGATGTCAGGAGGTCGATTGACGATCGTAGAATACGAACATATTCCGATATATTTCACCTTTATGCTTATGCGACCTATATTCTTGCAATATTGCATTACACAGGCCTAGATACTTAAGTACGATGTTCGATTGTAATTCCATCATTGCCCATCAGCCAACCTTTTCTCGAGAACGCTGTTGTTATGTATCCATATCTGCACAACTGGTGACCAATTACAACCTTCGTGTCGCACCTATTCTCTATTCCAATCATGCTGGCTTGGAAGTTAAGAACACTACTTTCTGCAACGTCACCCTCTCATATGCTCATCAACAAGAGAGCGACCTTGTGAGCATGGAAACATAGCTACCGGTCGATCATTAGAATGGTCGTCTCCAAGCTACTGGGGTAGTGGACTCGGTCCTGGTCAGTTCTACCTAAGCTATGGCAACATGGCTGGCGCTACATATTGCTGAAGGCTATGCTATTATTAACACAGACGCAGGGGTCATAAGTCCTTTAGATCCGTACTCGTGAGTATTAGATGGCCTTGGAGAGGTTGATAAAGTCCCAGTCCGGTATTAGGGTGGTGATATCTTGAATGAAATGGCATTCCATCGAAGTACGATCGAGTATCAGAAGCCTAATGCTATTATCAGGCAATTATCGCAAAGAGTATGATCCGTGACTTTTATGGAAGACCACCAGAATATTCTTATTTCAATGGCTGCTCTGAAGAGGGTCGCCAAGGCTTCGAATTGGCCCGAAAGTATCCTATGTATTGCAAACGACGGGTATCGCAGCCTCAGCGCCAATAATTCACTGGGCTCAGTGGGCTCCCGCTATGTATTGGCCGCAGATGCTAATGAATATCATGGGCGAGTATCCGCATGGCTGAGCTAGATCTCCTTACGATCCTCGCGGTACAAGAACGCGCCGGTCGCGACGGAGCAGTAGACGGTATTATATGAACCCCTAAAGCATGCGTATTCGATCCTTTCCTACATATCGGGAGAAATTTCATCTGCCTGCCTGCCTGAACATAAATCCATGAAGCTGAGCAAAGCTGCTGCAGTCTTTGCAAATGCCGGTTGGGCGGGTCTAACCGGCTCTGATAGGAACATCATCTGGTACGGGCTCAACCACAGCACTGACCTCAGTGGCGGTGTAACTGGCACAGGCAAGGCAGCGACAGTATGGCAATTCTATACCTCTTGCGTATCTGTGGATTCAACTGTTTGTTGAAAAGTATCCAAACTACGACTATAATACTATAACCCGAGGAGTACGACGAAATAATGCGCAAGTCGGGGTCTGAATATGATCATATTGTTGCAAGTAGCAATCCAGATTTTACCAAGTTCTATAAGATTGTGGGAAAGTGGTGATATATCATGGACTGGTACGTAAACGATCTGGTCTTTCATTATCATTTCTTCTCCCTTGAATATTCACTACTTTTATTTTTTAACTTGGTAAATAACAGTTAATATTTATCTTTTCCAAATTCCACCCACATACTTATATTTACTCGATACCTAACCGCGATTTTCCCAGCCTCCTAACCAAGAGCCCCAACGAGAACATGATGAAAAAGAATGAAGTAGCCAATTTACCTATAGCTTCTGTTTTAAATATCGTGTTGCCTAGCCTCACGTACGCAATTGGCTTAATTATCATCGATCGTACGTCCTTCTCCTATCTGTCTAATTGTCAGTGGTTCTCGAGGAAGACACATTAAGAACACTTACACGAATGGATCCATCGTGAGAAATACCATGCGACCAGAAACCATCGATAGCTGGAAACATCCGGGCCATGTTATCATGGGTTAGCAACAGCCAGAACCCGAACACTCCCTTTGCGAGGACATCTAGAACGGCATAAGCAATGATCTCGCTATCAACATTGACACGGTGGGCACCATCAGCAATGCCCCATACACTAAAGACGTTAGCAAAAGGTCTGACTTGGAAATGTAAGGTCGCTTACATAGGATACGCGGTCCACAATAGGAGAGTGAAGAGAGAAAGGGCCCCAAAGAAAGCTCTTGTTTTATTGTCCCTAGTCGATACTGCGTGTCGCCCTTTGTAACCAACCTGATAGACGACATTCAGATAAGCGATGCAGGCGATGGCATACCACCCCCATCCTTGAGCCTCGTCTTTTGAGAAAGCGGCGAAGAGACCAGTTAAGATCATGATCACATCTGACACAACAGCTATCAAAATGCTCGCACCGTTGACGCCAGCGAGGAGACATAAGTCCAACAAGAGAAGAGGGGTGGTAAGTGACCACTAATAACATTGATGAGCAACCCTTGGCGACATTCGACTTGGGTAGGACTCGCAATACTCACATCAACATAACGGGCCCAATATATATCACGATTGACAATCTCTACGACTGCTCCGTGCTTTGATCTCTCGGATACATAGGGGCGAGAGGTTATACCATCACCCGTAGCCATGGCGTAATAGGACAAGAAAGCGAATGTGGTGATCAATGATGTGATTATATGGAAGAGACGTTTTTGCTAACGATTATTAGCATCCTACTACTTTGTTACATCTTAAAGGAGCACTGGTTCTTACCACTGGAACTCTCATAGCCATGACGTAAAATGCGAGAGAAGACAAGCCCATCAAAACACAGACAACCCTAAGATGGGTCATGTAAGTGACTATTGGTGATTTCCCTCTTGGCAGGAGAGCTTACCATAAGGCCCTATGACCTACTTCACTTGAAGTTTGGTAGTGTATTCGGGGAAGATCTGGGATCACAGTGGGCAACGGCGTGTGGCTAATCTTAGAAGGATGTAGCATAGCAGCTACTCGAGTAGCCTCTGGGATCTCCTGCGGAATAAACATTGTGATATAAAGTTCACCTAGGTTTTCAATGCTCGAATATTTCAAACTAGAAAGACTCCGACTTAGGAAAGTGAAGTTGTCGAATAAGAGCGCCTACTAGATGGTTTCGTAGGCGATCAAGGTGAGAAGAAATGCAAGAGAAACGAGGAGAGTATATAATATAATATTATCCAACCAAGGGCCGATATCTAAAGCATCATGGATAAGAGGCGAACAAATGGTGTCGTCACTTTTAGTAGGTGATTGTAAGAACCAACCAATTAGATGCTAAGAGACACTCGAATTAGGTATTCAACTGCATATTTACCAACCCTCAAACCTTGCAATAGTCCTACAACGGCGTCCTACTGCAAAACAAGGATTTCCTTTAGGTTATACCGAGGCGCTTGGCCGTGGCTGAAAGGATCGGTTCAATCATCTTCTTCCCCTAGACTATTTTGTACGTAACCGAAATAAATAAACTGTAGACAGGCATATCAGCAGATATCAGCAGACTACACAGAAGAAGGTTATATTAGAAAGCTCTTTTACTGGCATACTCATCCTTCTGGAAGTTAAGGTGACGGTAGTTACGGATAATGTCAGTTTGTTAGTTTTGGAGTTTGAGGAAATCGTGAATCGTGATGTGGTTAACCCAACCTAGTGAATTATATAACTACCTAACCTAACTAACTTACATCATAACTACTTAATCCAAGGTAATGTTCTAAGTTGAAGTTTCTGATCTTAGAATACGGAAACTGACATTTAAGCTTGGCTAGGTACCTAGGGATTTTCCCCCCTTTCCCTGTTAGATGCATCATATATCACATTAGCATTATAAAATTGTTATGCTATTGAATGAGAAGTATGTAGAGAAAGAAATAGATACCTGAAGTAGATAGAAGCTGCCCCGCCCCCGGAAAACGAAACAAAGCTAAAGTAAGATCCTTACAAAGCAAACATGGATCGTCTATGCCCCGCGGAGCCGAGTTTAATTGGGGCTAGGGACTCGAGTAGGTACTACTAATATGTACATATTTTACTACCTTCCAAGATCAAATATTAACGACGCCGTAGATGCCATTCTCTCTGCCCCACCAAAGAAAGGCAAGGCAGCAGCAGGTAGCTGCAGCTCTCCTTCGTCCCACCCCCACGTTAACTAAGACCCAACAACCGACAAAACATAAAGTTACCTCTTACATCACGGCCAAACAAAATAATACATTTCAGACCTCAGCAATATCAATCATCTTGGAATACAATACCGTTTACGTTTACGATACTGTTGTTGCTTTACTCGCCTTGAGCGTTCATCGCCATGGAGCAACTTGCCGCAACGCTTCTAGCGTTCCCCGAATCCAATAGTGCCAATTCCAGCCTGGTCGACAACGTCACTTTTGACGCGGCAGCGAAGCTTCATGTTAGCAAGCTCTCAAAGCTACTTAAAGATCATAATGCCTCACTAGTTGCCCACGGCCCCCGACTCATCGACATGCTCGACCCGGCCGTGCATACCTTATCATATCTCGCCGTCCTTCATACCCTCATCCTTCCCGCCCTAGATTCATCTATTCCTCGCGATGCTCTTCTGACCAAGTTCGTGAGATTTCTATACGTCTTCGATGCGCGTCAGGCCCGATATGCCAGAAGCCATTTGCATGACATCTTGCTTGCCGCTGGAAGTGGTCAATATCTGCCGGTAAGCTCCTATAGCTTACACCCTAATATATGCTTCCATACAAGCTAACACTGTTTATTAGCCTTCGGTTGCCGTCCGTGCTCTTGCAACAGCTATCCTGCGACTCGATCCGACCGGAAGCATGCTCACCACGTCCCATTTTCAACTTGTCAAACTTGCCTACCAGACAAACAACATCGAACCAGCCCTTCCAGTACTCGACATGAATATCGTATACTTCCCTGGAATGGCCAGCTACGGCGAACCCAAGTTCCTCTGCGATCTATCTTTACCACCCCCAGCCTACCTCTCGAGAGAAACAGGGCTCACCACCAACTTGAAATCTTCCTTCGTCTTAGAATATGATATGTTTCGTGGTATGTCATACTGTGCCTTAAGAGATTGGGCGAAAGCCTATGCCGCCTTCGAAAGGGTCGTCACATATCCTACGCGCGAAGGTGGCGTAAGCAAAATCATGGTCGAGGCCTATAAAAAGTGGGTGTTGGTCAGCTTGCTCTCTACAGGAAAGCTTTCAGACCCCCCATCATACACCGGGGCCGCGGCGAACAAGCTCTATGGAAATATCGGAAAGCCATACACAGCGCTCGCAGTACTATTCGTGGCCCATAATGCCAAGGGACTAAAGGCAGAGGTTGAAAAGAACACACAGATATGGTTAGAAGATGGAAATTCCGGGTTGGTCCAGGAGGTCCTCGCGGCGTATCAGAAGTGGCAGGTTCTGGGCTTAGAGGAAATATACTCTAAGATTTCGCTCTCCGAGATCCGTGAAAAGACTACAAGTGCGGAGACAGGAGATATGCTCCAGAAAGATGAGGACGTGCAGACTCTTGTCCAAAACATGATAATATCCGGCATGTTGAACGGTGTAGTTGAGAAGAACGACGATGGTACGGCTTTCCTTACCTTCCTATCTCCGTCTACACAACTCTCAGAGAAGGAGTTTGCTGCGGAGCTCGCTGGAACGGCAGCCCGGTTGAAGCAACTACAGCCCATCTTTAAGACGACAAAGGAGCGCCTGGGCACTAGCAAGGAGTACATCAAGCACGTGGCTAAAGAGAAACTCCGAGGCGACAAAAGTGAACCGGATCCAACCCTCGCATTTGATGCTCACGTGGATGACGAAGATTTGATGGGCGGTGTAGTTGCTACTGGCTGAGCATGGCCAAGACGCTTCTCACCACCCATTCGGCGAACGTGTCGGACGGGAACCCGAATAACAGATATTTTATTTAAGCCCGAGGTTGAATCTTCGAACCTTGGAGAGGTAGGCGGCCGCTAAGTTGGTTTGGAGAGGGGTCCGAAAACCGACATATTACGATTGCACGTTTTTATGCGGCGGCGTTTAGACAGATATTTGCATCTGCAGGCAGCGGTGCCCATGGATATGGCTTGGAATGCCATTTAGCCAGAGACGGACGACGGACGACGGACGACAGTTAAGAATCGTCGGACCTCTCGGCTTGTTAGACACTAGCAGAATTAAGAATAAAGGCACTGATATCCCATTTACTACTATTGATCTTTCATTACCATTCTGTGTCGTAAGCACATTTTCCTCGTAGCATACAATATGGATTTAACCCTTACTTGATCAGCTCTCCTAGCTCATTCGGTATCGACAGCATTTTCCCCTAATAGATGCCGTATCTACGAGGGGTCCACGTAACCCAGACGTAATAATGAGACATTGAACTAAGAGGTTCGTCTCAAGCCGTTCGAGGCCAATGAGCTTAGAGATTCGAATATCAAATAGCATCGTGCCTCATCGGGGACCCACAAACCCCTGCCGTGAATTATTCTAGTAGTTCACCAACTCGATAATACGAGCTGCCTAACCCTCGTGTTCCATCAACTCCGTACCAACTACCTAGGTAGGTACTAACAAGCGCCCCATACATACAACGCGCATTAAACATGGGTTGAGAGCTGCGATCACGAGCTGATACCGAATTGCTTGATCATATCGGATAGCTTCAGGGCCTCAGCTCGGAAATCCAACTGGCTGGCACTCATTACCTGATAGCGTACTCTGCATATTTCATTAGCGACAACTTCTTAATCATGTGGAAAAGTACCTAATTAGTAGCAAATTACATACCGTGAGTTTTCCCCGTACGTATCCGTCTTGGCCCGGCATCTAAAATGAAGCTTGGTGCAGTTGGCCGCTTCGAATATGGTAGGAAACCGGTCTTCGTCGTTCTCTTTGATCTCCATCAACTCGTCGGCTGACATTCCCATGATGACACGTCCGACGTCGTCGAAGCATGATAGCCAGAGCTGGCCGGTGTGATCGTTTACATTTACACTCATGATGTATCTGTACTGTGGCCGCGGGTGGCTAATTTCACACTTCTCACACCGCCATGTACCATCACTTTGCTCGGTTACCTTCTTGTTGCATTGCTCGCTGCTACACGCAGGATACGCAAAACTATCCTGCTTAATATAGACAATTGTGGCTTTTAGGTTGAAGTAATGCGCAGTTTCCGTTCCGAGGCCTTCGTCCTTTACCTGGGAAATGACCTTCGCTTGATCGACGCGGCCTGTGGCGGAGCCCATAGATGCCATGTTGTTGTGAGTGGAGAAGTTGTCGGTACGGCCTTGGGAGTCGTACCAGCCCTTCAGACGGTGAGCCTCTTCGATGTCGGGATCAACATTCATGCTGCCGGAGGAAAGAAGAGAGAGAGATCGACCACCGAAGTCAGACACCTTCGCCCCTTTGAACGCAACGATAGATTCTGGTTGAGTGGTAAATGTAGTGGCGGTCTTACCCCATATCGTAAGGCGTACAGAATATGAAGTATCATCAACCAAAGTTAATTCGCGCTTATCAAACGGTTTGCCGGTATTCTTAGAAGTAATCGAAGAGACCTCACCAACTTCCTTCAGAACACCAATAACATCAACAGTAGCATCTTTTTCTACATTCTGGAGCTCTTCGATGTTGACGAAATTGAAGCGGGCTTGAGGTACACTGGCTTGATCCTCGGCTTTCTCAATGACAGTATCCCGCTCAAAAGCGAGTTCATAGTCGTTGGGGAGATTAGTGAATTGCTTCTTTGCGAGAGAAACGCGGCATGGGTTGCTAATATAGTAGACCTGACCTTCCTGTAATAAATCGTAGAATTGGTCACATTGTTCGTTAAATGCGGTCGCCTTTATTTCGCCACTTTGGTCGAGAAGATTGACGGAGAACAGTTTGCCCTCACCAGAAGCCTTATGCCAGGTCTTAATGTCGGACTTCTGTGTTACACGAGCCTTGATAGTCCACTTGTGCGCATAGGGCGAGAGGGCCTCGATAGGGTAGATGACATTGTTCCCATTGCCGTGAGACGTAGTGTTTGTAGCTCCGCCCATGCGTGACGACACAGGTTCCGACTTGACCGGTGCCGAAGACTCTGCCTTTACGCCGTAGAAATTCGATCCACTTATGGTTGCTGTAGTATTAGCAGCTTGCGGCTTAGCTTCAAATGCCTGGGGTTCGCCGATTCGGTCGTGAACGCCGAGCTCAGTAGCGACGTCAAGGTCAAGGATAATTAGAATGCTATATAATGTTAATCACTAGAAATGCTGGGCCATATCGATTTATTTAATACTCACTTCTTTCCCTTGACTGCATTTGCTTGATATGACTTAATCCGAACCAGAGCTCCACGAACAAGGGAGCCATTGTGGATTACATGGTTGGCCTCTAAGGACAATGTAAGTATAATAACCATCTGGCAGTCTCGCAGTCGGGTAGGTATCGAAACGTACGTGTTGCCAACATGCACTGGACATAATTACGTATATCACTTAAGACTACACGGTAGCGTTCAGGCTGGCCGGCAGGCCCTTGCTGTGGGGCGAGGGGCTTTATTTGTAGACATTGTAAGATGGGAACTGGGAAGAGCTGCTCGACATGCTCAGGGTCGCTGAAGATGGCGCTGGGATCATAGTTAGCATATATGCGTAAGTCTAGGTAGTGAAGAAAAAAGATGCTAATGGTGGTATACATACTCTAGAGCGCCCTGGGTGATAGATTGTTGTGCTGCTGCGGCCGACATGCTGAAGTTCAAATTTGCCTTGCTAGTTTGACTCTTCAAAGAGGTAGCAATATGTTATGTCGAAAGCCGATATTGCAATCTTGATAGCGGTCTTAACAGTGGAAGTGGTCAATCTAATAAACGCGTCGGTCCAAAAAGTCGCGTTCTGAATTACCTAAGGTAGTGGGCCCTGTGGCGTGTCACGTCCTTTGAAGCGCGGGGTTCTTAAGGTTTTTCTACATAGCAATTTGCATAGGTACATATACTACATTAGGTACCTAAGGTATTGTACATGTACACGTGGGGCTGCAAACTGAACTGTCAGCTGGCAACTCCTCGTACGTCATTCTCTCAGGCGTCAGCATATCTACATCTACCTACATGAATGCCTCATAGGTTAGGTACATTTTGTACCTAGGCTAGTAACTTCCGTCATTCGATCTTCCTACGTATTCCCCAAATCTCTTCACACTTTTATTCTACCTAAAGCACCGTGACGATTAATTACTTTCATCGCCATGGCGGATGCCGATGTTGCAACTAGATCTCCCGAGAGCGATGCTCAGGAAACTATGATTCCGGGCGACACTCCTGCACAGACAGGTCCTACGATGGGCGAGCATTGCACTTCCGACAGACCTACCCGTAAGTCATCTTAACCAAGCACGTCGACTAGTGTCGGCATTGACATATTATTACACAGCTGCCGGTCTAGCTCCAAAGGGAGAATTGAGGAAACTTGGTGGAGTGGATGTCAGTCCTCCAACACAGCAATAGCCGCCGTTTACTTATAAGCCCACGCTCATATCATAGTAGATCTACCTTGCAAAGCCGGAAGCATACCCGACGAATCCATCGAAGCTTCTTCTCCTTCTTTCGAGCGGCACAGGGCTAAAGTCGACGAACAATCAGATTCAAGCGGACAAGTTTGCCGATGAAGGTTTGTACGTATATCTCAAGATGTCGGATATAGCATCTCAACAATACAGAGGCTCGTCTAGGATTTACGTGATCGCTACTAATTGTTGACGCAGTGTCGTCGTGATGCCTGATCTTTTTGAAGGCAACCCTGCGCCAAACTCTTCTATTTCCGAAGCGGAAGCGCAAGAGACCTCATTCCTTGACCGGCTCAAACTCAAAGCCGTCGAGATCGCAAAGTCGTTCGTAATCGACGAGTGGTTAGCACGCCATACCGAAGAAAAGGTCATGCCTATACTCGAGAAAGTTATCGACGCATGTAAAGGCGAGTTTGCGGATGCGATCGGTAATGGAGGCGGAATATACGCTGTAGGTTATTGTTTCGGTGGGCGATATGTGCTCTTACTAGCTAGCGAGCGTGGCCACGCGCAGACTGGTTGGACTGGTGCACAGAAACCTGCCGACGAGGAAGCGGGTGAAGGGACAAGCCCACCAAAGAAGGGCCCGTATATCAAAGCAGGTGCGCTAGCGCATGCAACTCTAGTATCATCAGAAGATTTTCAGGGATTGAAGGTCCCTGTGAGCTTGGCCTGTGTGGAAAGCGATCCTCTATTTCCCGACGAAGTCCGTGAAACCGGGGAAAACATAATGTCCACGGAGAATGTGGAGCATGAAGTCCAGGTCTATCCCGGTGTTCCTCATGGCTTCGCCGTCATTGGAGACTACGATGACGCTCACATCAAGGATGCACAAATAACGGCTTTCGAGCAGATATTAAGATGGCTTAAGGAACACTAGAAAGAAAGTAACTAAGGGCAATTAACTTTGTGGCGTTCTTCGGTTATCTTCTAGTTAGGAGGGCACAGCACCAGGAGAGCATTGCGATTAGGTTTTCAAGTCCAGTAGTTACGCAGATTCCAGTCATAAATAAATCTTTCAGATCTTGTCTGTACGCTCTTTCTACGGGACTGTACAAATAATCTTTCCCGCCGTCTTATTTTCCTCCAGCAGCTGGTGAGCCTTGGTTATCTCATCCATAGGTAGGACTGTATCGATCAGGACTTTCAGTTTTCCGCTCTCAAAGTGAGGGATATATTCGGCCAGCTTGTCCCTCAACCGACCTTGGTAGTCGATATCTCGGCTCCGTAACGTACTGCCCTCAAGTCGAATTCGCTTATACAGTAACATACTATAATCTACTCCGTCGAGACGGGTTCCGCCCATCAGGCCGAGCGCAACCCACCGGGCATCTCTCGCTGCAACCGTAAGGTTCTTCTGGAAGTAGCTAGCCCCGATGAAGTCTATAATAAGATCAACACCCTTGCCGCCAGTCGCCTCTAGAATCTCTTTGGCCCAGTCCTGTGTCTTATAGTTGAAGGCCTTAGTAGCACCGAGCTCACGCTCGATGAACCGGCATTTCTCATCTGTGCCAGCTGTCGCGTAGACCGCACTCGCACCGCTATCAAGACTGAGTTGAATCCCTGCGATGCTAACACCGCTAGCCTGTGCAGAATGTGAGATCGGGGATGCAGTATGAATACAGGGTTTAAGGGGGAATAAATAGACTTACACCTGCGTGCCACAAAACAGTCTTGCCCGCTGTAAATTCGCCTACTAGATGCAGTGCCTGTGTGGCGGTAATCCACGTTTCGGGAATGGCTGCTGCTGTCTCCCAGGAGAAGCTATCCGGCTTGTGAAGCAACATCTTGGAGCTTACGGCGATGTACTCGGCGTACGCACCGCCGTACGCTAGACCGAAGACGGCGTCGCCGACCTTAAAGTCGCCGTGCAGTCCGGGCCCGAACGACTCGATTGTGCCGCTAAATTCGACACCTAGAGTGGACGGTGCCTGTGGTGGAAGCGGGTACCGTCCCTCGCGCTGGATAAGATCCATACGATTTAGCCCGAAGGCTTTGACACGCACCAGGGCATCGCCCTCCTTGGGCTCGGGCTTGGGGGTTTGAGGATTTATGAAGAGCGAGGTGGCAGGCCCTTTCCCGTCCTTGACCTCTGCGTTGGGGTATCGTTAGCTTTTACATCTAGGTAATATATGAAGTCTGCAACTCGGTGATAAATCGCATACCGACAGCTTTCATCGTGTTACTCATTTCAATTCTAAGGACAGTATTATAGAAGTTATAGTAGTTAAGTATAATAAGGGTTTGGGCAAGGCAAGGGCAACTATCTGCTGGATATTTAATTTATACGTGTAAACCTCAGGCTGTCGATGATGCTATTACTCTTATATGGTTTAGATATACATTATGCTTTGAAATCAACGGCAAGTCAGGTAGTTAGTACCGCGCAGGTTATTTTGACTGATGGCGACAGCTGGATGACATCAAGTTTACTAAGCCATTTAATCCGATATCTGACCGTGTTCTATCTTGATTCCACCGCACGCCGAATCCCGATCTCTTACCACCAAAACCACACTAGCAACTCTTCAGACGTAAAGTCGGCGTTCGATGTCTTCTAATTAGCTCAAGGTAGTTTGAATCGTTATCTATGATGAGCCCAGTTAATTGATCCTCTAACTTGAGCATATTTCATATATTCATATTACAACCGGTACACCAATTCTACCAACCCTCATCTCCTTTATCCAAGCTATCACTAGTTCTTCACAGCGTAGAATACTGCGTCATGTTCTCTTGCTTAGGCGCACCAGGATTAATGAACTAATGTGAAACAAGTTTATTGGTTCGCCTAGCCGAAGATACTCGTTGCCGTGAACGCTTATATCAAGAAACATCCGAAGATAGTTTCACGCTTTAGCTAGTTACTACCTAGTTGAGGCTCGTTAATTTTATCGAGGAGCGTAGTTCGACGAAATATATCTGGTCATTGATATCTTGATCGTGACATGAAGGTAACGAGGATCCCATATAACGAATCTGCAATTCAGTTAAAGACGAGCGTAATCCAACAGTTTACTAGCCTTAGGACTTATACATAGTCTTTCGAGGTGAAACGGCCATATAAACAGACCAACTTGAAGCAAATAACGGCCAGAGAAAACTCGAGATGGCGAGATGTAAAGATCTTCCTCGATAGAAAATAGAAACCGGTCTACTCTTCCCTCGGAGCCCCTCGGAGAGGTTTAGGCGTTAAGAAACGCGTACGAGTAGAACATAAAAAAGACAAAGAGACAACTAAACATAGAACACGTGTTGATTGGTGGCCCTGTGTTATTAAGCAGGGTCTCGTGTGCGTTTGATTACCGTGGCAGCGGTTGCATGTTGCATCGAAGATCTCTGAATTCATCCATGTAGGAAGGAATAGTAGAAATTACGTGGAGAGGCCCATGTTATCCATCAGGTTAAACAACTCCGGAAAACTCCATAGACGATGTTAGATAGGCTATTTCGATCAAGAGCCCCATAACGCTTTTTGACATTACATACATGTATGTAGTAAGTGACACAATAAGTGACACGGCATGTCGAGTTAAACAAAAACTCGGAGATCACTTCAGTCTTAGCTCTAGCTGCGTACGTAGTGATTAGTTGAAACTCACTGCAAATCATCAAATCGAATTAGACATTTAATAGATTCAAACCAGATTCAGCCCCGATGCCTCTGGAGCTTAGGTGAGATCTACAACACCGTCAACGACTTAGCCTCAGTGGTCTGAGCAGACGCTTGTGGAACCCGAGGAAGGGGGAAATCTACGTAGTAAAGCCCTAGCTGATCGAATAGACATACCTACCCTAGAGCATCGTGAGATACGAGGCACCAATATGGAAATACTGCTGCATGGATTTTTGCAAACGATACAATATGTATACCACACCGCATCGGAGCAATTATCTGAGAGGACCCATCTCCCTTAACGCAGAGGTGCATACGGATTATGTTGGGCAATTATTTTGCATTGAATTTCCCTTATCCAAATGCCTCGAAGACGGATTGATACGAGGTGCTAAATTACCTGTAACAGCATCGTCCGACTGCATCCATGCTACATACACACTACTTCTAGATCTAGAACGACGGAAAATAATTTAGTCCTAGCTCTTATCAAACCTGTTATGAGAGCAGAAGGGTTGGCTAACTTTCCAGAAAGCCTTAAGGAACGCTTGGTTAATTTCCGCGTCGGTCTAAAAGAGCCCATCCAGATTCAATTCTGGAGAGGACCGACCGGTTATCGGTAGCGTCTTGTCAACCAGGGGGCTACCTCAGGGGTTTTACCCCGTCATAACTCAAAGAAGCATGATAATACGACCAGCCCTACTCAATGGCAATTAATTATATCCCTCTCTTTTACACGTGCTGCATTCAATACCTACTATGTAGGTACCTATGCATTAGCCGGATCGTGTACGGTGTTCTTCGCTACAATCAGTTTTTCGAATTGATTGGTTCAAAGCGGCGCTCGTACTTTTCTCAAAGCAGAGTTGGGGTTAGAGTCTGTTAATTGTGCCTTGTCTGCGTGTCTGTTTAGGAGGTGTGAACCCCTGAATAGATTTACTACCTAATAGGATTAAATGCATTGCTGTTATAATCGGCAATACCTTATTCTTCCTTGCATAATTACCCCAATGGGTAAGGTCTTATCGGATTTCCCGCATTAATACGGATACGGATATATGTATAGTAAGTACTCCGTACTTAGGTCGTTATCGGAGCGATTGAATTTTTTGCTTATGGTGTCAGCACAATTACGGTTCCTGCAGAAGCGCAATCTGTTCCTGCGTCTGCAATTGGCAAGTGGTAACTTAGTAACCGACTAACTACTGTTAATTTGACCTTTGACCTTTAACCTTTAACCTTCAAATTTTAACTGATCGGTATTCTGGGTACATGTATGTTGGGCATATCTCGGCGTATCTGGGCGCTGATTCGAAATACGATATGATGGATACGGTCCGGACAAGCCCAGGCGTATCACCGATAAATCAGTGCTAAGAATAAATTGATACAACTCAACCAACTGGTTGATTGTCGATACAATAACCCATCTTGGAAGTATTTCTATGGGCTTTTAGCCAAGGAGAAAAATCTACGCTAGTGGCGTCCCAATTTCCGCAAATCGCCAGGCCAGAAACTGACTGACTGTACGTATGCTGGACTTAGACTGGCCCCTGGGATTGCATACCGACATCTAGCTCGCTGTTCCTTGCAGAATGCCTGCATGCTACTCACAACCCCCGGCCCGCATTATCCCAACTAGCCAACGAACGATGAGATCCTAAATAGTCCCGAACTATTGTTCCAAGACCCATCTCGTGTTCCTAATTAATACCATCTGATAATGATCCATCACACCAATTGTATTCCAATTGTATTCAACCATACTGAATAGCCTTGCAAGATACCTTCAGTTCAATGTGCTGATAATAGGGGCTTAGCAGCTGTACACCCCCTTTTGGCCCTTTTAATATATCGACCTGTATCTTGAGTTGTACACCTTGAGTTGTACATGCTTAGAACGGCCAAGTCATCATGGGGGAAATCCACACTTGGACCCTAAAAGGGGTAGATTTTAACGCTCATCATGCACCGCTAGCTAAGAAGAGATACCCCTGAGGTGGTCCCTCTGGGGCGAACGATTAGGTACACGCATACATACACAATGTATTTTTGTATGTACAGTATGTGCGCAATCGCTTTCAGCCATGGGGTATAAGTGCTCATGATTGGATAAGAAAGCGAAATAAGCTGTGGAAAAAATAAAAATAAAAATGGAGCAGATATAGAATGGGGACAAAGTCGACTATGCTGTCCTAGCGCCTCGGGCCCCGTCGCCTACTGCCCTGGCAGGAACCGGGATACACTAAGGATAGGCTATCTACACTACGAAGGAAACTGGAGCAAGGAGCAAGGAGCAAGGTACTAAGGTACTAAGGTACTAAGGCAAAAGTACTGGAGCAGGTGAAGTTCACGTTGCTTGGTGTACACTTGGAAAGCAGCATGGAAGTAACCTCCCCCCATGCCGTTCGTTCTGTATATAAGTCAACACATCCGAAGACCGACAATCCTTCCTCTCTTTTCCTCCTCACCCACACAACTTTCGCTGCAAATATCACCCTGACTTTTCAGTCAATTTCATTCGTTCTACAGCATACCTAATTGCTCTACCTTATAAATACTTAATCCTCGACAACCAACGCTCTACACGAGTCACTTAATACCAGACAACTCAATCAAAATGAAGTTCTCCGTTGCTGCTCTTGCTTTCGCCGCCGGCGCCTCTGCTACCTACCCTGGTGCAAGCGAGTCCGTTGCCTACCCCGTCTCCAGCGCCAGCGAGTCCGCCCCGGTCTCCAGCACTAGCGAAACTCCCTCGTACCCGGTTTCCAGCGCCGTCGTTAGCTCTTCTGCTTCCGTCTCTGTGCCTGCCTCGTACCCGGCTGTCAGCTCTTCGGCCTCGGTCTCTGTCCCCGTCCCTGTTTCGTACCCGGCCGGCAACGCTACCTCCGCTACTCAGTACACCACCGAGGTCGTTACCTCGTACGAGACCTACTGCCCCGGCCCCACTCAGATCACCTACGGCACCAAGACCTACACCGTCACTGAGGTATGCCTATCTATCAATTTTACCAAAGATGTTATAGCTAACAAAACTCGATAGCCCACCACCCTGACCATCACTGACTGCCCTTGCACCGTCAGCAAGCCTATCCTCACTACCTCGTCAGTTGCCTGCGCTACTTGGTAAGATGCCAAATTTCAGATAAGATTAAATGAACTAACATGGAAGCAGTGCTCCCGGTACCACTGGCCCGGCTCCTCCTACTTACCCTACTTCGGTCCCGGCTCCCCCCAGCTACCCTAACAACACCGTCCCCGTCAACACCCCCACCCAGGCCTACCCTACTGGTGGTGTTCCCGGTGTTTCCACCCCGTCCACCCCCATCCCTACTGCGGGTGCCGGTAAGGTTGCTGCCCTCTCCGGAGCCGGCCTCGCTGGTTTCCTCGGCCTTGCTGCCGCTCTTCTATAAGAGTGCAGCTTCAGCTCAATATCCGAGTCTATGACCTACGATTCTCCTTTGTTCGATAGTACCTAATATACGGTGATCGAGAGGATGCTTCCGACGCTCATGACAGGAAGCAGACTGGAGTTGTGAAATGGGATGGAAGTGTTTAGACAGGGATTGTTAACGGCACGGTGTTCTGCATTGCACTATGGGGTATAACGACCACGCATGCGGGAACTAATTTTGATTCTTGTAATTTCTTGTCGGTATTTCGGGCAACCAATCAGATATAATCATGGAGGATTACATTGTGTGAGGTCTCCTGGCACTTGGAATGGTCAGGGAGGTTTTTTGGAATCTGGAGAGGATATTTCCTGGCGGATACTTGGATGGAAAATCACTTCGTTTCGGAGCCTTTGGACAAAATCAAACCATTTCAATCTTCACCTTTACCCGTCTTCTCCCAGGAAGTTTCAATTCTCGTGCTCTTGCTAATTACTGACTTCTCTTTCATGTACAAACTTGGAGAGTCAAGCTTTAATATTCTCGGCAAGGGTTGCAACAATACCTATCTGTTGTCTTTAGCTGGATGTTTTATTGGTCTTTGGACAAATTCTCCCGTGCTTGCGGAGTCCTTGTACGATAGTTCAATGGCAACGTAAACATGGCTGGGAGGCCAAGTTTTGGTCCGGCATCTAAATTTCCTCTATCGTGATGAGTGACTGAATCATGATTGTAAAGCTTATTGGTTTGTTGTAAAGGTTCCAGTTATGAAGTTTATTTAGACTATTGTTTCCTGTTGCACTTGGTGTTCCTGTTTCAATTTCTGCATGAAACATGGTATATGTCTAGATATTCGTTTATGCTTAATCCTCTTTTCACCCGATGTTGGAGTGATCTGCATGTAACTATCTAGGTTAAGGTATTATATTTAGATCCAGATCAGATGAACCATCATGATTGCGTAACTATGTACCTGCTGATCAGTGACGATCTAATTACCCGTGCACTTACACTATGACTACACTACACGTAAGCCGGCGGTCTCAGGTTTAGCAGATGTGTCGATCTTGTGTGTACCTATAGTCTCAATTATAAAAAGCTAGCAACAGCTTAAATCCAAGTTAGTCGTTAGACAAGTCTTACTGAACGCGAGAGACACGAGGACAATGTCACTTGTCTACGACACCCGAGACAAGACACGTGTTCTACTTTAGGACACGCTGATCCGGCAACCGCCAAAATTTCGCGTAGCCGACGTGAATACAGAAGTAGGTAGGTAGGTAGGTAGGTAATGTAGGGTTACTACCATCTGTGCCTAGGTTAGGTACGTTGTGCTATTCGTAGAAATCTCACATCACATCTTGACGTCCCTGCGTCAGGTACCTAAGACTGCAACATTGCTTCCGCCCAACCCTATCAGGGCGCAACGTGACGGGCGTGCGTGCATATGGAGGATTTGGGTCGGTTACATCCAAAAGCAGCCCAGCGGCGGACGGGTACCTGCCTTAGGATTGCATGTAGGTACTGCATATGAGGTACTTAGGTATACATACGTAAGACAAATATACGTAAGATGGATTCAATAAGGCCGTGTGTGTGTGTGTGTGTGTGTGTGTGTGTGTGTGTGCGTGTGGCTTAAGCGGCTTGGTTATTCAAATACATATTCAAATACATATATACATAGCCTGCCTCCCCGACCTCTGCTGGTTGCAGCGTCTATTTCGCCGAGGGTCTCGGTCGGGGGTTAAATTACGGCTGGCGCAGGAAGATTTGTCGGTATAATGTATGAGATTTATATGTGACCTTTTATAAAAGCTGAATAGGCTTGATGCTGTGATCTGCTCGCACCATCAGGCCTCATTTACATACCTAACGTAGCAACGCTCTTCCTGATTGGTTATACCCCGACTTATATCCTTGATAACTATTGCCACACATGCAACTGCTTATCAGCGAAGATAGCCGACAGTCAGTATCATTGTTCTTCGTCGCCTTTCTTGTTTAGACCAAGCGTCTATCTTAAACTTCCATCTAATCAACCCCTCATTGCTGCTACTAGCAGACGAAAATTGTAATGTAATTTGAGTCCCAACCATGTCCGAGGTCAAACAAATATCCACAACGGCTTCGTCGGCCGATGTCGAAAAGACAGCAAGCGACCCATCCAAAACTGTCGGAATTGACTCTATGAACAAGCACATAATTAACAATGATCCGGATGAGGCGTTGAAGCTCGTAGCCAGAGAAGCTGTAGTTTTGACCCCGGAGGATGAGAAGAGGCTATTGAAGAAGATCGATCGTAATTTGATGCCCCTACTTTGCGTCGTCTACGGGTTAAACTATCTGGACAAAACTACCTTGTCGTATGCCTCTATCATGGGGATCAAAGTGAGATTAGCCCGTACTCAAGTCAAGGCGTAAACTTACATTGTGTGCTCTCCGCAGACAGATATCAATCTCATAGGTAAATTCTCTAGGAACCGACAGCATATATCCATGACCATCATTGACGAACATTCATCTTAGGTCAAGACTATTCCGTAAGCTATTTCCTCTTCCCAGTGAATTCAATTCCAGAGCCCCCAAGTGCCTCATCCTTAGGGTCTTGGTTGGATCCATACTTAATCCATACTTACCTTCATACAGTGGATAGCTTCCATGTTCTACTTCGGCTATCTCTTCTGGGAATGGCCAACAAATCGTCTTCTCCAGCGGTTGCCGTTGGCGAAATATTCCGCCTTCAACGTAATAATGTGGGGGCTCGTTCTCTGCTGCATGGCAGCCGTGAAGAATTTTGCCGCGGCAATGACGGTGAGGTTCTTCCTCGGCGCTTTCGAGGCCGCCGTTAGCCCCGGCTTTGCCCTCTTTACGTCCCAGTGGTATACCAAAAAAGAGCAGGGCACGAGAGTGGCATGGTGGTTCAGCTTTAACGGCTGGGGCCAAATCGTGGGAGGCGTTGTAGCTTATGGCATTGCTGTCGGCACGGAGGCTCATCCTATCTTAATCAAGTCGTGGCAATTAGTCTTCCTCGTCACTGGCTTCTTCACGGCGTTCATGGGCGTCCTGTTCTTATATCTCATGCCAGACAGTCAACTGAACGCCCGGTTCTTGACACAGCAGGAGCGGATTATGGCCGTCGAACGTATCCGCATCAATCAACAGGGCGTGGGTAATAAGCACTTCAAGTGGTATCAGTGTAAGGAAGCGCTTACAGATCCTATGATCTGGGCATTCGTGCTTAACAGTGCCATTTGCTCGATCCCTAACGGTGAGTTTACCAAGACACTTATACTCGAAACTCAAGGCTAATGTTTCCGGTCAGGTGGGATATCAAATTACTTCTCACAACTCATCGTTTCATTTGGGTTTTCAGCGAATGAATCCCTTCTTTTAGGAGCACCCGGCGGCGCTATCCAGATCATCACTCTCCTGGTTGCTGGGCATTTTGGCGATCGATTCAAAAACCGCATTGTTAGACATCCCGTTCCGTACATTGCGGGTAATGCTAACGACTGATTTAGTTATTCGGTGCTGCCGGCGTCCTACTGTCAGTGGTGGGCCTCTTTCTTATCCTCCTCCTGCCACTTAGTAACAGTGGCGGCCGGCTTGCGGGTTATTACTTGTATCAGTCCGCTTCAACGGGATTCGTAGCCCTACTAGGACTTATCGCAACGAATGTGGCAGGATGGACGAAGAAGACCACCGTCGCGGCGATGTATCTCACTGCCTACTGTGTAGGTAACATTATTGGCCCTCAAGTCTTCCGGACCAACGATGCACCGCAGTACCGCAACGCCAACATAACGATCCTCGTATGCATGGTTGTATCGTTCGCGATTTTGGTTTTTATCAATTTCTGGTGTAGGCGTCAGAACAAGATCAAGGCCGCTATCCGAGCTAGTCCTGGCTATACCAAGGTAGACGGGCAGGAATTTCTTGATTTGACAGATCGGGAGAACCCCGAGTTTATTTATAGTTTATGATGTACTCACCATACGGGGGAAAGGGCCTCATTAAAGATGATATCTATGAGAAGTTAGCGATATCTAAGTATCTCACCACTGGCTCAATATTAAGACGTGGTCGAGCTTTTACACAGGGATACGGCTTATGTACCTAGGTAGGTATGTATGTCCTAGACTTACTTACGAGTTCTTACTCAGCTCGTATTTCAGGAAATATACTATGCCATAGCCAATTCTAACGTCATTCGAAGCATATCAAAGTGACATGGTTGAGTTTTCGACTGTTGACCTTCCCAGCTTATTTATGTAATTCGCCTGATCCTACTCGGGACATGTATACGATTTGAAATAGCCTAGGTAATTATCACTTAAGTATTTATTTTATCTATTTTGTATAGTCATATTCTATAGTTTTCCCTGTCTATTTATATCTAAGTAGTGTCTTTCAATATAGGAAATGCATAAAGGGCAGACATAAGCTCACAGAGCTATCTTCCCTGCGTGATAAAAGAGATCCACGTATAGGTACCTAGCTTTCAAAGCTAACTTAACGCAGCGCTGACTTAACGGAATGAGTACCTGACTTCCCTCCTCACTTCAACTGCAACTTCTAGTGCTTCCTTTCTTGACTTCGAGAACACATTGAAGTAAGCTATGAATGTGTTTGCTCCGGAACTGGGGTGTGGGACCTTCTGGCCCCTTTTCACAAGACAGCCGTAGCGATTAACTAGTATCTAGCGTCAGTATTTTGATGTTCATATTGCACGATAGAAGAGTTTATGGTGACTATAGATAGCACTTACTATTCTTCGCCAGGTCAGGTCTTCGGCCTAGCAATTCGCGGCAGATGTCATCTGAATCAAAGATGCCTTCGCAGGTTTCGTCGAAATCAGCGCCAATGAAAACGAGTACTCCGGTGTGCTGGGCGCCGTTTTTGAATGGGAGGGATAGTGATCTGGCTCGATCCTTATCCTCGACGGCTAGGGACAGCGCGACGCCAAAATAATCGATTCCGTAGACTGACTCGACGATGCGACTAGCAGTGGATCCTGGAGGCCGCGGGTTGATTTCTAAAATCCAAGGAGTTGGGGGAGCAGATGTTGTCGCCTTTTCAATTGGCTGTAAATCTAGAAAGCCACTATCAGAGCGGTATTCAACAGACGATTGCTGAACTCGAGCTTCCACGTGTAGAACGCCACTAGAAATTCCGATCCGCTGGAGCCTTGCGCTGATAGAACTCTGAAGTACCTCAAGCTCATTAGAGGGAAGAGCGGAAGGATGGACAAGGTACGTCTCCAGGAAGTTTCTTTGAGAAGCGGGAACTGTTATGTCGCTCTGATCTCCCGGCTTTGGGAAGTCGTCGCAGATCTCGCAGAAGAGTATGTCGCCATCCAGTAAGATCATATTAACGTCGACTTCCGGGCCATCGCAGTACTTCTCCATCGTGAATGATTTGAAGAAAGTCTTTTGTATCATTTCTACCCCGGCTTGGATCTCTGCTGCGTTGTTCACTCGTACGATCCCCTCTGAGTTGAGACCTAAGCGTGGCTTGAGAATTAGGGGATATGAAAGATTCTCTGCCGAGGCAAATTCAAGCGCCTCTTCGGCTGTCGAACCATTAAAAGGATTACGGCCTTCGGCAACGCCCACTTGATATTTGTCGGTTGCGATTTCATACGACTCGGCGGGCTGGTGAGGGAGGCCAAGCTTCTCCGCTGCTCGGCTGACCGTAACTTGAAACGAATCTATAAAAGCAACGATGCCGTCGATCTTCTTGCCATACGACTTAACTGTCTCGACGATACGGTCTGCCATGTCGTGGCCAGGTGGGTTCGTCCACCAAGTACCGGCAGGCAAGAACGCCTCATACCACTTAAACACCGGTGTTAGTAGCTATCTCTTTAATGCATTGTGGGAATTTGGGGTTATGCTGGTGATAACAGCTCCCGGTTCAACTGTATTGGAAAATCCAACTTCTGGACTTGGTCTAAATCGGGGTATGTGTTCGAACTACATACCTGTGAATATTCGCTCCGTTCGATCCAGCATCCAGGCTTGTCAATGATGACGAGGTTAATTCCAAGGGCACGGGCTGCTTCGCATGCATATACGGTCCATGACCCCTGAGATGGTGCGCGGTAGCTAATGCCAACGAGAACAAGTCGCTTCCGAGTGGTTGATCTCGGTAAAACCCAGGGCAGAGACATCTTATTTTCAAACTCAGCCTCGAATTCCGGAGGTACAATAGGTACTGCTGAATCCATATCGGTCTCTGAGAATGACTGCTGTAGCAATATCGCTCCAGCAGAGGAACGAAATAGTTTAGGGAGTGAAATCACATCTAAGCAAACGGCTTCCTCAGAAAGCGACTGGAGCGGCGTTAAGAAGGACACCACCTGTTCGACACCGAAGGTACCTTTAAGTCGAAGAGGGATGATATCTGATCTGATAACTGTACCTCTTTGTAAAGGGGTAACAAGTCTCACGAGTCTCTTCTTGGACGATTCGGTGGCTTGAAGGCAGTTCACGAGAAAATGGAAAGCTTCTCGTGAGCCAAAGGACTCCACGCTGGCGGGCTCGATATCATTGTTGTCGCTTTGGATCCAGATGGCATTCTTTCCTGGAAGATGTGCGAACCCCGAGCTTGATAATGCTGGATTCAACGACAAGATAACATCAATAGTCTGCAATGCTGTACTGCCGTCTGAGACACATTTGGTGGTTTGTGAGGTAGTCCAACGACATGCAAAGGCAGCTAATAAATGTTAGTATTGATATCTGTAATGTGTTTCAAACGAAGAACTTGCCGTGATCTTTCCAGAAGATGGTGACTTCTCTTTCTACCATCGTGAAGACGTTGGCTTGGCCTGGAACACTTTTGTGGTCTTTACTGTTTCTTAATAGAACTGGAGAACTCGATAATGTCTACCGTTGCCAGCGAGCAGAGCCAACTTATATACTGCTATCATGGTATTCTAAGATGCTCATGATCCCACCGGACAGCTTGCGCTATGGGGGGTATTAGTTCAGCTTTTGTTCATGCCTTTGCCAATTTTATCACAGATTTCATCTTTTACTCTTTACGGATACATTATCACCAGCCCAAGACCACAGTATCATGTTAGGAATAGCGGAGAACGATATCGTTTCGGTGTTGCCTTAGCCTGCATCGGCGTTCTAAGTAGTCCTATTCGTTGAGGCTATACATAAGTTTCCTAATTGAGAAGCTTGTTGCGGTAGTCAAATAACAGCCCGATACATAAGCTGAGTCATTTACAATGAAAATATGAGGCGTTCTAGGGACGTGCGTGGCACGTAGAAGTTGAATAACAACATGGGTTGTGAATAGAACTGCGCGGCTACCTCGTCTCGTACACGAGTCTCGTAGGCGCGCGGGCCTATATTACTCGCCACCCTATACACTCAAAGCCCACGTATGGAACGCCCCCAAACATATTGAATTAGATTTCTCGGAGGAAACTGTTTATGCAGCTCGCTTTATTTTAGAATAGAGGGTATTGTCGTTATGATTGGCAGGCAAAAATATCAAGTAGATGATGCGAAGGAATTACGAGCCTCGGCCTGTTCAACGCCCGCGTTCTACGATCTCCCGGGACCATTTGGGTCCGTTCATATGTCCTAGGAAATATGGTTAGAGTGATATGGACTCGGAAGAGCGGTATCAGAATAAGTGGCCCGTCCCGATGAGAGAAATATTTCATAGACTAAGGTCATACACGGTAGCCAAACGAAGAGAAAAAGATCATAATATTTTAGCCTCGGAGTTCAACTCGATAAAAACACAAGAACGTTTCGAGTATATTGTCCTAGCAAGGTACATGTAAGCGAACATGTTTTGATGCTGTTGTTAGGGGAAAGGTAGATGTCACTACTAGAAGGTTCGTGTCGTTGCTTTGAAATCTAGGACCTCAACGACGGCTTATTATATTTGAACTTGAACACGAAAGCTACCTGAATATATACTACTAATCGACGTGCTCGCGAGTTGCTACCTTCTAGCTTGAAACAACCGAAGCAGAAATAGAAGTACATAGTGGCAAGCATTGTCGAGGGATATGGCTTAACCGGAACGGATCGTCTACAACTTAGCCCTTGCCTCGATCGCTTTATGCGCTTCCCCTTTATGCTCAAAATATTCTATGACCTTGGATTTTGCTACATTGACCACCGACGCGTCCTCAATGGTGGCCGGATATTGGACTTCGTTGTCAAGTTCGTCATGAACCGCATTTTCAACTAGTTCCCTTAGAACTCTTCGCAACGTCTTGCCCGATCGCGTCTTTGGGATCATTCCCTTGCCCTGGATTATGCCCCCAAGCGTTGCGATACCTCCGATCTGGCTTCGAACAAGTTTCTGGATCTCACCATAAAGGTTTTTATCTGGCACAGCGGACGTAGGATGATCAGGCACCGATAAGGTTATGAAGGCGAAAGGAAGCTGGCCTTTCAAAGAGTCTGGGATGCCGACTACACAGGCTTCTGCGACTAGAGGGTGGCTTGTTATTGCCTGCTCGATAGAACCTAGCCACTTCGCTTTAGTATAGACCTCATTTCAAGGGCGAGATGACTTACCAGTCGAAAGCCGATGACCGGCTGTATTAATCAAGTCATCACTCCGACTCATGATGCTGATGTACCCATAATCATCTATCATGCCGGCATCTGTCAAACTTGTGGTTAGCGAATGACTCTCAAGCATATACGAAAGACCTACCGCCAGTGTCAACCCATTTTCCGCTAAACCTTTTTAGATAGCCATGATAAAATCTTTCCTCATCTTCCCACAACGTTGTGAAACCCGTCGGGGCCAATGGAATCGCCAGAACAATGTTGCCCATCTTCCCCCTCTTTACCTCGTTTCCATTATCATCCACCACCCTGACGTCAAACCCTGGCATCGCCTTTCCGGCGCTTCCCGGTTTAATCGATAATCGTTTATAATTTTTGCTTATGGTACCTTTAGTATCTCCTACGTGTGGAGCTAAACAGATGCCCGACATTGGTGATCCGGACTCTGACGACCACCAATTGTCCACTACGGTAGCGCCGGGGGCGCCATACCGTTGTACAAGGTCGTCATACATCGTTACTATTGAGGGCTCTGACCTCTCACCCGCAAGGAAAAGCGCCTTGAGGCTTTTAAGGCCACCCTGTTCACCTATCCGCTTGAGAAACTTGTTTTCTGGATCGTCTCTCTTGATAGCTCGAAGAGCAGCTGAAATCGTCAGAAAGATAACTCAAATATATTCTCAAGCGGGACCTACTTGGAGCAGTGAACAGGTTCGTCACTTTATAATCCTGTATAATGCGCCAGAGAGTCGAACTATCAGGTGTTCCGATAGGCTTCCCCTCGAAGAGGACTGTGGCGGCCCCGATAAGAAGAGGGGCATATATGATGTAGGAGTGGCCTACTACCCAACCTATATCGCTTCAATTCAAGTGTTAATATTTACCAGTGGTCGAGTTCCGTTGAGATATAACTCACCTTGCCGTGAACATCACATCCCCAGGTCCACGAACGCCAAATAAATAGCTTATCGAAAGGTGTAGTCCAACCGCATGACCACCTGCTTGACGGACAACACCTTTTGGCGAGCCTGTTGTTCCACTGGTGTAGATTATATAAATCGCATCGGTAGCGCCAACAGGCACGCAATCGGCTCTCACGCCTCTCGCTTTACAGCTGCGCACCATCTTGAACCAATTACGCTCGCCAGCTGCTTTGTTGAGATTGTCCCATCGCAGTTCATCTCGTTGCCAGACTATGACACGACTTGGCTTATGACTGGATAGTCTGATAGCTTCCGAGATAAAAGGCTTGTAGCTCATGGGTGGTTTGGCTCCATCGATTCCGCATGAAGCCGTCAAGATAGCTACAGGTCTGGACGCGTCAATGCGCTGGGCTAGAGACGCTGCGGCAAAGCCGCCAAACACAACAGCATGGATCGCCCCAAGCCGGTTAATGGCGAGAATTCCAATGAGAGCGGTTGGTATCATCGGCACTAAATACTGTCAGCCATACTGTTATTATGACGACAAAAGGTAATGGGGTAAGCGAACTATAAACCAACACAACATCCCCCTTCTTAACGCCTTCTTCTCTCAGAGCACCAGCCGTGACCTCAACCTGATCGAGCAGTTGCGCATAAGTGATGGTAGCCTTCGTCTTGGTAACGGGGCTATCATAAAAGATGGCAGGCCGGTGGCCATTACCAGCGAGGACGTGCCTATCAACGCAGTTAAAACATGTTGATATTTTACCGCCCGAGAACCATTCCCAATGAGGATATTCCAATCCGCTTTTGAGTTTCCTCGTCGTCTTGGTTATGACCGCATCTGGCTTCTTGTGCCAATACAGCTTTTCAGCATGGCGGCCCCAGAATGCCTCGGGATTCTCCAGCGAACGGCGGTGAACCTCGTCTTGCGGATGGCTCATTGTTTCAAGTTCCCGTGACGATCTCGAAACTTAAAGCATGAAACTTGAACAATTTCTAGTTAACTAGGTTAGTGAGCTTATTAACCACTTTTGAATGATATTATATAAAAGTTTTAGTAGCATTGACCTAGTTATCTAACTAAACTGACTAGATATTATAAGTTTACTATGATAACTTATAATGCTTATTACGGCTTCCTTCCTTATAAAAGGGGTACTGTTTAGTAAGACCGGTACTAAGATACCCCGCGGGGCAACGGCCGTACTGTGATACCTGTCAATCACTTCTCCTCAAATAAGATTGCTCTGGAGTCTGGGGTAATGAACGCACGTCCAAGCCACATCCTCGGTAAACTCCATTTGTACCGAGTCGAGACAACTGTTTGCGAGAACATCACGTATAACCGTGTTTCTTTCTAAGGTTAAAACGACTATGAAGTGAAGATATGACATGACGGTAAGACCTGAGATGTTTGTCTGTGAGAATCAAGATACGGGATGTATGAGCCTACCCTCACGGCGCATCAAATTAAACGATAAGGTAAATAAAGATTTTATTGCAACATGACCGGATTGGCAATTTGCGAACCGGCCTTATGGGACGGACGCCATGTCAACGTCCATGATGTTGCAATTCAAGGGACCGAATCTGAAATTACGACAAACCGACCGGCAATTCCCCGACTCCATGTAACCGTGGACCAAAACTATTGAAAGCTCCCGGTGGCCCGCCCGAGTACATACCGACCCCCGACCCCCGACCACTCATGCAATTGATGCTTTATGCTGATGTATCATGCAAAGTAACCAACCTCATGTATCTCATAATGCAATGTGTAATGTTGTAAACCCTGAATGCAACCAATCCATTGACCGTGGCCTAGGTCATAGCGAGCAGCGTCGTAAATTTGTCAACCTCTGTTGGTGACGTTGGGCACGGCACGCCTATTCGGATGTGGATTTCTCCGCAGGTATCTTGGGCGTCGAATATAAACCATATACGCTCTGCTGACCCTTAGACGCCATCTTCAAATTGCTGAACCTCGCCTCGGGAAGTCGTTTGCCCGCTTTAATGCTCTCAAGAATCCACCCGGCACCCACAAACTTCATCCCGCAACCACCAACCTTCTGGATTTCTTTTTGCAATTTTCCTCCTGCTAACCCTCCACCAGCACCCCTCGACCCTCCGGTTGGTCTACCTAAAATCACGTGAGTTACCTGCCGTCGTCCAAGATTGATCGAGGTTCTAGCTCCGTGTTCCGCTAAGATGTGCTTGAGCTTATGGTCCGATATGAGGGGGTGCGTGCTACCGTTGATGTAGACCACAACACCGTCGAAAATCCTCCTTGGCTGCGCTTTTCCCGTCTCTCGCGCTTCATCTTCGGTTTTACGCTGGGACATCAGCTTTTCCTCGGCTGTCAGCCCGCTGCTACCTTCATCTACCTTCACATCTGGTATAGATTTTGGGTCTGGCGCCGTAGACGTAGACGACAACATGCTCGTTGCCATGATTCCTGGTTTGGCAAGCATATCCCTGACGGAACACTTAGCGCGTGACCGTAGCTCAGGCGTGACAAGAGCTTTCAGCTTAGGGTCCCAGTCTTTTGATCCAGTACCGACTGTGTTTGATACTCTCGATCCGCCGGCCGGACCTCCTTTGAACTGGCTCGTCAGCTTCAAGCTCCGAGACTGACGCCATCCTATGCTTCTCCCTATGTGATTTTCGGCGCGTTGATGACCGGTAGCGGACGAGTTCCAGGAATCAAACACCTGTCTATATCTAGGCTCTGCGGTTTTGGGTATTTCTGATTTCGACGTGTTTGACGGGGGCGACATGGCGGATGAAAGAAAATGGGTGACACGAAGACTGTGAGAAGTTAAAGTTGAAAAAAACGCGTGATTGCTACGTCATTGTGAAGGTAAGCAACAAAAATGTACCCTCGCACAACGGGTTGCTGTTTCCTTTGAAGTGAGACAATGACCATAGACTTAAAACCTTGAACCCATTCCGTTCGACTCGACGCTAACGGGAAACCAATCCTTGAGCTACCGGCCAGCTGCCGGGCAACACAACAGAGGACATGCCGGCAGTGACACGTGACGCCCCGTTTATTTTATTGAAACATGGACATTTATAAAGTTTGAACTATTTGAAAGTTTTGTAAGTCGGGCGTGATGCCTATATTTTGAGTAAGAACGCATGTAATGAATGTGTACCTAGTATATGTGCACATATATCGAGCAGTCAGCATTTTGAGTAAGCAAGATGCTAAAATCAAAAGGGTAAGCAAATTGCCTTAGGTAAGTCAACCTTAGGTAACTAAACTGCTGCTGCTACTGCTGCTGCTGCTGTTGCTGTTTATTATTATATGTCTGCTCTATTTTATTTTTATTTTCGTTCAACACCCTCAATTGAAATGATAGACATTCTTAACAACGTCCTGCCAAGCCCGCATACGATATCGCGCAGACAAGTTCAACGTCAAGGTTATCAGAGCTACGGGATTCGTCCGACGACAGGACATCATATCACGACATCTGACGGAGGCGCCTCGGTGGGCCAATCGGGTGGGTGCGTTTCGAAACCAAAAGCCCGAGCATACTTGTTTTGGTGCCCAGCCCAGCGCGGGTTACAGTCGTAGAGATGGATTTATTACCTACCTACCTACCTACCTACCTAGAGGCTAGGAGGAGGATGGAACTTGTCAGATTGAATTGAAGGATCTCTCCAAAGTCACGAGGTCGGCACTTCGACTTGCTGGTTGGCACCCCTCGAGCTTACCTTTTGAACAATGCAATGAATGACAGAATGACAGACCCTGGTCTAGCTTGGACGAGGCAGCAGGGCCATACATCCACACATCCACACATCCACACACGTCCAAAGGCAGCATAAAACCCCTACCTGCTTTTTTTTTACCTGCCCTGCTTGTCTCGCGATGCGATGGGATCGGTCCCGGTTCGATTTCCTGTCCCCCGCACATCCTCATGCAAGTAGCCCACCATATCTCCCGTCATCGCTTCTTATGCAACCCTCTTTCGTTGCAGTCTTGGGGGAAGGGAGCTGAAGCTTAGGTACGATTTTCGATGGTACCCTCCCGGGTCTAGGCGATGCGGATGTTCTTCGTAGAGAAGATTGACGCACATCATTGGGCTAGGAAGACGAAGCCGTAGACCAACTTGGAACACTAACCGCTTTAGATGCTGACAGCTCACTTTTTCTCTTCCTTTCGTCATGTCATCGGAGGCTGATGATACAACCCCCGATTGTCATCTGCACAAGCGGGAGCTCCCTCCTTGCTTCCCACATCATGTAGTCTGTAGGTATGTGCGCGGTGTATGTATGTACGTATATGCGTATATGCCGAGTCTTAGGTCTAACAGACCGTTGATTACTGCTTACGGGCTTGGATTGAGGCTGCAAATCCTCTAGGACCCGGGGTAGCATGTCTACAAAATCTAGGCCTCAAGATTTCATCGTGTACCTTACTTATACCTTACTTAGAGGGTACGGTACGCTCGGCGGCGAATGCTGGACCCCATGCTAGGCGTTCATGCAGCCTGGCGATTGGGGCCGCCGCCGTTCTTGTTGTATCTGCTGTATCTGCTGTATCTGTTGTATCTGTTGTATCTGTTGTATCTGTTGTATCTGTTGTATCTGTATTTGCTATGTCGTGTTGCTTATCCACTTTGGGGTCACGGTTGGATGGGGGTGCTATTGATTCAACACTATCGAGTCGGGTTACATTTCCGACCCGTGCCCTCCTCCATCCTGTGCAGCCGCAGCGTTTTTATGTTTTACCGGCATGAACAATTGCCACCCTCTCTGCTTCCTTAGTGTAGACGCGCGACCTTGCTCTTCCTTTCCCTGCTTCTCTGGGCTACGTTGCAGTGGCCTTTCTGTTGGGTCGCGGCCAATGTGCCGTAGTGTTTTAAAGAAATTGCCCAGTGTGCCTGGCAATTGGGTGGTCAAAGATCCGATATAGGGTCGTCGTGGTTAGGAATTCCTCGAGAAAGCTGGGCCTTGGGCTTGCCTAAACTTGAGCCGAACCCCCGGCTACGTTACGACCCGGAGTTAATATTCACTCCTCAAGATAGAAACATTGACTCGCCTGTATTGTACAGTAATCAGTGGACTGTTTTGAACCCCTGAAACTTGTCGGTCTAGAGGATATTTAATTTTTGGTAAATTTAGCAGTCGTAAATGTGATTCGGGGACCAAGCAGGAGTTCCGGATTCGGTTCTTATTTTCTTTCGTCCTGCCGGTACTCGGCCCCATCGCCAATTCCGTTACGAGGTACTTGGGCTCTGACGGGAATACACTACAATTCTAACATCTTAACTCGCTGAGCATTGATGATGTCGGTATACTAGTGGGGGTTTGATGCTCTCCACAACAATGGGGGGCAAAAATGTCGACGTGACATGGGGTAGACGGAAATATCGAGTCGAGACCAAGCCTTCAAATACTCATAAATAGAGAGCGTGCTTGTGGTGCGGGAGGGTATACAGAATCTAATACTGACAGGCATAGATTGTCACTATCCTACATATGCGGATCATACTTGCTTCTGCTTCCTGCTTGGCTAACAACTACCTGCTTTGGTGCCGCGGCGGCAGCGGAGACGGGATGCTCCTCACGCATGCCCGCTTGCTTGCCTTTGCTTGTTACGTGGGGTGGCTGGGTATTGTAATTTTTGTAACCTTTGTAACTTGAAAGGGATGTAGGGGGCTGAAGATTCCTGGCTGATTTGCAGATTTGATACCCGAGGACGAATTGCTTTCATCTTACCAGAGGAGGGCCGTATGAAAACGTCGAACGGCTTACAAGCACGGGCCGCTAGAGAAGATTGTTCTGCCATACCGTAGCTGTCCTATAAGCTGAAAGTGGCCTTCTTTTGCAAGTCTTCTGCTATGGTTGATATCTACATATGTAGTACGTCTTGTTACCGACATGGTTTCTTGAAGAATTATTAGGGGGAAGAGGATATCAGCGGCACCAATTGCTTGTCTCCAACCCCCTGTTCACTTTTCCCGCTAGATATGTGAGTGCGGTTATGTGCTGTAGTCATACCATGCCGCGCCGTACATACATATGTACACTACGGTACCTAATGCTACGTACATCACCAGTACTTGTCACTTGTGTAAGCATCCACGGTACCGTATGTAGCTGGATGCGATCCCTAACCATTCCAGAGGAGATATAGCATCAGGGGTGCTTCCCACGGTGCATGCACGATGTAAGATTGATTTTCAGATCAACGGTGGCCCCTTTTATAGACATGAATACATACTTGATATGTACTAGGGATCGCTGGTGCAGCATACGTAGTGCACTTGCAATATATAGCATTGACGTTTGGTAAGGTTGCGATTTGAGTTGAGTATGGTACATCGTGAGATGTCGATGCTTGAGGATAAGAATAGCGATACGCACAGGCAAGTCCGTCAAAAATCCTTGTTGACGATCACGCTTTTACTCATTGTTAACGTTAAGAATGCCTACATACATAGGTACTTGGATGAAAGATAAACGTAAGTATGTATTTCTTACGGAGATCGACTCCCTCGGTGATTGCTTAGATAGCCATGTAAGAAAGAAGTACACAGGGTTAGATGGAAGGGATCTGCAGAGATATATGTACAGTGCATCTTTATTATATACGTTATATTCCACAGTCCTCGCGTTATACGTAACAAAGCGTAGTTAGTGCATATGTAGTTGTATGTAATATCCCAAGTGCTCAGACACTTGTTGCTCCTGTGACCTCTATACATCGTATGAGTCTGGGTCTGAGAGGACACTCGTGAACAGTGACGGGAAAGGCAGGTTAAGCAAGGTCTGAAGGTCTCAACTAGCAGACCGACGAGCTGCTCGGAAAACCTTGTGTGGGCCCGGGTTTGACCTAATTGTACAGGACATGATTTGCAAGGCCAAGTAAGATAAGACGCCTTCGAAGAGACAAGATTTGAAACTATTTGCTTCAAACCAGCCACCACCACGTGAAAGCCATGGGATCTAAAACAGGCTACAACTTTGGAAAATATAGTCGTAAATACATACCATGTAAAATCTCTCTGTATTTGGCGTTCCAAAAAGGGAAAGGGATAAGGAAACCAATAGCCGGCGATCATCGGACAAGCGCGATGGAGCATCGGCAGGGATTTACGGCGACAAGGATGAGAAGTGAGAGGGGAGGTTGAAAAGAGAGGGGTGTTTAGTTAATAAGATCTGGACATGGATATGGTCTTCTTAGCGAAATAGCGGTGAAAGATAACCATAGTACATAGTTACATACAAGTATTAGTTATGTGGAAAGATGGAAAGATGGAAAGGTGGAAAGGTGGAAAGGAGCTCGGGCCTTTTGGTCTTTGTGGAGTGCTAGATGGAAGTGAATATCTTGTTTGAATATATCTCGTACGGTGTGGTAGCTATTAATTACATATATATGTACCTCCAACAAGGGTGAAACTCTTCGCCAATCTCGTTGAACGGCACCAGAGATCCTATGCGTGCGGTAGCAGTCGACTGTCCGTGTCAAGAGAATTTAAATAGTTGGATTTGTTAGGTACCTGTAGGCTAACTAAACGAAATTGTAAGCTATAAGGCTCGGTTCTTCGCAGCTTAGCTAGACCTCGAGGGTTAAATTTCAGCTGTTAATACCGTTAATACCGTTGATACGTATACTCCGCAACAACGGGGTAGATAGGGCGGCGTCAAATATTATAAATCCATACTAGTTGGCTTCGCTATTACTATTATAGAACGTTGCTTAAGAGACTAGAGGAATTCGGCAGAGCTATGTGGTCAAGTTCAAACACGTACTAATTCCTCATTGGACCAGCGAATAGTCGACTTAGAAAACACGTTATAGCGATTGGACTTTGCCGTGAAAAATGCTAGTAATACCTACTAGTGATCTCGATGCTATCATATCAAATTTCAACTCTGGCCTTTCAGTTTGATGCCCGTTTCTGCTGACCTTATGGTTCTCTTCATCTTACCGATATTAGGCAAGCCACCTAGCTTGTAGAAAAGATAGTAATGTGGAGGCTTTGTCGCATTATCGGAGTCAACGGCTCGTTTATGAGAAAGCGCCTTTACTTACACGCTACCTCAGCTATGTATTAAGCGATTGAGCTAGTTCCTATTTCTAGTAACTACGGCATGCTTTATCGGAGAATTACGAAGCGTACCTGGTGTATATTACTTTTCGAATTAAGTCCCAGTGGGAGTATATTATTAGGTTAGTAGACTAACCTACTGCTTAGGTAGTTTCCTATGTAATTCTTGGGAATATGGCAATAAGAAACGCGTTGTATTTCGGCTCGGCGATCACGAAAGAGCCGTTCAACAGCTTTGATCACCCCACCGGTACGTTTGTAGGGACTCCCTTCCCCTCACAGTGGAATAAAGTGTGTGGTGCATGTCGACGTGGAGATGCATGATTGGACGCGAAGAGATGGTGGGGAGGTTTGGTCAACACCAGGGGAGGGTCGCAAAAGGGGCTTGCGCAACACAAAACTAATAGGTATGCAAAACTGTTCTTAGAATCCCTCCAAGTGACGAGGTAGAATCCCTTCCAGCAGCTACACTAGATAATGGCGAAGTTTAAGCGCCAATAGCACCACGGGATTATGAACATTCTCTCTACTTTGTTGTAACTAGCCTCCAAGTTGAATTAATCTCTATCGGTCTTCGCCAGTGGATTACATGGACAAGCCTGACAAGTCCTTCGATAGTTCACGTGCTCCACCTTTCATCTTGTATTGTACAAGCAAATCTCGCGGGGAAAAGGACTAACCTAACTAGATGTTTGCATGTTGGACCAAGTATACGTCGTTACCTGTAACAGGGTCAAGGCGTTGGGATGAGCTGATGACCCAACTCTAATGCCTCCGGAGTGGTCACAACCTTCAACATACCTACCTACATATGCTCCCACATACCTAATTTTGAATCGTGTTATGAGCAGGTAAATTGATCAAGTTATGAATGAGAACGGTCCAGCGAGACGCCTCGTGCTCTTGAGTCCTAGCAGAAGCCAAGCAAGGCCTAGCCCAAAAGATCCCCAAGTGGCAGCATGGGGTAACGCATGCTTGATTGGATACATCGCAGATGTGAGATTTGCATAGCCGCTGCCCGCTGTGCGTTAGGCTGCTTCTCGGCCATGCAAGTGCTCAAGCCATCAGGACGGGTTCCCCTGTCGTCTTACGAGATTTCTATGAGCCTTTTCTAACGACGATGCTATCTCTTATATCGCACAAAGGCGACGGGACTAAACACTGTTGATATCAATGCCATTCGATGTGAGATTTTCGTGGCTGTTTCTACACGTTGAATTGTCACGACGCGTCCTCTACCCCGTACAGAGCGAGGAAAGGGATGATGAAGGAACTGTAAAGTGTAAGCGAGGCTTTGACCTAATTAAGCATGTAACTTGTTCCTTCAACTGTACCTACTTTTCTGGGGACCGGCTCGAGCATGAGCCGACTTAGCGAACCCGAACCATTTAGTCTTTTGGTAGATATATCAAATTAGCGACACCGGATCAGCCACACGGATTTACCGCGCTGTTGAAAGACACCGAAAAGGACGGGTTAGAGTGATCCACGTTACTTCAAACTGGATCATCGTTAGAACCCTGTCCGGAGTGCGATATGCCAAGACGAGACTTCTAGCCTCAGGGCTGAGTGAGAAAAAGCAAAAATAAATAAAATAAAATAAAAGGGTTTTATTTTATTTTTATTGTATAAAAAAGGCTTTCACTATTTCACTTAATAGCCGATAAATGACGTTGGGTTTTTCCCGAGAGGGTGACACCATCAATTTGGATTAACTTTCTGTCCTAGACGGACTGGATTTGAGTATCCGTAGTGTTACCGGATAGGATAGCTATTCGTGACCAAGTAAAGCTGACTAGGATGTTTTAGTTACATACGGTAGTTAAACGTCGTCGTAGTAATGTATTGATGCATTTGATCACGGCCGTGTTTCGAATTGTCTTGCCTTCGAACCGCGCGCTGCAGACCTGGAAGGTGGTTATTCCACGAATACCAGGTGTATTCACCAGTCTGATTTGGAATGGAGTTGATACGATTTCACGTGCCATACCTAGAGGCTACGTCTAATTATCGCGGATGGATGGATGATGGATGGATGGATGGATGAATGCAATGCATAGCATGGGCATGGCACAGCATTGCAGTGAGCATTGAGGCTCTCTCTCACAGCATGCCGTCACCTCGTTACGCTATCCACAATAAGCCACTCCGTTGGGAATCAACCCGACAGCAACGATAGCACGAGATTCATGTGCTCCTCGATGCGCGGGAGATTGGGAGGGAGGGGCATGGAACAGGACGAAGATAATACAAAGCTGCATGGAATCATGCATCTCTCCGGAGCCTCGCAGATAGTGAACCCCAAGCTGCCCAAGCTACTGACTTACATATAGATTTAGGGCGAGCCCACTCTCCAAGACCTAAGAGGATCCCTTGAAGTTTCCAACGACGTGGATTTTGGCTTCCGTTGCCCTGCGTCGATCCACTGGCGCACGGAAGTACGTGCAGCTTGACATTGACGCTGGTTGAAATTGCTAGCCTAAATAATTAGGATACGCGCGAGACATATTATATTTGCTAGGTTAGGTATCTAGGTTACATAGGTAGACATCAATATCTATGTACCTAACTAGCTGTGACCATCCCGCTATAGTTAGTATAACATAATAGAGCGACCTGATCTAGTGAGATGAGGCGAGCTTCTCCTATAGCCGTTTTGAGGTAGACTTGCCAGATGTAAGAGTTCATACATACGTACCTGACATGAATTTTGTACGTACGAAGTAAATATTCTCACCTTTCGTACTTGTGTACATGACTGTGCGTGCGTGAGATCCACCAACTGAAACAGGACCCTGGAAATTAGATAAGGCGATGGTTGCTTGGCCATGTGGCTGACCGTAAATCCCTCTAGGGCTAACTTTAGATCTGCCAGCAATTCTTTGAACCATTTGAGCCGTTGGAGGTTTGACCAGTAAGCTCAGGCCACGAAGGGACGGGGACTAAATAAGTTGCTTACCGGGCCACGCTGTCAAGCCATCCCTTTCATTGACAGGATGATGACGCCGTCCTATGATTGGCAGGCCGTGTCAGTACTAATTCCACAGGCTTTTACGATTTGTTCCTTTCAACGTTCATCTGACATTTTGATCTGTTTTGTTCAAGACAGTACCCGGAACCGGTGTATTCCCCCACTGGACGTTAGAGAGCTATTATCCAGTGTAAGATATGAATTGTACATATATACGTACATGTAAAAAAAAATATGATGTTTGCCACCGGGTTCTTATAGTTGGAGAACACTTATACTTGAAGTCTTTTTTTTAGAGATGTTCAGGACAACCGATAATAACAGGTAGTTATTCGTAGTTAATTAGCAGAGAAGGATACCTCAAGATTGGTTGAAGAATTAAGCCGTAGTTAGGTACATATAACGTAGTATAAAATAGATAGATGTGACGCTTCAGACCAGGTACCGTAGATGACTGACGACTAGGTGCATCGCATCGTAAGGCCGTACGTACCTAATATACATACATTAGGTACATAGGCACCTATGTACCTACATACCTACCTATGTACATATAATGAATGATACGGTTGTACTCGCGGAGTGTGTACTATACATAGTGGGGGCGACAATAGCCTAGCTATTATGGCGTCTACGTACCTGGATACGATAGGTGGAACGCGCTCAATGGTGGGTCTGTATGCAAGAGACGGGCTTGGCAATTCTTAGTCTGTATTTTAGGTTACGGTATGTAAGGTAAGATACGTAGGTGCTAGGTACCTACGTATATAGCTTATATGTAATGTCTACATACCTGTATAAGTGGCTTATAAGTGGTCTATAACGTGTATGCGCGTTAGGTACTTTGATGCGCGTTACCTGGTATGTAGGTGGCTAAGAAGCACTTACCTACTTATACTAAATTAGTTTAAAGTACAGGTGTTTAAAGGTGTTTAAAGGTGCTTTAGGTAGACGATTGAGATTTCGCGGAATCTTGCATTGGGATACGTAAGTGCTGCAGAGAGGATATCTAGTGCGGCGCCTTTAATTTTTAGCATCCTGCAAGCCCCACCTCGAAGAGCCCGGGTGCCGTCTTACACAATGGATCCCGTGCGACACAATATGTAGTACCTACATACATTTACATATACACGTACAGACGCAGTATAAAGTTGCTTGCGTACGGCATGATGGCAAGGAGTAAAGTAAGAGACATGTATAATTTCTTCTGTTATGTATGATTGCATAGGTACTTACCTAGGTAGGTAGGTATGTAAATATCAGCATCTAAATAGGTATACTAATCAACTATTACATCGTCTCGACTTAGATATCTATTTTATAGACAGGTAGGTATATATGCCAGCGAGTATAAGAGTACCTATTCTTGGATTGGACGGGTTTTCGACTCCAATGTAGGATGACTTCTCTAACCTAGTGTATATCCCAGCCGTGAAACATCAGAAACCTATAGACTTTGCGAGCTCTCGTCGTCGTAGCTTATTGCAGGGGTCATAGAAGTGGTTAGACTGCTAATTCTAGATCTCGTCTACCGTACCTTAAGGTAGACTTAGGTATGCTGTAGTAAGTACGGGTGGCTATTGCTGAAAATATGTAGGTCCCTCTAGTCTCGTAGACGTATCATGCATGCTACTCTATGAAGCAGGTGTAACGGACCTGCTTTTGCTGCGTGGAACAACGATCAACCACTGCCGTGCATTTTAAAGCGCCACGAGCAGAGCCCGCCATAGAAACATAGATTCGGGGAGACGTTGACGATAGCACAGAGCCGTGTCCTAATTATGGCGTTCGTGCTGCTTATTCCTTTTGTGTGTTCAAGTGCGTCTGCATCTCACAAGGCTTGACGGGGTTGCTAATGGCTGGTGTCTGCATCGGCATCCAATCGTGCATGCAGTAGAGGCTCTCGAATGCCGCGTTTACATATAGTTCAGACGTATAATTTAGAGGAAAGATAGGAAAGGATCAAAACTCGACGAATGGTCTAGGTTATAACATGAACCAGTTTTCTCTCGCATTTTGAACGGATGACTTGCCTAGACGACGGATATCTTTAAGCTCGCAGCATGTCACATCTGCCATACATACATACATACATGCACATACATAAACTAGGCCCTGGCCGAATGCATGCATTGGTGGCCGTCCCTAGCTGAACGCCTCTTAGCTTCTACAGTAGGTGCATAACTGACGAACAGCTAGAGTAAAGCCACATTGGAAATACCATCATTAGATCGCCTCCCCATCAAATATAGACGGATCGCAGCCGCCAACTTGATCTGAATAAGGGACTCGGATGCCTAGGCGATCAATACCACTGTGCAATGGGACTTAAGTTTGGATATTCTCCAAGGTTTGTCGGAGTCACCAGCTAGATCTGGTTTCGGTCCGTGAGGAGGAGTCAAGACGAGGAATGACGATAGGGTTTGTTGGCTGAATCCGCCAGTCCTAGCCAGGTCGACATTGCAACCCTGACAGGCCCACCGAGAAGACTAGGATGGTGATTACATACCAACAAGAAACCTTGGTCCTTGGCCGGCGAAGGGACGGCCTCATAATCCAAAAAGAGGGGAAAGACAAGAGAGCCAAGGAAAACGTGCTATGTACAAGCCTAGTTGAAAGGCGTGTGCCGAGTAAATGCTCCATGGCCGCCGGGCTTGTTGCAGACACGCCTTTAATGAAAAACGAAACGGTCTATTTTCCATATTAACACTCTATTGGGCGCTTGAAAAAAAAATCCAGCCGTCCATAATTTTGTTCCTGTCACCATAAATAGGAGTGTTGATAATAACCCGGTAATCATCGCCGCTTGCGGACTCCACACCGACTAGCCGTAGCGAGGAGAAAAGAGTGACTATAGGAACTATACGCTATACGACAATGAAGTCGGCTCAATTCCATGGACGTTCTCTGAGACTGACTGTGAATGATAAGTACGTACGATTAATTAATATAAGTGGCTGAGAGAATCTCCCCCATACTACGTTAGAATACATAGGCCGATATCGATGCGGAGATAAGTGGCGATGCGGAGCACCGGGTCAAGGAATAAGGCCACGCCAAGCCGACCAGCCATTAAGCCCTTAAGATCGGCCGAGCAAATCTTTTCCTCCCTAGCAGAGAGCTACTATGTATTCCCAAGAGGCAGGCCTGTCGAGACGAAGCCTGACGTTCGGGCCGGCGAAGGCGAGTCTACTAGTAAAAAGACACGATCGAAGGTGATGCCGCCGGGAAAGGCAATTCAAGACATGAGGTTGGCTAGGTCCCAGAGCAGAGCAGGTCTGAACAACCAACAATCGACGTTAGTACCATCTCGAAAAGAAAGACACAAAGGGAGCCGTCCCGCGTCTCACTCCGGAATTACATAAGATAAGTATGTACAATGGCACGAGAGATTGTATTCGCGCAAAGCATCCGTACCGATGTTGGAACAGCCACACAAGCCGCCAGCGTCTCAGAAGCCCAGTACGCCCTATATTAATTAGGTACTTCTGTGACACGGTGCCATACCATGCTCGGACTTGGTAGGTCGTGGCAGGCCATCGCCTGTAGAGATAGGAATTAGGAACAGCGCTGGTGGTCCTTTTTTTTTCTTCTTCTTTCTCGCGCGGTCCGGAGGACGATCGATACCCTTTTCTCCTCGATGGTATCTTACTAGGGCCACCCCCAAACGTTACATGTTGGTACGCCCCGTAGGTAACATCACATTGCACTGTCCTAGATATGTTTCAAGTTGTAAAGCCTCCAATGTTCTGGTCTTCTCTCTATCTACGGCTGAAGATAGGTAGGTATGTAATTCTATGGTGGACTAATCTTATGTATGCGTCTAATAGTACATATCGTGCATTTGAAAGGGTTTAATTACTGAGTGACTAATTGACATTGGTCAATGGAAGATAATAGTATAGAATCATAAGCTGTGTTTTTGTTTATCAGTTGGCATGTATAACTGTGTAAGCCGGGGTTGTTACACGCAGGAATAATACATAACGTAGAAATGTTTGTCAATCAGATAAGTACTTTGTACTATAAAGGACGATATATGCATGCAGAAAACCCCAACGACCTGAACTTTTGGGATAAACGTCAGTAGCGTATTATTTATTAACTATTTATATATCAATAACTTATGATTATGGAAACTCTTCTGTTCATATGTATATACTCGTCTCTTAGAACAGTATAGTTATGTGTATAATAATGTTCTGATCTAGCAAGAACCGTAATCGAGTGTACCTATGTGTACCTATGTATGTAAGTAAAGCCGCTCACCGTCTACGATAAGGCCCTTAGAATATACACGTAAATATACACGTATTTAATACAGCGCGGGGAATCCACATAGCGAATGTTCTCTACAAACTAAGGTAGTTGGAACCCAAAAACTCGCATCATTCGATAGACAGGAATTCGAGTAGGTCTCCATAGAGAGGTCTTGCGAGGTTCGACATAATGCCGTGCTGTGATAGGTCTAGGTACTTGGCTTTTTCTGAAGGGTGAATTGACTAATCATCAATATTCTCCTCCACCACTTGCGACGGGTGCGTGTTGTGTGTGTTAACTTCTTACCCTAGCCACCGTGTAAATCGATTCGAGATTCCGGTTAAGAATCTAATTTTAGCCCCAATGTCTCTGCGTCCACGAGTCTTCGCGGGATAGAAAGATAGCCATTTGTTTCATTTGTTTGATAATCCTGAACAGAATAAGATGGACAAGGCTCTGTGGCTCGGGGGTTGGGAAGAAAGGGAAGAGATCTAATTTGGCTCGAACTCGATCAGTTCGCCAATCTCGCCTCGTACTGTGCATCTCATCTACATATCCATCCCACTAGGCCAGGGGAGAACCACAGCAGCCCCGGGCTTTGAAAGGAAACGAAAAAAAAGACCTCACTTTCCTTTCAGTTAGTTATCTTACTAATGACCTAAACCAACTTTTTATCACCTAATTCACATTATTGTCTTTTAAGTCTAAAAAAAAACTTGGTTGACTCGACTAGCATTTTAACTTTTATTAATTCTTTTTAGAAAAAAGTATACCTACACATTATAGAGGAAGTTACCTAACCTACCTAGTATCATTTCATGTCTATGTCCATGTATATTAGGTAGGTAGTTACGTTTTTAAATGCGCCTACCTAATCGAATTGAAGTCACATTCACCTTCTCCAAGCCTTCTCCTTCACAGTCCCCGATTTGGGTTTATACTGTGCGTACGATTTTGCAAGACCAGCCCCTCATCCCGGTAGAGGACAACAACAACAACCCTGATGATTACACGCCACCGAAAAAAGAGCCACACTGAGCAGAGAGCCTGGTGTTAGTTGTACAACCCTTGGGCCACCAAGGACGAGACCCCATGCTACCACCTACAAAGTGTCTAGGTAGGCGCGGTCTATTTGAGTACGTACCCAAATCCGTTCATAGGAACATAGGAACCTTACAAGGAAACTGGCCCCCCCCAGACCACCAACCTCGCCAGCCCGCCAGCCCATTTCGCTATCCTTATCCACTATTCATCCTTCCCCCTCCACCCCCGGTTCAACAGCAAACCCTAGCAGGCGCACCCACACCCGGACCCGTCTGGTGCTAGCGGCTTCGCTGCTACTAATCCCTACCTTCCTTACAGTCCACAGTCCACAGTCTATTAGGTAGTCCACAGTCCACAATTCACAGTCCGCTTCCTAAAAAGCAGCACTCTTGCTCTCTGCATTGTATGTGTATTCTACACCTGCCCTGCCTACCTCCTACCCTGTTGTTACCCTGCTACCCTTGCTAACCTACCTTACTAGTTAGCGTCTAGTCCCGTCTGCATGTCTGTGTCTCGTCTTTTCTTACCTTGACCTCTCTCAACTTTCGTACCTCCACTATCTCTACCTTCCTACCTCCTCCTCACCACCACCACGAGAGGAAAAACCTTGGGCTTTCTTTTCCCTTTTCCCCCTCTAACTTCCTCTCCTCTTCTCTCTTTTGGTGCCGTTTCGACCTCCTAATTCCCACCAGCGAACGCCATTGAGGTCCGAAGAGAAGGTATGTGTTCTTCCTCTCCCCAATTCCTACTTGCGCGCAAACTCTGCCCACCTCCCACCTCCACTTTCATCCTGCCCTGCATTTCACCCTGCGCATCTGGGCCCTGATGTTCCTGCATTAGAGTTGAGAGACAGCCTCGCTTAGAGGGAAAAAGAGGAAGAAAAAAAGAAAGAAGAAAAAAACGGAATCGGGAGGAGATACATCGATGTGTTCGTGCGAGTGTTCGTGTGTATGTGTATACGTTCGTGCGAGAGACTTCACTCATTCTGTCCAAACGACCAACGACGACGACATCTTATCGCCGCTTTCCTGTCCCTCCCCCTCTCTACGCCCCCCTTCTTGCAAACCACTACGTCGAATATAGCTCTTATCCTTCAGCTGCCACGATTGTAGTGCAGAATTCTAGCATACACATTCTCTCTCCAAAATTTACTCTCGAACTTGATTTACTCCTTTAGACCGCACTAGTTCATTATAGTTGACGATTTTTTATAGAGCTTCACGACCTGTAACGACCACGCCGTACGGGAAATCCACCATTGCCGAGGGGAAGCACATTCGCCGTGTCTATTTCCCCGCAAGTGCTGAATCACAGCCCGTCGAATAAGTTCGTACGCGTCCAGCAACCGTAACACCGTCCCAGATTTACTTCCTAATCCCATCGGTTGAACCGTCGACAAGCCAATTGGCCTGCTTGTTTTGTTTTGCCTCGAGCTCATTGTTCCTCTGACGAACTTGAAACCCAATTGTGGTGTTGGTTTGTACTCAAACACAGGTCGTGCTTATTCGACTTGTATTTGAGCTTCTTTGCAGCCCATCGTGGCATTATTGTCGAGCGCCGTGAAACTGGATCTCCCGCCGATTTCCCATTCGCAAACCCGGGGACCGTCTGACGTACCACCATATTACGGTTCCTTTTCCCAGCGCCCGCCGTATGTGAGTGAGAGGTTGCCTTCGCTCCCCTTACCGCAGGCGCCATTGGCCTACTCTTCGAGTACATCGTCTCCCCGGGTTAGCTCTATTGCATCTTCTGCGAGTTCCAACGGAGACTCGCAATCGTCGTTCACTTCAGCACCGTCTTCAAACGGCCCGAAGACGCCGTCTCCTGGCCTCCCCGTCACAACGGCGATATCTGGCCCCCCTTCCCAGGCCATTGGTGGGTACGAACAATATTCCGCGATGAATACCGCGCCTCCAGATATGTACTACCAAGCTACGCACATGTCTGCAGGTCCTGCACCGCAACCACAAACTGTGACATCAAACGCGCTACCCCAATATGGCCACCAGCAACCAACATTATTACAACCAGGTCCAGCACAGTACTCTGCCCCTCCGTATCAATACGGATACGCGAATGGGTTGACGTCTCCTCAGTCTGCTCCGCCAGCCGTTTCGGGTTCCATGGGTGCCCAAAATGTTCTACCTCTACCCGGGGTTCCCAATCAGGGAGGCATGCAGAATCAGTACCAAGGATTTGACACGACAGGTCAAATTGCGCCGCCGGGGATGAAACCCCGTGTTACGGCCACGCTTTGGGAAGATGAGGGCAGCTTATGCTTTCAGGTTGAGGCTAAGGGTATTTGCGTTGCGCGTCGCGAAGGTAGGAATTCAGCAGTCCAAAACTTACTAGAAACTAAGGAATGTGCTCACAAAAATTTGGCAGATAATCACATGATAAATGGCACGAAGTTGCTTAACGTCGCTGGAATGACCCGTGGCAGGAGAGACGGGATTCTGAAGAGCGAAAAGGTACGGCATGTTGTCAAGATTGGGCCCATGCACCTTAAGGGAGTTTGGTAAGCTTTGAAAACCCCCTTTTACGACTGAAGACAAGTACCAATAATGGCCCCCTATAGGATTCCCTTCGAGAGAGCTCTTGACTTCGCCAATAAAGAGAAGATTACGGAGCTGCTGTACCCACTGTTCGTTCACAACATTGGAGCTTTATTATACCACCCTACAAACCAAAACAGAACAAACCAGGTCATGGCAGCAGCCGAGCGCCGAAAACAAGAGCAAAGCCAGATGCGGAACGGCCCGGGTCCAACACCTCCAGGTGGTGTCTTGCCCTCAATACAACAACATCACCATCACATGGGATTACCAGGACCTCAACCTCCACTTCCGTCTCACAACCCAGGACGGCCGTCCCTTGACCGGGCACACACATTCCCGACGCCGCCAACAAGTGCATCAAGCGTGATGGGAAGCATGGGTGCATCCGAGAGTTTCCAATGGGGTCAGCAAGGGATGAATGGCGGCCAAGGTCCCAACCCTATGTCCATCGACACGGGTCTTAGCAACGCTGCACGATCCATGCCGGCTACTCCCGCAACTACGCCTCCGGGAAACACACTGCAGAGTATGCAGCCTTACTCCCAGAGTAGTCAACCTTACGATAGTTCTCGTGCGGTATACAATGGCCAAACTACTCAACATTCTCCTTATCCTCCGTCAAATAGCAGCCCGCAGGAAAGGAACATCTATGGCCAACCGAGCTCCTACATGAAGAGCGAGATGGGCCCTCCAGCTGGACGTCCGGCCGGTCCTAATGAGCAGGCTGATGTTAAGCCGTCAAATGGATTACTGCAACATAATGACGGTGTTCCTCACCCGTCCGGCGAAGATGAAGCTGAGCATGAGGCTGAATATACTCATGACAGCGGTGCTTATGACACCAATAGAACATCGTATAATTACAACGCCCCACCTGTTACGGCGTTACAAGGCGATCACCAGCATATTCCCGAGATAAACGGGTCGCCTAACCATCAAACCGGATCTGGACGAGCGACACCCAGAACCGCTGCACCGCCGCAGCCGTATTACGCTCAGCAGGCAGGATACAGTACGCCGCCGCGTGCGCCACCCTCAAGCAATCTTTATAATGTAATGAGTGGCGACCGGGCGCCCACTAATGGCGCGCCACCGCCGGATGTTTATAGCTCGCAAAACGACATGGGCGCTCCAATGCAAAATGGTTATGCTGCCCAGCCAGTTATGAATGGCGCACCAGGCGCCTTGAAAAGAGGCCGCGATGATGAAGACGACCTACCTCGTCCCTCGAGCGGTGGGCTAGACTTGAAGCGTCGGAAAACGGTGATTGATGGGCCCATTGCTCCCGGATACGACACGATGAGCCGCCCTACTTCGGCGGTGGCCCGTCGGCGATAGCCTCGACCTGGAGTTTATTCAATGTGTCATGCTGACGTTTTCTTTTCTGCGCATTAATTCGGGTGTTGGGGCACTTGTGCGAAAATCGATTCTTTTGAGACGAATCACTTCCGCGCCTTAGAGTGCAATGCCGACTACGAGACACTCCTTTTTTTGTTCTTTTCCGCGTCTTTTGTGTTCGCCGGGACAACCCATCATCATCCTGTTTAGGCCCATCCATCAGAAGACACGATGACGGAAATTACGACTTCTTGATTGTTATTAACAGCCGTTAAAAGGCCGTGTAAATGCTTCACGATTTAACGCGTCGCATGGTGGACCTTAATCTTTTTTTTTGAGATGATCATCGATTACTTCTTTTTTTATTTTTATGCTGAGGACAACGAGACACTCGAGCAACGCAAAAGTCCCGCCTATTACGATTTCTAGGCGAGTAATGTTCATGACCGAGGCTGAATTTGTTTTACTTTGTTCATCACATCCATCAGCCTCGTAGAGCACGTGAGGCTGCTGGTACAATTATTTTCCTAGTGACGACTGATGACGACCCGATTTTCTTCTATTCACCAAAAGGATGTGGTGTCACTGTGGGCGTGTGTTGGAAATGTCTCTTTCTGGTATCAATGGTCATGAACTCGATGATGGAATTAAAAAAGCTATTGCTTGATACACAGCGAACTTAGATTCTAAGCTACATACAACTGTCCCAGCCAATCGTATCACATATTGGGCTGTAAGGAAATTAAGTGGAAATTTGTAACCAGCTTTCCTGGCTTTATATTACAGTAATGGGATTCTCTATTAAACATACTCCTCTCGCCCTTCCTGTAGCAATTGTCCGGCCCATCCTCTACGTAGCTATCCTGTTTACATGTGATTAGTTAGAGTCCATTTCAGTCTTCCGAGTACAATAGGCTAAGCAAGCAAAAATGCTGATACCATTCATCTGGCCTGTACTCGTACCAAGCCTTGTGCGAGGTGACATTTCCTCAACAATCACAATTTGCATTACACCTAGTACCCCTTTCCCGTCGTACGGAAGTGGGAAAACCCTAGCTTCGTGGAACTACTCACTATCGACTTCTTTCGCCAAGACGATGTCGTGATGGCTCAAAAATAGTCCGCTTCACTACTTACGCCTGCGGTGGCAGAGATCATTCACTATAGTAGGGAAAAGATATGGGATAGTGAGACCTTTTTTGAGGTTAATACGGGCGGTCGGTCGCACGGCGATGTGGTAGCCCGAATTATGTAAAACCCTCATAACAGGTAGTGTTTAGACGATGATAATGATAACGATAACGAGGGAGGGGGTTGTCAAGCTCCCCTTTCCTCTTCAGTGTGCCGTTCCTATTCTTTATAAGAATAAGTAGACCTTACTTAGCATACCTAAGGTACCTTACCTACATATATATATGTAATCTAGAATGATTAACTCAGTGTATTCATTAAACCCATTTTCAATAAGAAATAAGTACCTAATGAGTTTAGATAAGGGTACTGTTATCCACATACTGCGTCGAATATAATTTGTGGTACGAGATGTATAATGCTCTTTTGACTTCGCCCGATCGCCCTACTTCTTAGCTGCCTATCCGACAATACACGATTTTAATGACTTTTATTCCGCTGTGACACTTGGTTAACATGAGCTTATATACCTAACACTAGAGAATATATTGACGGAACGGATTATGAGTAGGAAATGTAATGTCAAGGTATGCTATCGTAGCGTAGAAAAAAAAAAGGGGGGGGGGGGGTTGTTGCTTCTAATACTCCTAATTTCAACAACCGCATCCAATGTCCATTACCACATCCCCGTTGATAATACTCTAGAACGCCTAGGCCTTGTTTCCTGTCATGCCTATCACAAACAATGCATCGTGCCAACACAGACGGCTTCAAGAGTGATGTTAGCTTGGAATTAAGGGGAGCAGCTAGATAAACAACGATGGTTAGGATATTATAGCAAGGAGGAAACCTCGTACTGCAACTAGATATATATATATATATATAAAGATTAGCATGAATGACACACGTAGTTATTATCAAAGGCATGTAGCAGATCTGGTATATGTATGTACATGATAAATCCGAAGGGGACTGCAGCCAAGCCTCCACAGATTGCGGCGCAGTCGTCACAATTGAGTCGTTCGTAGGCGCCGAGCGAAGCGGGATCTCGTCCTGTTAGGTTCCAGGACAGCGTGCCCTCCACGCCGCTTAGCTCGGGGAAGGTGTAGTGCCCGCTAGGACTCTTGCCGAAGAGCTCCGGGTAGTTCCGTAGTTTTGTCACGTCGATCCCAAGCTCGCTTTTGAAGTACTCGAGCGTCTGCTCCGGGTGCATGGTTAGAGCGCCGCTGACGCTGTCGTCGGGCTGGAATGTGAATGAGATGGCGTCTGCGTCTGCGTTTTTGCTCCGCGGAGTTAAGACTTCGTTGTGCGCGACGGTGGGGTTGAGGAGCGTGAAGCTGCCGGTGTAGAAGAGGAGGGATTGGAGAAGATGCATCGTGTAAAGTACCTAAGCTTTGGCTACTGGTAGAAGCGAGAAAGGTAGTTAATAGGAGAGGGTGTATACTGATTACAGCTAACGCGTGAAGAATTGCTGGCAATGACAGCATATAATAACGGTGATGCAACCATGTAATATCTTATAACTCAACAGCATCAAAAACCCATACTTATACCGTCGTAGTCATAACGAGCAAGTCACCACCAGAGTGGTATGCTTGCCAAGCTAGTAGTGCTTGGTAAATTGCTTATGCTCTACACGCTTCTTCTCACCAATTACTTCGACAGATACAGCGTGGATACATCTAATCAGATCAAAAATTATCTGATCTCGGAGTTGACCCGCCCTGTATTCAGTCGGTACGGGGAAAGTCGAGCAAACATGGAACTGGGACAAACTACACCCGTATTTGGAACTTGGCTAGTTAAATGACTCTTCTGCGTTCGGTCATAATAGAACGTTTTCCTCAAGCTGCTTCTCGGAGATAGCTTTTTCTAGAGAGCTAACATGTGGGCCGAGTCGGAATTCCGAGGAGAGCATTTGTTGTTGCTTGCTTGTCGGTCAGAATATTGATGTTTGTGGTGGCAACTAAAGGCCCCATAGCCGTGCAGTCCCGTATTGGAGGGCACTTATACCGATGCCAGAATAGGTTGCGAGTTTGGCTCTACCTGGGACGTATAAAGGTTGTACACTGCATCTAACATGCGATAATATTCGTTGAACCAGACTGAAAGCCTCTTAATCTAAAGCATGGGGTTAGAGATTAAAATCAAGGATATGTATGAGGCTTTATTACGTACAACTTCAACTCTTCTTTTCGGGATTGGGCCTGCTTGGAACGTAAGGAGGTGTTAATATATAAGCCATCAATTGAGATGATCCGTAGACGCGTATCTAGACGCGTATCATAAGTGTCATGAATAACCCAAGGTTGGGGTCACATACGAGTTGGTCTGGGGACAATAATTTCGGAAAGCTCAAGAGAGCGTGGGTATCAATTAGAAATGACCGACAATCCTACAATGGACCACGCCAATCCAAAGGCAAAAACTACCTAATAGAAACCGCCTGGCCCTCATATCGTATGGCAGAGAAATTAGATACAGTCATTATGGTAGGGAGTCCTGAGCTGGGCTTCAACCTACGTACAGGCTGGTACGAGGAATGGGGATATTAGGTGCCATTGCATACAAACCCACTGGGTTTAGTCCTCCTCCTCTTCCTCCTCTTCTTCCTCTTCCTCGTCCTCGTCCTCGTCGCTGGTAGCCTCGATATTCGCCTTGGTCTTCTTACTCTTGGGCTTGGCCTTCTTCTCGTTCTTGGCCTTCGCTGGCGAATCAGGGGCGTCTGCGGGCGCTCCTGAGATATCAGGCGTGGTGTGTCCCTTGTCTCGTAGCTCGGCGTTGATAGAAGGAATAGCCTCGAGGAGTTTGTTGTATTGCTCAGGACTCAACGTGATACCCTATAAGGTGGTAAGCGATTGGATGGCCAAAAACACCTATCTCTCCCCTTCCCTAACCTATAATGGCTTACCTTCTTTCCTGGCTTGAGATCGCCAGAGGCATCTGTGTAGTACTCGCGGATGTTGACGAATGTCTTGCCCTTGAAACTGCTGATAGTGGCTCTGCGGGTGCCGCCTAGCTTTAGAATAAGTTAGTAATGAATTTTGAATCAAATAGACAAAGAGCGATAGGATAATAGAATATCATACACTCCAGAAAGGGTTACCATCGTCGTCTTTGCCGGCATCGGAGGTCTTGGCCTTCTTGGTGGACTTGGACTTGGACTTGGACTTGCTGCTCGACTTGACTTCCTGATCGCTTGATACATCCTCGTCTTCGTCCTCATCGCGACGCGATCGCTTAAGGTTCTTGGTACGACCCATATTGGCGGCCAGAATTGGTTCTTGATTTGATGTTGGATGGTGATATGATAGGGAAAGGAAGGTAAGGAATAGAAATCTAATAATTGATGCGGAATGTGGGGTTGCTGTTGGGTTGCGCTTTGTCGCGTCAATGGCAAAGACGCGCCTACTACATATGATGTATGTAGAGATAGGTACATCTATCATGCTTATCTGAGAGGTACCTATTAGGAGTCTAATTGCCGCTATACTTGCTACGGCTAGTGGTTGCAAGGTACCTGCATGTTTCCATATCCGATACCTCTCTTAGGTAAAACTCTAAGATATGGGAACGTTTATTGTAACTATTTATACCTGGCTTATGTACCTCTCACTTAAAGAACTATGAAAAGATACATGAAAGGGTACCTAAGTACTTAATATTACGAAACATCCCATTATCGCACCTCAAGGCACCTGCAGAGGGTTGGTTGTACAAGACAGATGTTAAGGGGAAGTCTAACCATTGGACCCCTAACTTACATGAATTCGCCTGCCAAATTTATAATCCAGAACATTTTCCAATACGCAGTCTATAGAGAACGAACGAACGAACTATTCCGAGTTAACCGCTGTGCTAATACTTATAATATTAATCAACCATCTTCTATTCTAGCCTCTCGTTATAAATGCAATGCGCCCACTATCAACGCCCCTAAACGCCTAACCTAGTAACTTTCAATAGTTCCATACACCAACAACTCCCTAATGAATACCGCCGACGATGCGCAATTCGGCGCCACTCCCGCCGTATCGCAAGACGAGACGAAACTAGACTCGAGCGAAATAGTAGATATATCCGAAAATAACTCCCAAATCTACCCGATAAGTCCGAAGAAACGAGATATACCTACGGCGTCAAGTTCCCAGCAAGATGATATTGTCACCAAGGTGTTGCAATTTCTTTCCACAGCAACGCCCAGGACCCTTGCGGCTATCGCGTTTGCACTTGCTGCTGTGACGTATTTCATCCTTGGTCAGATCGGCCTGGTATTGATCGGAGCTGTCGGTGGTATCACGCTATTCGCGTCATGGGAGTCCCGACATCCCGAAGTGTCCCGGGCCGTCCGAGGTGAAAGGGGTTACGAATTCTTAGATCGTGTCTTAGGGACGGTACATACTAGAGAAGTCATTCGGACTGAACAAGACGATGAGAAGAACGCCGAATTTCTGGCTCGAAGTTTCGACGACTTCCAGCCAGAAACGCGACAGGCGCTTACTGGTCTTGTCGACGCCATCGTTCGCGACTACGTGGACTGGTGGTATGGACCTATTGTGCCGTCTGACAAATCATTTCCTCTCTCCTGCAGAAAGGTGTTGGTTAATTTCCTATTGACTATCTCGAATCAATTGGGCCGCAAGCGACCTGCCGATGCCTTCGTCGACTTCCTTACTCACACGTGCTCTATCATTATTGTCTTCCTATCTGAGATGTCCAATGCTTACTCGGAGCTTCCTTCCGAAGTCAACTTGACTGCGGCAGATGCTATTTATAATTACCTTGCTTCGAATACCGAAGCACCGCTGTCAAATTTGCTTAATCAAAGACAACAGGCAGGGAAGTTTAAAATGGTTGCTGAAGACTTGCTTAGCTTCCTGGATAAATCGGCATATGATTGCGATCCTGCTCGAATCTTTTTGAGGGAAGTCCTCTCAACAATCATTCTTGAGGGTACTTTGCAGACATGTTCTAAAGCCGAATGGATTAATGGTTGGATTGTGTATCTTCTTGAGTCTGGAGAGACGGACTTCTCGCAAGCCATCGATGATGCGATACAAGATCAGAAGGCTTTTGGCGACGTCGATGGCAATGTGGGAAATATTGGTCTTTCCAGGGGTAACCGCAATTCATACGAAATTGATCGGGTGCGCCGCAAGGAGGCGGTGCATAAGAAGAAGTTATCGAAAGCTGACGAAGAAATGGAGAAGGCTATGGAAGAAATGAAGAGACTCAACGAGATGATTGCTGAAGCCGACAAGTCGAAACCAGTATCCACTGAGAACCGCACAGAAGCATCCGGTCTCCTTAATAATGCTATAGAGAAGAATGCTAAGGAGCTTAATTTGAAGCTTGACGAAAAACCAAGCAGGCCCTCTTTAGAGAAACCTAAAGACTATAGTCCAAGGACTAGAGGTGCATCAATGGACTCAAAACCAGGGAATGTTGAAGATAGGGAAGAATCTCTGAGATCTCCCATCTCTCTAAGATCGCCTATAGATTTGGCAAGCCACAGCTCGTCTCCGTGTAGTGGACAAGGGGAGAAAATGGCTCGTAGGTTTACAAGCTTCGATCAAATTGTTCCACCAGCAACAGAAGAGCCAGAAGAAGGCGACCCACGCAACCCTCCTCCTCTTACACTACACAATGCCACTATTACTATTCATGACGACGCGGCGAATGATAAAGGTCGACTTCGTGGCAAACCTTCCTGGGAGTATCTACTTCAGATTGAACCAGCAACCTCTCATTACCCTGGGTGGATGATAATGAAAACGTACACTCAGTTTGAGGGTCTCCACGAGAGCTTGCGACGCATTGCGACCGTTTCTGGATCGACTGCTTTCCTGGAGGCCTTCGCCGCCTTCCCGAGCTGGAAAGTGCACACGAGGACGTCATTGCGCGGTGAGATTGAGAGATACATGCGAACAGCCTGCGCCGAGAAAGCGCTGGCCGAATCAGAAGCCTTTAAGCGGTTCCTAGATAAAGGCCAGGAGACTCGAATGAGCGCCAGCAGGGGGTTCTCATTCGAGTCGGTAGGAAAAGGCGTGCTTGACGTTATCCAGAATGCACCCAAGGGGGCTTTCGACAGCGGAAAGGTAGTAGTCGGCGGAGTCTCTGGTGTCTTTGGCAACATCGGGCTAGGGTCAAGGAAATCAACCACCTCTTCCTTAAACGAGCAACAGACCAAGGAAGTCAGTAGCACAAAAAGCCCAACGAGCACGCGGCCATTATCAATGTCAGCTCTCACAAGGATGGACAGTACCCCATCAGTGAATGGGTCAGGAAAAGCTAGAGATAGCCTGGACAGTCAAAGATCGTCTGTAGTTGCAGTGCAGCCGGGTAAAGTAGCGCCTATGGAACGGCGACCCAGCGTCCAAATCGACCCGAATCAAGACAATCTTCACCCTGCGAGGGCAGATCGCTGGGAGCGGAGTTCGATTAGTGCAACGAGTAGCAGAGTACATAGCCGTGCTTCGAGCG